CAGATTTGAATTGTATGGAGAACGAGGTCTTTTGGAGTACTGTTACTAGAGACTCAAGAAGAAGGGCACTTTGGTCCTTGTCATTGCTGAAGGAGCAGGAGATGCTATGTTGGATTATAAAGTTAATGTCTTTGAGACTGATGCATCAGGTAACAAAAAACCTTAGGATGTTGGTGTCATAGTGAAAGATGAACTTACTAAGTATTGCAAAAACAAAGCAATGAGTATCACTCTTAAACACATCGATCCTACATATATGATCAGAACAGTCCCAGCTAATCCTCATGATAAGATCATGTGCACTTAATTGGCTCAAAATGCTGTTCATGGTGCCATGGCTGGTTTCTCTGGATTTACTGTTGGTCATGTTAATAACAGATTAGCTTACATTCCAATTGAAGAATTGCTGTCTGGAAAGTACTCCAATAGGGTTGTAGCTGACAGTCGAGAATGGCAAAGATTGTTAGCCAGTACGGGTTAACCTTCATTCTTGAACAATGAAGAGCAGATGATCTAATAAAAATAATAATAATAAATTTGAGAATATTGATAAAGCATATCTATTAAAAACAAAATTTATAACATTCTTAATGAACAATATTGGCCAACCAAATGATCTATAATTTATTAAGAGAAAGTCACCTTATTTATTAAAGGAAATACCACAAAAGCTCGTCAAAATATCAATGATGTCTCAAACTTAATTTAAAGACTTTCTTGAATCTTTATCGCTCAATTTCACTCAACTTAGTCATAATCTATAACAAATGCTCACTCTATATAATGTTCAAATATTTCATGAAAATGATGATGATTAGCTCATGACTGACAGCGATACTGATGCATTCACTAAATTCTAAAGAGACTGGCTCATTAAAACCATCTGTAAAGTGGGAGTCAATCATCAATTCTGGCCTGAAATTGCACAAGTCTTAAACAAATCTCTTTCAGAAGTCAAAGCCTTTTGGATCACTCTGCAAGATAATTGGACCAACGAATTGGACAACAAGCTGACCCAATTTCGAAATTAATAGCTAAATTGGCTAGAAATAGCTTTGAGGCTCGACAAGAACAAAACCAATTGCAAGCACAGATGGAATAATGTACTTGATCCTAGTTTATGCAAAAGTCCTTTCACTATTCAAGATGACATCCTGTTACTCCAAAAAGCCATTTAATTAAGCTTTGATTGGAAGAAAATATCAAAGATTGTATAACCAAAAAGGAGTCAAACAGATCTAATTTCTAGATTTATCAAATTATAATCTTAATACAACAATATCGACAATCTCATCCAAAGAGTCCAATTTACAATTGCTCAACTCCCTAAATACGATAAAAATTCCATGCGGATTCTGCCTCAAAAACAATCAAATAAGATCTAGAAGACTGTTGTAGAATATGAAACTCTCTCTATTCTGGATCTTAACTTACTTGATGCTATGGCATTATAATTTTGTCTAGTAAAACAGGATTAGATATTCTTTGTTACTCTTGAATACATGCAATAATTAGTTAACTTGAAGTTAAATTAAAGAAAACTCTTATAATTTATGAAATGATTATTATTACAAACAATTATTATTACATTATTACAACATATTTTGAATTATCATTCGCCATAATTCTTACTAACATATTCAAAAATATCTAATGCTTCTTTTTATCGCTTTAAGAAATTAAGAGTTTTAGCTACTCAATTAAAGAAATATCTACCTTTATTTGTTAGATACTCTGGTTTCTCTTTATATGCTAAAGCAGAGTCAAAACACTCCAATGCTTTTTAATAACTTTATGAGGCTAGTAAAGTGATACCTAAAATTAAAAATAGTAGAACCTTTTTGATTTAATGTATCTGGTGAGTCAGGTTCAACGGCTAGAGCAGCATCAAAATATTGCAATGCCTCTTAATATCTTTCTAATTTGTGGAGTGCAACACCTTTTCATAAGTGAGAATAATACCAATATTATGATTTATGGAGGATGAGTTTGGATCTAATCCATGTGCTGCTAAATAACAATTTAATTCTTCTTAAGAATTCCCTAATTTATGTAAAATGGCCCCTTGAATTACATTTCCAATATACCTTTTAGATGCAAATATTCTTTCTTAGTTTTTATGTCGAGAGCTCGATTAACAGATTCAAGTGCTTGATTATATTTTTCTTATGACATTAAGGCTTAAGCTACAAAATATCTGGATTAATGAAACCTTTCTTTAGATAAAAATCTGGATTCGCTTTAAGCTCCAAGGCTCTATCAAAACATTCTATTGCTTCGTCAAATTGTTTCAAGACAAATAAGCTGTAACCTGATCATTTAAAATTGCCAATTCTTACCTTTATGATAATAAACTGTTTCTATTTTTAAATTCAATCTTAAACAGTCATTAAGGGAATCCACGGCTTCCTCAAACTACTCTAAATGAACTAAACAAAGACCTTATTTATTTTTAATAGACTTTATTACCCTTTATCAAATATGCCTATTCAAGGTTAGAATTTATTTTTATAGCTTAGTTGCTAAAATTTAAAGCATCCTAATAGTTGTCCTCCTTATATAAATCAACAGCTAAAATATTATGGCGATTTAACCTGATGTTAAGCACTCCACTGCTAGTGATTCAGACTTCAATCCCTAAGGTTAAGTTGGTGATTCTTAACTTCTATTGCTATTTTATCTCTCTATAGATCCAATTTGAGCTTGTGGTTCAGATGTTGAAATAAAAATAGTATCAGCTTTCAAATATGGTTAAAAGAACTAATCCAAAGACCTCTCGAACTTTTTTATTTCCTCTAATTGCAATCCTAAAGAATTAAAATGAAATTTATACCAATATTATTGTTTTTGACATATTTATTCAAGGTAACATTTCTCCATTGCTTTAATTATTCTAATTGATTATGAACTTAAGAGCAGTCTTAATTATTTAATTATTATAATAATTAAGCCAGCTTTGCCTTCTCACTAGATATAAACTTCAGATTTTTTTTGAACAAATTGATCATATTTTCCATTTTATTCTATTCTTGTTTTTCCAAATTATCTAAGATTTTAACACTGTCTGATATCATTAGTGCAATTTTGTCGAACCTCAGACAATCATTTTGATGTCTTTAATGTAATTGGCTGAAACAATTAAAACAGATTTATTTTGGTTTATCACATTCCTAATAGAAGCAAAATCCAATTATTGGCTCATTAGTATGATCCAATATTGAGCAGTAATACCCATAATCCATTTTATATTAAAATAATTAATATCTTTTAATTCTTGAATGATTCTTTAATTTATATCCTAATTCTATTATTCCTACTTATACTATTACAAATCAATTTATGAAGATAGAGTGGTTATAAATATCATAACATATAAAAATTATTGATCATAGTTAGATACAGTGAGTATCCTAAACTTTAAAAAACAAATTGGGCATTCCCGTGATCTCATTGAAGTCCTCGTTCAATATCCCTAATTGTCATATGATAGATGATACCAAATACAAATGGAGGTTTGATAATATAACCTTCCGCATTTTAGACATCAACCATCTTAGGTCTGTACTAAGTACTAAATCTCCCTAATCCAATTACATTGTCTGAAAACCTAACCTTACTATTCACTATGAATTGGGGGACATAAAGATTCTAATCTATTGGTACTTGTACTCCACATTGGTTTAAAATTGATTGTACTTTCTACATAGTGATCTCCTCATTATCTACAATAAAATTGATAACTCACATTCAAATACAAAAATGCTTGTACTACTTTAATCAGAGGATATCAAGTAAACTTTAAGGTTTCCAGAATCAGACATGAAAACCTTCGCAGTCTCAGCGTTAGACACAGATGGAAATCCATTATAAATGAGTCTTTGATGTTATGCCAATCTGCATTTCGCCCATTTAAAACACTCTTTGCAAAAGCTGCTAATGACTTTATCTGATGAAAGTGAAACCTCAGAATTGGATAGGTTCAGTTATTCAAAACCCTCAAAGTACTATTTAATGTAGGCATTAAAGTCATCACTTGAATGTTCTTGCAGTTTAATCCCCCTAAATCCAAATTCCTATTTAAATCTCAATATTATTATACAGTCTTTATGAGATTGTCCTTGTGCGAACTAATTGTCTCATTATCCAGATCTATCTTTGTATTCAGAGTGGTCAGACAATACAAAGATGTAAATGCATCTGTATTTTATATTGTATTGCTATCACAAGTAAGGTAAAGATGTTATAAGAATATGGGATCGAACTATTTAGGTTGATCTATGTCAGAAGGTCTTCTAATGGCTTTGATAATATTATACTATACCCATAACTGTGAATCTTGTTTCTGAATTAACACTTTACACAACTTTCCACTTGAATCCCAATTCTTTCAATTTGGTTGTAATTTCTTTATTAGCTTAGAATGAATCATTCTAATTGTAATGATATAATGCCATTCTTATCTCTTGGCAAGGATCAATTTCCCAAATAAATTAGATAATAACTTTAAGCAACTCCTGAAATTATTGGGGATCTACCGTTGAAAAGTGACTTAACACTATTCTTCTTTCTTATAAAGACTGATCTAGATAACACTATCCCAAAGCCATCAACTAGGATTTTTGATATATTCCTAAACAGAAGCTATCATCTTATTGATTATATTGATTTTGCATCAGTTGAATTTCTCCTCTCCATGACTTTTTGAAATCCTCATTAATATTATTTAAATGATCTATAACTTTTTCATCAGTCAATTTGCATTTTTTTACTTTCAATGTATCATCCTCTTCTGGAATTCCATTTTATTGATCAGCAATAGGTCCAGCTGTATGAAGAGAATTTTAATGTTTTTGTTCAGATAATGGAAGACTTACTTATGCATGTTACTTGTTATTGGAATCATTATTGGTTGTCACTTTAATTGAGTTTTATTTCTAAGGTGTAGCACTTCCTTACTTATTTGGCTATCTTGCTATAACAACTTTTGGAATAGTGCTAATGATTTCATTTTGATCATGTTATTTATATATTATTCTCTAAAAAGGGGATTTAAAACACAAATTACTTTTTGATTTTAACTTTATTCCTATCTTTTAGGAGGTCTTATTCGTCCTGGTTGGATTGGTTTTTCTGGACTCATTTTAATTTGATCTCTGGAGTTTGCTTGATTGTATATTGATTTATCATCCTTAGCAATTGATGAAGTCTCTTCTTATATTATTACTTCACAATTTTTTATTCTTTTTAAGAGAGGTTTGGATATGAATTGGACAATCTTACTTGAATCTTCGGCTGGTTTTGTAATGGCAACAAAGAAGGGATCAGGTTTAACTGAAAATTGATAATAGTTAGATAGAATTGAGTTTGTGATGTATGAAATGTCCTTTCTCATCTAGAAATAGATAATGTGAGGATTTAAACCTTGATCAAATAGTTTTCTCTTTGATATAGATATGGAAGCGAGATGCTCTCATGGGAATGGATATTGACCAAGAATTTCATTAGGTATTGTCTCCAACCAAGGATTTGTTCTACTACATTGATTGAGAGAATCCTTAAATGTGTTATTAATTCAGCACTTTTTTGCAATAGTTGTTCATCTCCAGGACAATCCTAGAATTATTGGATGTGATTAATCAGAAATGCTAAACACTTTTCTCTTGCTTCCACAGCTTGCATGCATAGCTTATTTATTAGGTATTCTAATACTTATATATGAGATTTCTTTTGTTGCATTTCTTCTATTTCGAATTGAATTGCTTGAGTGTTTTTTGGTAGTGTTTGCAGACACATCAAAAACAACTATCTAAATAATTAGTCAATTGATGTTACCTATGAAACTCAGGGATATTGTAATAATCTTGAACTTCGATTAATTTTGCTGCATTATTGAAATACTTGGGTTTCTATTTTTCCACGGATTCATTTTTATTTTAATTTTAAACATAAAATCTATTATTCCAATTTTCTTCCTAAGTGAATCATCCAATAATGATTACTTTCTTCTTTAATTAATTCATCACAATCAAATGTCGAGATTTCGTATTTACTACTTGCTCCTACTTTGACTTACGATGTTCCACAAATTATTGGTCAAACATAAATATATAATAATAATTTATTAATATTTATATAACTGTTTAATTAATTGCACTTTCATCAAATTAAATTTATTCGAAGTAGAAGCATTCTTGTGCGGTCCTTGAATTGTGTTACTTTTCAATTTCGATGCAATAGCTAGTACCCCCTTTAATGAAACTTATCATTTTATATACATTTCTAAGAACCATATAAAATGATTTATGAACTAAGATTTTTTACGTATATTAATTTAAATAATTAAAATGAACGCAATGTGTTCCATTACTCAGACGAGATAGTTTTAATGAGGAGGAGCAGCTATATTAACACAGTGAGTGTGATTAAGTTGAATTTTAGCTAACCAATAACTGGTGTTAAGCTGAGGCTGACACCGATCCCAATATAATAGACTCAAAAAGCCCCTCAATTAAAAAGAAAAGACAAGGCCGATACAAGAATGTTCCCTACACCTTTGGTCGACACTTCAGGAATTGGATTGTGACTGAGGTTGACTCCATTCGATGTCCAGTTGTTTAAAAATTCATCTCCAAACGTAAGACTAATCCTAGATATCATGACAGCTTTAAGGATTTTAATGAACTATTCCAACACTCAGGTATTGGTAGATAACTAGGTTAAATCTTTTTTGGACAAAAGAAATGGGTGCAATACTTACTTGAGAATGAAAGAGTAGATGGTTTATAAATATACTTTGAAGTTGAAAAGTACTTATTACGAAGCCGCCCCTTAAAGGAGCCAAAATCACTGAACAAAAGGTGAGAAATCTTTGAAAACTTTTTATATTTATTTTTGGTTGTACATTCCCTCAATGTATTATATTTATAATTTACACATATATCCTATTAGATAAGTTTTTAATCCTAATCCTAATTCTATTTAGAATTTAAGCAACAAATAAAATTCAATTTCTCAAGTAAAATTCAACATACAACACTGAAGAATTAAGAGGAAATTCAAGTTTATCATTATAAAGATTAAAAACAAAATTCGTTGTAATGTAATCTGAGTACATTTGAATATATAGTTTAAATCTAGTACTAATCTTTTTTCTTTAATAGATTTATTTCATTAGAATTAGGTTCTTATGACATTGGCTTTGATCATCAAAATGTCTTCTGCAATAATAAACCCCATTCTATAATATCATGGATTAGCGTAGATAGATCCTGTAGATACCTAATATGAAAATTCTGTCTATAATTATTGTTTGGGTAATTCTCCATTTAAATTAATAAACAATTATAATTAATTTTACTGTTAAATTTTTATTATAAATTTTAAATTAAAAACTCAATCTACATATACAAACAAAGCATCCTAAACAATGGTTACCCACTTATAACTACTTTAATTACATCAGAACGAATGCTTTTATCAATCTACGAACCCTATAAAATGAATTATTTGAGATCATCTAATTAATTTCATTGAAGATGATCAAGTGAAGAATTTAATGAGATGGTCAAATTAATAATATATTCAAGGAGGGATGCATGGATATCTTAAAAAATGTCTGCTATCTTCTTAAATTTACATGATCAATAATTAATTAATTATACTATTTTAATTTATTTAGTTATATATATATATATAAATATATTCAGGAGTCGAATACATTTTGAATTAGTTCATGGATCTTCGACCTCAGTCACATCGGCTGACTATTTTTCTTGTTGTTCTTAGAACATAAATTATTTATTATCAATTTGTTCAGACGTAGTTTAATTTTAATTATTCCCTTTCCAATCGATTTCAAATCGAGTTATACGGGGTTTATTATTGAAGATTTAACGTGAAATATCTTCTATAATAATTTTAGGGGGATCGTTCTCTATATTCTCTTGAGAGGTATAGGTAGTGTAAACATAGTAACCAACTCTAAAGAATTCTTTTTCTCTGTAGGAACACGTGAGGATGAAGGCTGTGATACCCAGTAATTCGTTTTGGGGAATTTTTTGCCAATCAGGAGGATTGCATTCTAAAGTAAAATGTTTAGCTCCGGCTTAAAGAGGTCCCATTGAGAACTAATCAAGTATCTGATCATGTTACTCATCTTTAGGTGAGCCAATGAAGAGAAGCCTACAACTAAAATATTGATGTACATCCATTCGATTTCATCCTCAATGTCAACTATGACATCAAAGAAAATGTCAATATTGATTGGACTATCGAAAGGCTATGGCTTATCATCAATAACAATGTTGGTTATGTTGACTAAAGACATTAAACTTTTAAATTAATTATTAATGAATTAATAGAGGAATAATATTAATTTCAATTAGATACATGGGTTTTAGCTTTCTGTTTCATTTCCACTGTTGTTAATTTTTACTTCTCGGATCCTAATATTTTAGGTTGCTTTTGCGTTTATGATTTAATGTTGCATGAATCTCTAGAGATTGCCATTTCTGCCACTTTTGATGGAGTAGCTGAAATTCTAACATTGTTGGTTAACTGAGTTTCTGTGAATGTCTAGGTTTAGGTATGGGCATAGGAATATTATTCACTTTCTTCAATATCAGACGCACGCAATGCCCAACAATTTTGACATCTTTAAAACCTAGATCTTTTGTATGTAGGGATTGAGGCCAAATAAATAATTGTATTGTAATATCTGGGTGTTGATTAACGCCAAGAGGATATTATAATAGAAATTGAGTTAATTTGTGAATTGAGCTGCAATCACAATCAATAAAAACGGGGTATAGCATATCAATTGGGTGAATAATGCTACTTTGAGTGTTTTAATGAAATTTTTACGAAATTGTATTGTTAAATCTTAGGAACTCCTATCTACTTGATTATTAATTATTACGTTCTGAGCATTTTAATTGACAACCCTGTAAAAATGGATATAATAATCAACAGGAAGGTTAAAGGTGCAAATAGGACTATCACTTAAAATCTGTTGTTCGGAGGGTAAAATATTCTGTACTGGGAATCATGGACAAATAGATTGAGTAAGTTAAAAATGATTGGTGCAAGTATGGCAAAAAATATGAATTAGTTTTGAGATTTCTTCATCTCATCAAGAAACTCCTTTGATTGGGTTTATAGAAGGAAAAATGTTAGGAATTGCAGTATGGCCATAAATGCCAATGATTATTGTAGTGTCAATGAAAATGTGATCCAAGTTCCAACACAGACCAGATGCATCTCAACAGTTTATTTGCACAAAAACAGATTAATGATTTCTGCTGTGAGAGTAAGGATTGCAAAAAAGAACATCAAAAATATATAGTTATCTATAGGATTTTTCTTTCTAGTTATTGTCAAACCTGCTCTCATCAATCCAGTGAACATGTTAATCGATATAATGATCAATTGGATAACATTCAAGTAATTGAACATATTATAAATAAATTAAATTCTTTATAATTTGATACAAAAACTTTGATCTGCAAACCCAGAAGAGTACAGACTCTGGTAGTTGTTAGGGTAATCATAAATATTTTATTTTATTATTATTATTATGTTATTATAAGGATCAGAAATCCTCTCTATCTAATATTCTGTTACATTCAGCCAGAACCTTGTTTCTTTCTCTTCCAAGGTAAAATGTTTCACCCAAATTGCACATATCAAAGTATTTTTTATTGTGTTTCAAAAATTTAATTGGTTGAAAGTAGAGATAAGCAATTGGCCAAACTACAAAATAAGGAGCCCATGAAAATCTCTTTGTCTAAAACATTCTGACCATAGAAACAGCAGCTGCACATGCCCAACCATCAACAAGAGAGGAATAAGTCACATCATAACGATATCTAAGAATGATAAGAACATAATCATACTCTCTTCTAACAACATATCCCCAATCTCTTTCCTCTTATGTTTTGTAAAAATTAGTGTCGAAGTCAGCAATAAATTTCTAAACAAATGCCTTTCTCAATTTAGCTGCTTGCATCTCTTCAGCTGAGTATCCTCGCTCGTATTCCATCTCCTCTTTGGCATTCACATATCTACGAATTGCTCTTGACATTTTTTATTTAATTAATATATATTATTCCCAAGATATGGACCAAGGTAAATAATCCTCCAAAAGCAGCATAAAGGTCGGAATACAACCTAAAACATTTGCCAATCCAGTGCAGAATCCCAACATGTCTGGTTAATTGGGCTCGGACTAGAAACCAAAATCTAGATTTGTATAACCTAATATGGCTAATTATGCAGCAATGCCAGCATCATAAAAAGTCTCCATTAAACCAGTTGACATGAGTCAGCAATCAAATAAAAGAAATGAGGATGTTAATTTAGCCACTTTTCTTGTGCCTGATGGAATGACCAAAGAATAATATTAATAATAAAGTGCAGTCGTTTCTCAAAACTTTTAAATTGTTGATCTCTATCCCGTTTAAATTAAAGATGCTGACATTAAAGATGAATAAGACACTGCTGCAAGTTAAGAATAAGAGGAAGTCACGCCCTATTAAATTAGTGTTTACCATCTCAAAGCTCAAAGATAAAATTTTAATATTGTCTTGAATGTCAAGGATTCGGATGATAGAAACACAAGAAAAGAGGTCAATTATTAAGAAACAGAAATCGGAAAGTTTGGAAACGCTGCCGTTAATATGATTTATCGATAGAAGTTATTGTACTTGCCTCAAAAGTCAATCAAACTAGAATAACAATAAGGGAGAGTTCTGCCTGTTGCACTCGAAACACTACCTTAATCATAGGACAATTATAAGAGAATTTCTATTAAATTATCTGATCAAGTTTAAGCCATTTTGTAGCAAATTAAAGAGAATACTTCCTAATTTGATTAGGTTGTTAAAGAACTATCAAAATATTCAGTAGTCTCTTAGGTTAAGTAAATAGTTATTGATAAGTCATATAATAAAATATTGGATAGATTAACTGTGTTGCAATAAATAATGAATCAGAATCTAAATAAGATCAATGAACTTATTTAACTTACTGAAATTCAAAATGAAAAAGTTCCAGCAGTTTCAATGTAGAATATGGTTGATTTTATCCTGAAATTGCCACAATCATAAAGCATTGAATTTTAATAACTTAAATATGCTTCATTTTATACTTGTTAAATTATGTGTAAATAATTGGAAGTACAAGAAGAATAATGTACGAGTTGCTCTTAATTTGTAATTCAATTCAATCAAGGTGTTGATGCTGTGTAAATTTTGTATGATTTTGCCAAACTGAAGATGCCGAAATTATACAACAAATTGGATATAAGTAACAATAAATTGAATCTCATTGTGTTGCCATATTTAGAATTTCGATAAAAGAATGATTTTATCCTTCAAGATATTTAGAAAGTAATATTTAAATAATAATCAATAGTACCTAATAAAAATGACAGAGAAGAAGTATTTCATTATGAAAACTCTGATGCAGGAGATCATGACAAAAGAAGAAGTGGAACAACTAGATTAAATCTATATCTTAAATCAATATGCCACTTATAGGAACCAGATAATCAGAAATCCAAATAAATTTAATTATGAAATTCTCAAAAAAAGACCACTCTTCATTCTTTAATAAATTAAATTGTAACAATTCTTATAAATTAGACTCTTTCATGCTCAACTGTAAATCGAAGACTTATTTTATAAAATCTAAAATCTGTAAAATGTGTATGACACTTATGTTCAATTTCCCAATTTCGAATAACAACTAAAGCAGGTTCAATTGAATAAGATGAAAATCTAAAAGCAAACTCTAGAGACTGATGATTAAGAAGTATTCAGAGATAAAGTAGTTGAATTGAAGTAAGAAATGATCGAGTTAAATTAGACAAGATATGGACATATTGTTTAAGTTTCAAAACATGTTTCCTAGTGAAGTGGAAGGTCTTCCATATGGATTTATACGCATTAAAGATTGGATAGATTGCGAAATCGGATCTGGGTTGACTTTGCTAAGAATATTGAATAGCAAATTGCATTCCATTGATATATTGGAGAACTAAATCAGTGAAGCTGAGGGTTTACAATTAATTGAAAAGAGTAAGAAATTAATTGCCTAAATTCAAAAATTGATTGATTAAGAAATTCCGCTTAACTATTATGATTCTAAATTGAAATTGCCATCAGAAATCCACAATGCTGTCTTAGAAATTACGAATAAATATTTATTGGATGACGAAGCCAAGCAAACTCCTTAAAGAACGCCTTTGCAATTACCACTTGCTACACCAAATGCATAAATGAATTTATTAGAATAATGCTCTAAGGTTCTTGAAAGACTGTCCAAAGCCAGAGAGAGTATATTGATTAAAAAACAAATAATACAGGAAATAAGCACTCAATATACATCACTCAATGATTATTGCTTTAAATATCAAATTTGGGAACACATCAATGCAACAAGGTATTTGATGACCTCACAAATGTTCTATGATATTATATCTACCATCATTAGTGTAGATCCATAAAAATTTACTCTTGATGGTATTATCAAGAAAATTAGAGACCACATGATATATTTTGAAATGAATTAGAATGTTTAAACCAGTGTTTATTTTAAAGTACATCTAAAAGATGGCCTTCAGTTATTATAATTATTTAAAGAAAGTTAGGATGAATATAGTAGATTATTAATAGCTAATTCAAAGAAGCCAGGATCAGTATCAATCGATTCATTAATAAATTCCTTAACCAACAATGTGAATAACTTTCTAAAAATTAAGACATGCACATTAACTTAATAGAAGGATGCAATTTTGAGAGCCATGCCATAGTACATTGGAATGATTAAAGAGTAATTTGAGGATTCATCTAAGGCTGCTGAACTTGATTAAAAGTTCTCTGAAGCAGAAACTGTGCTTGTTGAAACAGATTCATTCTTTCAAAAAGGAGAAAACAAATTAGGAAAGATTTATGAATTAGGAGTTGAAGCAGTTGGCTAAGAAAAAACAAAAAAAACAATGTCTCTTGAACAATTTAGAATGAGTTTAGGCTTTGATTCATAAATCTAAATTTTGAAAGATAAAGCAGAAGCAGCTCATAATTAATTCTTGATGTAATATATTATTTAATTCAATTTTATAGGTATAAAGAAAAATTATCTCTAAACAGTCTTCCAATCTACAAGAATAAGTTAGAATAGAAATTGAAGGAATTTGACTCCTTAAATCAAACTATTCTTATGTTCGATAAGACTATTACTTCAATTTATTATAGTTCCATTGATTTTCTAGATGCCTTAACTGAATTGCAATAGAAAATTGAAAATATGCTCTCCTTGGCTAATTCTTCCTTCATTTTAGAAGGATTAAACAAATAATTGAAACAACAATAGGAAACTTATGGAGAAGTGAAAAAGATTTAATCAGGAGTGAAATTACACCCATCAATAGAACCTATTGTTTTAACTACCTAAGAAATTTAGGTTAATTTGATCGAAATGCTCACGAATATGATCTAAATTATCACAGCATTTGTTGAAATATATGATGGTTTCATGTTGTTTTAGGACTAAATCAACTTACTAAGTGAGGAATTCTTTTAAACTGTGTATAGATGGTTAACATTTTTTGAAGGAAAACCATCTGATAGAAAATTAATCTATACGGAGGCTCTGGCAAAAATAGATGTAGCTATTGAAAAAATTGGAAAGTTTCCAATTCTAAGAGTTCCTTGTACCAAAATTTATTAGACTTTAAAAAAAGTTGTTGAAACTTATTAAAGAGATGTCAATACTGAAGTTATGAAAATGCTTTCAGAGTTTGGATAAACCTATTAAACTAAGGGAAATAAAGTGCAAAGCTTCTAAGAATTCTAAAATGAATTAACATATTTATTAACACCTGAAAATTCCAAAGAAGCCACTAGAAAAGCATTACAAGCATTTTTTGAAAAAAACAAAAAGGCAGAACAACCATTATCAAGAATGTCTTAATTTGTTAAGGCCACCTAAACTATTTCAAAGGATGAAAGATTGAAATCTATGAAAAGGTTAAAAAAGCTATAGAATCCAGATGAAATTCAGACTCAAATGGGTGGTGGACAAATGGATTAGTGGATAGCCTCTTGTAAAAATATGACAAATGCTTTGGAAATGTATTTTAAGAACGTAAATGACAATCAACTCCAACCTTTAGTAAATTACACATGTAAAATAATTAAATTATCATATAGAAAAAATCGAAGATTCTGCTAAGGGAATGAGTAATTAAGATCTAAAGAAATTTATTGGTAGATTTTTAGAAATGCTTAAGATAGATTATAATCTCAGTAAATTTTAATGACTCTTTTAATATTATATTTTGTTAAATATATAATCAAGTTGTAATTAAGAATTGTCTTTTATCAAACTAAATAACTAGATTGTATAAATACTAAAAAATGCTATATGACATACAATATTCCAATTATCGTTGTGCAGATTGCAACAGATAAACCATAATCATGTAAGGACATATGTCTTGCAGTTTTATTATTTTCCGCATATAACCATAACGCTAGACTAAAAAATTAATATTCCATACAATAAGCAGAATAGACCTCTTCCAAATTGATTGCAGGCAAAGTAAAATTTTTCCACCATATCTAACCTTTTTGTTTCGCCCAGCAATAGCAAAAAATTCATAAGCCTAATCCATTATACAAAAATAGTACATTAAATTAATGTTTGTCATAATAGAGTTTATTTTATAAATATCCTATTCTATACAATAAATGGTGGACCAAATACAAAAAATGAGAATCAAGATAAAGTTCAGCAAAGTGGCTAACTTTGAAACAAAGCTCACATCAATTTCCATTAAATTTGCTATTTTAATTTATAAGTGAAAATATTAATAAAAATTATGACTAAATTTTATAATAAATAACTAAAGAATTAGAATAAATTATTTTTAGAGTCTAAATATATTTATTGATAGCCAAATCTTTGATTATCAAATAATTATTATCAGTTAATAATAAAATCGTTTTGAAAATGATATAGGTAAAATTGTTCAATCATTTTGATCATCATTTTCCTCAGCAATTTCTTCAGGATACTCGCCTTCTCCTTCTCCTTCCTCACCTTCTTCATTCAATTACTCAGGGTCAATTCCAAATAAGTGTAAGTTTTACTAAATTTTTGTAATATAATACACTAAAGATTTCTCTAAATTGATTGTTTTCATTCGCTAGTTTCTCAACTTCCTCTTATAATTGTTATTTTTCGTCACTTAAATTTTAATATAAGGGCTTAAAATTTTCTATCAAGTCTAATATTAAAGATATTTATTTTAAATACCCTCTAATCTTCTACAATCCTCATCTTTTGCTTCAAGCTATTGTGATAATTACTAAATCATTTGATCCTTATCGTTATCTTAACTCTTTGATAATTTCTTATTAGATGAGAATTGATTTCTTGTATTTCTACTATTGTTTGCTTACTCCTCTTGAATTTATTGAATTGCTTCTTACATATCTTGAAGCTACTATTAGTATTATTCAATAATTTGATCTTTCATATCTGACTCTTATTGTAGTTCTTCGATTTTTTTTTATATATCTTCCTAATAAATTATAATATGATTCGTTACTAAATTAAATTCTTGTGTTATCTATTCCAACTGTTATTCTTTCTCATTGTAAGCTTGTTCAAGTTCGTTCAGTTAGGATTCGTACTATTGTCTCACCTTATTGATTTCATCTTGCAAATGCCTATTAGCTTAATTGAGTTTTTAATTTAAGTTTTTATTTTCATCTTATAATTATTAGATTTTTTGTTTATCTTCTCTATGTTTTGATTCGTAATCCTATTCTAACTTAGACCTAATTTAAATTAAGAATTTAGTTTTACAAACGCTTTTAAAAGTCCTTTTCTCTATCTTTTGCCATATTCAACTCAGCTCTTAGTCTCTCTGTTTATTGTTATTCATCTTTTAATTGATTCATAACTGATTAACTAGGTCTATCAATCTCTTAAGGCTTTTGATTGGATGTGTACTATTTTTTATCAAAACCTGAGTATTGCTAATCATATCTTTTGTCATGGCTATCAAGTTTTTTATCTAGATAATCATGTTTCTTTTCTGGATATTCTGGTTTCCTATTAACATCAATAGTTTTAGAATAATCAGGTTTCCTTGTTTCACTAGATAAATAATCCTTGGTTGGTGGTTGAGCTTTAAAGTCATTCTTTTTAATTTAATTTGATTGTTCGAATTTAGAGGGAGCTGGAACAAAGTTCTAATTCTTTTGATACATTTCTATCTTAATCAAATAGATGTACCTTGATAGGGAATGATTTCTGTTTTGTGTTATTAGTCAATGGGGCCCTGTGCGATTGTGAATTTATGAATCACAGGAATAACAGAGTCGGTAAGTTTAACCATAACGACATTAGGAACATTTGATTGTAGCTGGTCTTTGTTGACATTTTCTAGCCACTTTACAAATAGAGATTGCATATTTGAATTTATGTTTATGTATTAAATATTATTTGAATTTTCTATAAATACAGAAATAATGATATAAATAAATTATATTTATTATTTTTAATATTTTATATAACATCAAGCCCAGACTTGACCTCTAAATTATATAGCTCTGGAGTTCTTCCATCCTTTTTTAAAGTGATTGTAATACACACCATCTCTGACTGCATACATTTCCCATCTGAAATTTCATAGATTTTATAAAATACCTAAGAGAGAGATTATTTCTATAAAATCCTCTGGTCTTCAAGTAAGCAAAAGGATAGATCAATGCAATTCCAGTCAAGAACATATAATATCTTACAGTCTTGTCTGGTCTTTGGAAACCGCTTCTTCTTTACACAAATTGAATGAAATTTGTAACATCAAAAGCCATTTAAGGAGTAGATGCAGGTGTGCCATCTTCGTAATCGACAAGACCTATTCAAATCGAATTATATTCAATACCATCGTGCAATTATCTAACCATACCAATAATCATGTGATCAAAATAAGGATTGTATGCTTTTCCTTTAGGAACATCCAATCCTTAATAAGGCTTGTAATGGTAACCAGTCAAAATGTTGTAGATGTAATTGACACCTCCTGGTCTGAGTCTGATTTTTGAGAAATCTGTTGGCCAAACTCCACCATTGGCATTTTTAGCTTGATCTTAAGAAAAGTAAGGAGGGTAGATTCCTAAAATAATGATTATTAAGAGAATGAGTACTGTCGTGAATATATCTATCTCTTTCGTCCCATTCTTAGTAGTAAAATTGCTTGAAATGATGATGAGCAGGATGAATAGTGAAATTGCTGACCAAGGCTGCCAATTCTAATTGCTTATAGACTTTATCCAATAAAACATCATATTTCTTATACACTATTCCATGGCAATTGGCACAGTTTCTAGAGAAAACAAGAAACCTAAAGAATCACTATGCTTCATACCCTCTTCTTACACTTGCAGAGTCAAATGTACCCAAAAATCTGTATTATGGCCATGACATATGTCCTCTATGAGTACCTACTTCTGTGACTTGTTCTTCATAACCCTTGATACCCCAAAAGGCACCAATATCATCTCTATAAAGCCAGGCATGTACAGTGTTGTCCTTTTGGGTGATCAACATTCCAACTCCTAAACAAAAAAGAGCCTTCATTTTAAAAATATTTAATATCTAATAAGTAATGTCACTATTTATATATAATGTACTTAAACAACATTTATAATAACCTCATTTCTTGGCTTGGGCTTTAGGTTGAGCTTTTTGAGTTGGTTATGGAGCAGTTTTTGCTGGGGCAGTTTTGGCTGGAACAGTCTTAGCAGGTGCTTAAACTGGTGCTTTCTTGGCATCTTTGGCTGGAGCAACTTGTTTAACTGGAGCAGCTTATTTAGTTTATTTTGGTTGCTAATCAATATGGATTAAATATTATACTGCGGCTGTTTTAGTCTATTCTTTGATTTCAGATGAGGCTTTTCTGTGTTTCTTGTGAGCCTCATGAACATCATGAGCCAACTTTTTATAAGCTTCCAAAGCTTGCTTTGCTTTGGTTCTTCTTGCTTACTCAGTCTTCTTTTGAATGGTCTTTCTTCTCAATCTTGATTCAGTAACAAGTCTTTAGATCTTTGGAGCCTTTTATCTCTTCTTTCCATCCTTTGTGGTCCAGGTTCTTCTGATGAGATTCTTTTAAACTATAGCAACACCGTCAGCCTTTTTGAATCCAAATAATCTTCTCAATTTAGTTAATCTCTTTGGACCCAATCTTCTTGGGACATTTTGATCTGTAAGTCCAGCAATTTCGTTTGCTCCCTTTTTAACAACTTATAAGGCAAGGACTCTAATGTCTTAACCCACAATGCATCCTCTAATTGATTTTCTCTTCATTTCACCATCTTTTCTTGGTCTGTAACCTTTGTGACCCTTTCTCATGAGGATTCTCACTCTGCCCTTGAATAAGACACCTTGTCTCATTGGAAATCCTTATTTGTCATTACCACCAGTGATTTTCAACACATAGCCTTTGTATTCTTCACCCAAATTGTCAGCTTCAACAACTTGACCCATTCTCTTATCAAAAAAGATTGAGCTAAAAATTATATATAAAATGTTCTTACCATTTCTTGTCATCGTCAATTTCCACTGTCTTTTAAGCTCCTGTCAAGGGATAAGAAATGTTAAACTAAATAAAATAGTTTCAATAGTTACCTTCATTAAAATCTTTGGATTTTTTTAAAAATTAGATTTAAAAATGAATATGAGGCATATTAATAAAATATATTAGTGAATAAAACAATCAAAACATACCTTCAATTTGAGCTCATGGATTGGATATAAATGATACTCCAATTCCTAATTTAACAACAATTACTACAAATATCAAGGTAATTAAATAGTCAATTGATTATACATCCTTTTGCTTAATAAGCTCATTTATTTTTCAGAAATCAATGAACTTACTATCAAAGAGATTATTTACTCATTGCCTTTGGGTATTTTATTCTGAATCCGAATGACAAAATATTAGTAATATTTAGATCTTTGTTTTTAGATATTATTGCTAAGAATTGTTGATTAATTCAATCACTCCAAATTAAGTTGATTCTAAAATAACTTTCACAACCTAAGTTGAAATCTATGTATAATTAGTCATAATTTAAAGATAATATGATAGGAAGATTTATTAGTAAGAATATTAAGTATAATTTTACCCAGATAGATTTTTTTGGTAATTAAATTCATAGAAATATATTGGGTTATTTATCCAACAATTCAAATATATTGGATGATTGAATTATAATAACACTTTTAACCCTCTATAAAAATAAAATTATCAAAAATTTGTATATAATAAATTACTCTATTTTTAATATTATTAATATAAATAACCAAGATAGCTAAAATGCCAATTTATAATGAAGTTTGAGAGGAGAGGGTATCATATTACCTTTATTAATAGATTCAATGTTTAGAAACAAGATTAATCTATAAACATTAACAAAGAATCAAGTAAACTCATTAGATAATCTCAAATTTAAGTTTGTTGAATATAAAATAATTTCTCTATAGTATTGAATTAATTATTGACTTGCCATCTTTATGATAGAATGGCTCAACATTGCAAGAATCTATACGGTCTGTTTGTGGAGTCTTATGTACCAGAATGCTTAGATGCTAGAAATTATTTCTAATTATGTGTTAGAATGAATGTCTCTTGTGGATTGGCCAAAAACTATTTTCCCAGGGTCATCTTATCAGAGAATATTAGATATTTCTTAACCAATGAGTACTCAAGACCAAATCCTAATTTAAAGAATTAGGACTTTGATCCTTTATATAAATAAATTTATTATTATAGTAATTATTAATTCTTTAAATTTTTATTCATCAATCTATAAGTAAACTGACTTATTGACTTTATTATGTAAGAAATCATTCTTTTAACAATTTTTAAAATTTTATAATTCCCATTTCATATAGATTCAATATCTATTATTTTTTAAATTAAATTGATATATCTAATATAATAATAATTCAATTGCATAATGTATATTCTTTTTTGTATATTAATGACCCACATTAAGAACAATGATAGTGCTTGTCTTTACAATCATCGATAATGAAAGGTAGCCAACATAAAGGCCAAAAAATAAATAAAAGTAATAGAAATGCTATCACAGTTTATCCTCCTACTTTTCTTGTTGATATTAGTGAATATTGACGTCCACAAAATATACAAGTATTTCCATTTGCTATTATTACCCCTGGTTAAACAATCCTAAATTAGGAAAACAATAACTAACATTTGCATTTATTACTAAACACCTGGTTACGGTTAATAGCCACCCTACTAGTAATTTGGAGGATATCCTTGATATTATTGATTGCCTCCTTGTTATTATAGATAGCCTCCTTAATAAGGAGGAGGGTAAACAACTTATTAAGGAGATTATCCAGGGTTTTATTAGTACACAACTTGTGGTTACATGTAATTTGGGCCATTTTTATTTTCAGCCTAGAAATATGCCATCAAATATAGTAATTAGAAATTATAATATATTGAAAAATAAAAAATTCACAAGATAAAATGACATGGCAAAATTATTCTAATACACTTATCACATTTCTTTGATAATCATTTATTCTTAAGAGTGTAATCATGAAAGATTTATTTATTAATTTTAATAATTGTATTACAGATAATAAAGGGATAGATATTTAAATGTTCGTATAAATAATCTATAAATTTAATTATAATTCAGTAAATATACTATTGTACAAATAAGAGTTCGTTAATTAAAGTTCTACTTTTCTTAATGCTTGCATATTATGTTGCTTCAAATCACTAACCATTTAAATCTTTTTGATCATCAAAGATCAATTTTCATATATTATCACTTATATTAATTATAAATAATAAACAAAAGTTAACTATTTAAAGTCGATTAAAGTAACAATTATAAATCTATTATTAAATAAGTTAAAAATAATAGTAACATACCAATAAAATACACATTTTATTATGAGAAAAATTTTGAATAAGTGATGAATCAAAATCTATACGAATAGGGAGATCTATTCTTAAATTTCTGATTATCTTCCATAATTTTAATATTCGTATGATTTGAGTAATTTAATTGAAGAATATTGATGAATCCCATGTTTCTTATAGGATATATAGCGTGAAAATAGGTACTTAAATTTCAAAGTTAAATAATCTTATTGATAAACCACCAATAGTTGAGATGATATTTACAAAGTTAGAAAAAGAATACAAATACTTAATTTTTTGATTAAGTTATTCTGATAAAAAAATTGAGATTGATGATTCTGTTAAAATAATTCATTTGTGTAATTAGTTGTTTTATATTTGAAATTAACATTTTAAGATTCAAAAGAAATCTAGTAATTGGGATAACACATATCTTAATAAAGCAATATAATATAAATCATCTAATATTTTTATTTAAGCTTTTTGACAATGTTTCTTGGATTCTTTTATTTAAATTAATGAGTTTTTAATCAACAGAATCTGTACTAGTTGTCTTAATTGTAGCATTATTGTTATTGGTAGAACTTGTTAATTTATTACTACTATTAGTAGTAGTCTCTCTATTTTCTTAGCTTAATGTTAATTAGTCAAATGTTTTTTAAGCTTATTACTATTGTTAGTGTTGTAACTAAAATGATGAATTTAAAATTGATGATTTATTAGTCAAACCAAGATCAAAGTTAGTAAACTGAATATCTTTGAGATTGACTAATAACTACTAGATCTCTAACCAATCTGGTCTTTAATTGAAATCAATGAACAGCATCTTTTTGAGTATTGAATCTACTCTTCCAGGATACAGCTATTTCAACTAGTCGAAACAATCGTTGAGATGGACAACACTAAGCACTCCAGTTTCAAAGATGTAATCACAATTTTTTAGTAGACAGAGTGATAATATGATCATACTAATGGATATAGAAATAATGATTTACCCTAATCCAAAAACATCTTGCTTGAATCTATTGGCTCTAAGATTACCTCCTGATTCTGGAGATTTGTATTAATTCTCAAAGAGGTGGGGTGCTCTGGCTCTGAAAGGGCTGACATCTTGAATTCGGTAAAGTAAATATTCTTCGTCGAAGTAAACTGATTCCAAGGTCAAGGCAGAGTGGGTGATGCCCCTTTTTTGGAGAAATACGAAGGCCTCGCATAATCCCGAAATCATCTTCCATATTTCTTCTTCAGGGACATATTCTTGTGTTTTTGATCTTTTATCAATCAACTATTTGATGTCTAAGGGAAGATATTCGTAGAAGATTTTGAGTTGTCTGTTTTGGCTGAATTTGTCGCTCTATTCTTCAAAGAAGAGGAAAGAGACTAGATTTGGGTGTTTCCATTTGGTTCTTTCTTGGATAGCGCTTACTTCTTCAGGTCCCACAGTATTGATCCAACAACACAAATACTTGGCAAAAGGATCCAATCTATAGATGGAGGAGGTGGGAGAGATATCAATAACGTGATTAATGGCGGTGTACGCGGTTATCATGTAATCCTTGGGATTTTCATTAGGTTATCTGGGTCTAGGTTCGTTTTGCACGACTGGATTGTAGGATTGGGTAATTTTGTGTAAGGGATAGGGTTGTTATCTTTGGGCAACACAGTATTCTGGGTACATGTAATAAATTTCTGTTAAAAATAAAATCAAGTATAAAATAGGTTTAGTTTGAGAAATTTTCTATTTAATAAATGAAACTAACTAATTAGAAATGAATGATTGATTATTTTAATTATAAATTATGTTTAGAATGTTTGATCCGATGTATCAATCAATGAACCAGATACTGGAGGAGAGTGGGAACATTTTGTGGTTAGGAGATTGCACTGCTGCCTATGATAGAAGTTTATTGGATGGTAAGGGGATAAAGACTGTTTTGACAGTGGCATCAGGGTTGAATGTGTCATATTCTGAAGGAGGGATGGTTCATAAAGTAAATTAAAAATGAATTTTGTAAGGTGTATCATATTTTGGATATTGAATCGTCAAATATAGCGAGATTGTTCCCAGAAACAAGTCAATAAATAACAGAGGGTCTGAAGAGAGGGGGAGTTTTGGTTCATTGTGCTGCAGGAGTTTCAAGATCGGCATCTGTTGTGATAGCATTTATTATGAAAACTAGAGGGTGGTTGTTTTAGGAGGCATTCGAGTTTGTTAGAAAGAGGAGAAGTGTTGTCTTTCCAAATTACGGATTTTAAAGATAATTGAGAAATTATGAAAAAGATTTAAAATAAAGCAAAGCCTAAGTGAGTTTGGATACACCAACTAAGCAAATTTAAAAGTTCCAATAGGAGAGCTAGAAAGAGAAAGTGGAGCAGTTAGGCAATTTGGAATAGAAGTTGAAAAGTGTGGGTAATAAGACGAATTTTTTGACTCCTCAGAAGCAAAATCAAAAATAGAGACAACTTTATCAATCTGCAAAAGTGAACTATGCTAAACAATATCAAGTGATCCAGAACTCAACCAGAGTGAGTTCGTCTGTAAAAAGCAACCTGGTTGATCCACAATTCAATTTTACGAATCAGGGGCCAATGATCATATCGTATTAGCAGTAGAGAAAAAAAGCAGCAGAAAAGATGCCAGAGATAAATAAAAGGAATTTATACAAGTGAATATTATAATTAATTAATGAATCCTCGGAGAGCTTAATCAAGTGGAAATAGAGCTTCGTCTGCTGTCAAACGAGTTGCTATGCCGAATGGGTACACTTTATACAATTAGAGTGGGCAGAAATTTCATTTGCCCAACATGAAGAAGTACTGCAGTTATATGAATGTAAAAGTGCATCACAACGTTCTATCGAAGAGGCTGATAACAGGGCCAAAACATCGACTCTATAACCAATGCATAGTGAAGCACAGACCATTGTGCATCAAAGACCACAGAGTACAATAGAAGTAAAATAAATTTGAAATTCATTTAGACGCCTGCAGTGATGATGAATAAGTACATCAATTACAGAATAGCACAGCCATATTCATCCACAATAGATGTGAATGCCCGTTTATGGGAAGCAAGCAAAAACACAACTATCGGTTTGAAAAGAGTTTCATCAGCTGTCAAGAAAGAAGAAACAGAATACTAGTAGGATTGTGAAACTATTAGTGGTACTTTAAAACCTTACGAATTTCTGTCATCTCTCGGTGGCAAAATGATCTCAAATGAACCATCCAAACAACAATCAATAGATCTTTCTAGACAAAATAATACCCAACAGGTTCGTCCTCAAACTGTGACATCCATAGGCAAGATGGACTTCACTATTATTTAAGAACAACAATAAAGACTCTAATCTGCTCAATAAACGTTAACCAGACCACCTGTTTCTAAAAGACCCATGACGTCTATTTAGAGACCTCAATCTCAGGCATTTGACAATTAAGAAAGCAAAAGAGTTAAATAAGATCGAATCTAAAGTGCTACTCTAGATGTATTTTAAAAACCTACTACTCAAAAACATAAAAAACAATTTAACGAAATGATAGACTAATAAGTTCTAAGACCTCAAAGCAATTGGAGTCTCCAACGACCTCTATCTTCTAAAACATCTGCACCACAGTCCTTTTTCAAAATCTATACCAAATTTACTAATCTCAGTGCTCTTGATTTACCATATGAAGAACTTTTCGATAGAAATGAAAGAACTGTGGCAGCTACTTTTGCTAGATTCGGAGATCTGGGTTATTATTCACCAATCTAAAGGATTGGAGTCTATATGCAATTTTCAGCAAAGTTGAAAAAGGAACATTTACTCAAGATAATCGATTTATAAAAAACAATGAGTTCAGCTGAAAAAACAGATGGAGAAGTACCCATCTAATTGGCTATTGTTAATGAGTTGTTTCCAAAGTAAGGAAGAGATAAAACTGGTATTAACTCAGGAGCTAGTGATGCTTTAACTAGAGAACCAGTATCCCTTTGCTTGTATCCAGAATATTTTGATGACAACGATGAAAATATTGATTAGATGGAATTATCTCTTAAAAAATTCAATGAAATGCTGGCTGAGATGAATGGCAATTATGATCCTTCACTTCTATGCAAAGATTATTATATTCATATTGATAGAGAGTTCTGGCCAGAAAACATTCTCAAGGAAGTACTTATCTCAGAAGAAAGATATCGAAACTATATATCTGGAGATTACATAAGAAATGATGAAGTTCCTAAATTCAAAAGAGAATGGATTTTAAATGCGTTCAATTTGATTAAACCAGAATTGTTGCGTAATGAAGAATGCTCCAGATTTGTTGTAAAAGAGATTTTGGAATTGTTTAGAGAGTACATGAAGAAAGCAATGCTCGATTACATACTTAGGTCTCCAGAAGAAAGGAAGAGATTGCACATCACGTTACTCCCAAGAACTTTCATTCATTCAGCACAAAGAGTGGCGAGAGAAGGAGGATACAATATGAAGTTATTCCCAGATTGGCATGATTTTGTATCGAGAGGTAAGGATTTCTGCAAGTCCAATCTCACTCTCATATCTACGATCAATTAAGGATTATCAGATTGGATTTAAGATTTCAGCTCATTTAAATTATGCGATTTGAACAAAATGAAATAGGTTGCCAGACTAGGTTATACTTTTACATTTTAGGAATTCCAAAGAGTTTAAACAATATACAAATTGAATGTGCTTTGTCTCTTAGAGCATGTCTGGTTCAGGGGGGTCATGCTTATTATTAAGCTGTAGAAATTCTTAAGGTAGAAGCAATACAAAAGTCAATGGACTATTACAGGCCCAAAGTTTAAATAATAGTAATTAAGACAAACCATTCTTGAAATCATCCCAGAAGAAGATTTTATCGATGAGGACAATGTAATTTATAAGGGGGAGGAAAATCCTTGTTACATCTCTATAAAGGAGGCATTACAATTCTATGCATCTAAAACAACTCAGCCTTATAATTTCGATCGCTTTAAAGATTCCTGTCAAGCACTCAATGCCTTTACAGAATACCATGTGATGCTGCAAAACCCCAATCCCATCGAATCAGATAAGCTGTCGCAATTCTAATTGGAGGAAGTCAGGTAATAACAAGAAGAGAAGCCATATAAAAAGTTAGAAAAGGAATAGAGGAAAGCAATCACGTAGAATGCCACTGTGCTGTTATAATTGTAGTTGAGAAGTTTCATTGATAGATCCCTACAGCACTTTGAGTAACACATTCTTAATATCAATATTCCTAAATAATTTGATATTGAGATTAGAGATACAAATTTTGTTAGTTTGATACAGGCTTGCTAAAATCTAAAAGACAAGGAATTTATACCTCCAAAATGGGGTTTGCTTTAGTAGCCTTATGATCCATTCATTCGATTGGAATTGATTATTGAAAATGACTTTGTTAAGTTAAAGGAAAATGAAGAGTCAGTCAAGAATGAATTTGTGGATGCCTTCAGAAGTATCATTATATCATTTGATAAATTCTTGCATCCAAAATTCGCCAAAGTCACTTACAATCCCAAAGAGACGATCCAACCAGTCCCTTTAAGAAATTTTCAATTTAATTTTGATCAAGATATGGGAGGAATGACAAAGGAGGACTTTTAGAAGTTCTTCAAGTCTTTTTGGCCATAGGTGAAAGTGGAAGAGAAGTAATAAAAAGAGCATCCTGAACTTCTGTTGGCATCGGAAGAATAGAGAGAAATTTATTAGGAGAAGAAGTATATGACAGTTGCATCAATAGAGGAAGGATGTTATTTAGCTTAGGAGGCCAGGATTTTAAAACATGTTAGTGAGCATTACAAAAGAACTCATTAAGTCATTGAATACTTTTAACAATTCACTTAATTCTTTAATAAGGTCCATGAAAAAGAAATCAAATCTTTAAAGAAGGCAATCACAAATGAAGAATTCAAAATGTACATGGAGATTCTCAATAAATACAAAACTTTGGTAGATAAACTCCCATAAACTATACAATTCCCTCTGTTTTAAGTCAATTGCGAGCTTGTCTTATCGAGCGTAAAATAGATGATCAAAGAATACAAGGATAGATTGTTTATCAATTTTGAATCAGTCTTAATAGATTAGGCTAAAGTTATATCTGATAGATACTTACAGATTAGTACATATATCAGAAGATCACTTAAAACACCAGAAGATGTGGAGGCCATGGACAAGTACATTACAGATGTTGGGTAGGAGAGAGTAAAGATAAAAACCAATACAACAGATATCTTTATTAAGGTTATGTTTTTATTGAAGCAAGATTATGTGATTAGTGAACAATTATTGTTGTTATCGGAGGAATTGTATCATAGACCATCTCAACTTGACAAGGAATTGATTGAACAAGAAGAGAAGCATCAGATTGAGAGAGGAAGGTTAGAGGAGGAACTCAAAAAGTAGAGATCTCAATTTGAGGAGAGAGTAGCTAAGTATTGTAAGGAAATTGATAATCTTGAAACATTCACTGAAAGATCGAAATACAAAGGATATGTTAGGGATATTGAAGAGTTTGAGTAGAAGTTAGCAGAAGCCAATGCAGAAATGTAGGAGATAATATAAAAAGAGTTGACCTTATTTGGATATCCATCTTAATTTGAAAATTTTGTGAAATTGTAAACTGAAATATAGCCGTATTCAGAATTGTGGAAATCTATAGGTGTGTATATGGAGAATAGGAAGAATTGGATGAATGGGCCAATAATGGATGTTGATTATGGTGATGTAGAGACTATTTTGAAGAATCAGAAAAAGGGAATCGTTAAGCTAAACAACTTGTTCAAGCAAAATAGTATTCCATATAGAGTTTTGGGAGAATTCAAATAAGATGTTGAACTCATGAGTTAAAACAGCAAGACTTTGGAGATTCTATCAAATCCAGGATTACGCGAACGACATTGGAAATCAGTGCAGACTATATTAGCCACATCTTTTAATTATAAAGAAGTGTCTTTAAGAGAATTGAATAATTTGAATGTCGAGTAGTTTATTAATGATATGGAAGAAATATCAGAAAATGCAAGTAAGGAATTCACTCTAGAGAATGCATTAACAAAAATGAAGAAAGAATGGGATAGCATTAAATTGGTAGTTTTAAATTACAAAGGAAGAGGAGTTCTCATTTTGTAAGGACAATCTGTGGAGGAAATTCAAACCTTATTGGACGATCATGTGATTAAATCACAAACAATCAGAGCTAATCCCTTAATCAAGTTTATGGAGGAAGATGCTATAAAGTGGGAAAAGTCTATGATATTTATATAGTAAATCTTAGAATTGTGGATTAAAGTTTAAGGGATGTACTTATATTTGGAACCAATTTTCAGTTTTGAAGATATCATAAAAACATTGTATGATGAGAGTGAGAAATTCAAAAAAGTAAGTAGCAATTGGAATTTAATCACAAAGGCTGTTGAAATGGAACCATTAGCCTTGAATTTAGACAAGATTCCAAATTTAATGGATATCTTATAGACTTCATTGAGATTGATAGAGGAAATACAAAAAGGGTTGGAGAATCATTTGGAGATTAAGCGATTAGAATTTCCTCGTTTCTTTTTTTTATCGAATGATGATTTAATTAATATTTTGGCAGAGACAAGAGACCCCTTATTAGTGTAACCTCACATGAGAAAATGTTTTGAGGGAATCGAGGAATTAATCTTCAATTCCAATACTGATATATTGGGAATGAAAAGCGTAGAGAAGGAGGAAGTCAACTTTGATAACAGGGTATCACCTAAAGAGTTTAAGAATTGTGTTGAGAAATGGTTACTGAAGGTGGAAGAAGAGATGAGGAACAGCATTTCACACTTAATACGTTAATGCTATGGAGAATTACAAGAATTACCAGTGTTAATCAAATGGATTCGTAGATGGCCTGGTTAATGTGTATTGACTTGTGCTTGTATTAACTTTACCAATTAAATCGAGAGCCTAATAAGATCAGGGAAGACTCTGAATAAATTTGGAAATGACAGAGTTAATCATTTGAATGAGATTGTGTCTTAGGTTAGGGAATCTTAACAATAAAATGAAAGATAGTTGTTGTCAGCTCTTATAGTGTTGGAGGTGCATAATAATGATATCTTGTAAGATCTTATAAAATTGGAAATGAAAGACACAAATATATTTGAATGGACCTCATAATTGAGATATTACATGTAGGAAGACACAAGTGTTTCAGTCAAGATGGTCTAAACATCTATTCCTTATGGAAATGAGTATTTAGGAATAGGAAGCAGATTGGTTATTACTCCATTAACGGATCGATGTTATAGAACTTTAGTTGGTGCATTACAATTAAATTTGGGAGGAGCACCAGAAGGACCAGCTGGTACTGGTAAGACAGAATCCACAAAGGACTTAGCCAAAGCAGTAGCAGTATAATGTATAGTATTTAATTGTGGTGAGGGATTGAACACTCATGCAATGGCCAAGTTCTTTAAAGGACTAGCAAGTGCTGGTGCTTGGTCATGTTTTGATGAATTTAATAGAATTGAATTGGAGGTCTTGTCTGTCATTGCATAATAAATCTTATAAATTCAGTAAGCTAAATCAATGTCGATTGAATCATTTTAATTTGAAGGCACAGAAATACATATTCAATAATCATGCAACATCTTTATTACAATGAATCCTGGATATGCAGGTAGATCAGAATTACCAGATAATTTAAAAGCACTCTTTAGACCATGTGCTATGATGGTACCAGACTATGCTCTCATTGCAGAAATATCTCTATATTCATTTGGATTTGTTGAGGCAAGAGCATTGGCTAAAAAGATCGTTGCTGTATATAAATTATGTTCGGAATAACTGTCAAGTCAAGATCACTATGATTATGGTATGAGAGCAGTCAAAGCAGTTTTGACAGCTGCATAATTACTCAAACGTAAATCTACTGAAAGAGAGGACATTCTTATTTACAGAGCCATAGGTGATATCAATTTACCAAAGTTCTTAACTAATGATGTGATGTTCATTCAATGGTATTATGAGTGATCTCTTTCCAGATGTCAAAGTGCAACCAGTTGAATATAAGAATCTGTAAGATGCTATGCATTCGGTCTTGTAATCTTAGAACATGTAGATTGTACCTAACTTCAAAAGAAAAGTGTTACAATTATATGAGATGATCAATTGTAGACATGGACTTATGTTGGTTGGATAGACTATGAGTGGCAAAACCTCTTGTTATTAAGTATTAGCGTCTACTTTAACCCATTGTCATAAAAATGGGTTATAGGATGAGAGATGTGTTCAATATCATGTGTTAAATCCGAAGTCTATAACTTTGAACTAATTATACGGATACTCTGATCCTGTCAGTAAGGAATGGACGGAAGGAGTATTGGGTGAGATATATCGTAAATGTGCTACATCCACTTCTTAGGATAGACAATTTTTGGTTTTTGATGGCCCTGTAGATGCTGCATGGATTGAAAATATGAATACAGTCTTAGACGATAATAAGAAATTGTGTTTAATGAGTGGAGAGACCATTGCAATGACTGATCGAATGACAATTATCTTTGAAGTTCAAGATTTAACATAGGCTTCTCCTGCAACTGTGAGTAGGTGTGGTATGGTATATTTATAGCCTGACCAATTGGGATGGTTTAATGTATTTTTGAACAAATTACAAGAAATTTAAAATATAGATTAAAGTATTCTTATGAGAATTTCAGATCTCTTTGAAACCATAGTTGACAAGGCTCAAAAATTCATTAAATAAAAGTGCCATGAATATGAATCAGTACCAGAGAACTCGTTTTGCATTCATACCTTATCTATGCTCATTCAATTGATTTAGACTTATCCTGAAGTTTTAAGAAAGTAAACAGATCCTAGCATTCTGATTGATGCATTCTTCATATACTCAGTTGTATGGACAGTTGGCAGTTCCGTCGATGAGATAGGTAGAAAACATTTTGATTAATATCTCAAAAAACTAATTAAGGAACCTCTCAGAAATGAGAATAAAAAAGATGTTGTCATCAAAATAGACAAGTAATCCTAAATCCCAGAATTATCTAATACAAATATCTATGATTTCTTCTATGATCCTGAGTTACTCAAATGGAGAATGTGGAAGGAACTTCTTAAAGATTCTTAAATTCCAGAAAACATAGCCTATTAAGAGATCCTTGTTGAGACCTCTGAATCCCTCAGAATTACATCCATTATTGACAAATGCATAAATCGTCACTCTCCATTACTGATAATCGGCCCAAGTGGAGTTGGTAAAACCTGTTACATCCGAAAACATATCTCAACATTGCAAAACTACTTAAATATTTTTGTCAATTTCTCAGCTACCACAAGTGCAAACAAAACTCAAATGATTATTGATTCTAAGGTAGAAAGGAAAAGGAAAGGTTTCTATGGACCCCCATTGGGTTTCATCGGATTAATTTATATCGATGACATGAATATGCCTGCTCCTGACAAGTATGGCACGCAAGCTCCTCTGGAATTGATACGACAATTCTTAGGTACCAAAGGATGGTATGGAAATGATAGACAATTCATGCATATATTGGATTGCAACGTTATTGCATCTATGGGATTACCAGGAGGTGGAAGAAGCTTTGTTTCTCAAAGATTGTTGAGATTCTTTTAGATTGTGTCCATTGTCACTCCTGACACCAACAATATTGTACACATCTTCACTTCCATCATCTCTTGGCATTTGAATAACATCAAAATCGAAAACACAGATAATGACATTAGGAAGAGTTTCCAATATGCAATCGAAGCTACAATTGATTTATATAATTAGATTCGAGATTAATTAAAGGCAACTCCAAAAAAGTCATGGTATATCCTTAATATGAGAGACATCAGTCGAGTAGTTCAAGGGATGACTTTAGTGATGAATGCCAAAGAGTTGTCACTTGATCATAAGAAAGTTCAGAGATTATGGCTTCATGAAACCACAAGAACCTTTTTTGATAGATTGGAATAGGTTGATCATGAACAATATTCATTAATGTTGGCAAACTCAATTAAACTAAAATTAAGAGATGATCTAAAACACATGATTAAACCATATGATGATGTTGCGACTACTAAATACAATATAAAGAGTTATGTTTGGTCAGACATTCTTTCAGAAGAACCCAATGTTTCAGAAAGGAAATACACAGAAGTGATGTCATCAACTAGAGTGTATTCAAAATTGCAATTCTATTTGGAAGATCTTAATTCCAATACAAAAAAGCCATTGAATTTGGCATTATTTGATTATTGTGTTGAGCATCTCTTAAGAATCCAAAGAGTCTTAAATATGACTTAAGGTCATTTGTTATTGATTGGTTTGGGAGGCTCTGGAAGATAGAGTCTCACTAGATTGGCATGTTTTATTAGAGAATAGGAATTCTTACAAATTGAGGTAGGCAAAGGATATACTTATGAACAATGGAAAGAAACAATGTAGAAATTAATGATAAATGCTGGGGCAGACAATAAGGAGATAACTCTTTGTATTTCAGATTCATAAATCAAGAAACCATTTATTTTAGAGGATGTTAACAATCTACTAAATACAGGTGATATTCCTAATCTCTTTGGATAGGAAGATTTCATTCCATAAATAGATAAATTGAGATTGAAAGCAAAGAAGGAAGGCAAATAGTAGTTGTTTGATAATGGGAATAATGCGCAATTCTATGATTATTTCATTGAATGTGTGAAGAAGAAACTCCACGTCGTTTTGGCAATGAGTCCCATAGGGGATACTTTAAGATCAAGAATACGTATGTTTCCAAGCATCGTAAATTGTGCAACAATCGATTGTTTCCATTAATGGCCTGAAGATGCTTTAGAGGCTGTGGCTAGAAAGTTCTTAGAGGATATACAAATCAAGGATAGTCAATAAAGATTATTGGTTGCCTAGTGCAAATATATGCATTCCTCATTACAGACTATTAGTGAGTAATTCAAATCTCAAGAAGGAAGACACAATTATGTTACTCCTAGTAGTTACTTTGAGTTATTGAAGACATTTTAAGCTGTTTTGCATGTAGAGAAGACTAAGTTGGAAGATACTAGAAATATGTATAAGAATGGAGTCACAAAACTTGATCAAACTTCAGAGGAAGTTAAGAGAATGGAGGCAGAATTGATTGAAAAATAACCTAAATTAGTTGAAATGAATATTGAAGCCAGTAAGTTGGCAGTTATTATCAAATAATAAGCAGATGCTATGGAACCTAAGAGATTGTAAGTACAATAAGAGGAGGCTCGAGTTTCAGAATGTGTTAAGGAGGCTGAAATAATCAATTAAGAATGCGAGAAGGAATTATCTGTGGCAAAGCCTAAATTAAAATAAGCTGAAGAAGCTTTAAATACCCTATCTCCTGCTGATATTAATTCAATTAAGGCTATGTTGAAACCACCCATCACTGTTAAGTTGGTGATGGAATCTGTTTGTGTCTTGTGTGGAGTTCCTCCTATTAGTATGCCTAAACCTGAGAATCCAAAAGAAAGATTTATGGATTATTGGGAGGCGAGTAAGAAGTTTTTAGCAGATAAGGATTTCCTATAAAAAGCTGATTGGCTATGATAAAAATAATATTAAACCTGAAATTATGTAGAAAGTCAGACATAATTATGTCTCCAAGAAGGACGAATTCAATCCAAAAAGAGTTGAAAAGGCGAGTTCTGCTGCTAAAGGATTATGCGAATGGGTTTTAGCTTTAGATGAATATGAAAAGGTACTCACTATTGTTAGACCTAAACAAGAAAAGTATCTTCAATCACAACAGGAAGTGGCCAGATTGTAAGAGTCATTGAAAAATATTATAATAAGATTTATCTGTTTTAACAGCAGAGATTAATAAGTTAGAATTGGCTTATTAGGAAACTATGAATAATCAATAGCAATTAGATAGAGATATTAAGGAGTGTGAAGTCAAGTTGCAGAGAGCTACAAAGTTGATGGAAGGATTGGGAGGAGAAAGAGAGAGATGGAGTAAGTCATCTGCCATTTATGAATAGAGATTAAAATAAGTATTGGGAGATATCATACTATCATCAGGAACTATTGCATATTTAGGAGTCTTTAGTAATAGTTTCAGATAGAAAACCATCAAAATGTGGATGGATAACTTGAAGGGTAATATGTAATTCTCTGAAAACTTTTCATTACAGAACATTCTTGGGTAACCGATTTTGATTAGACAATGGAGAATGAATGGTTTACCTAGTGATTAGTTCAGCATTGAAAATGGAATTATAATGAATAGGTGTCAAAGGTTCCCTTTAATAATCGATCCCTAAGGACAAGGCAATAGATTTATTAGACAAAACGAAAAAGATATAAAATTAGTCAAGTTCACTGATAGCGATTTCTTGAGAACATTGGAAAATACATTATAATTTGGATAACCATTACTAATTGAAAATATATATGAGGATGTTGATTCAACTATTGATTCTGTCTTGCTCAAGCAAATCTTCAAAAATGCTGGAGTTATGTCAGTCCGTATTGGAGACAATATTATACCCTATAATAAATAGTTCAATCTGTTCATGACTACCAAATTAAGCAATCCTCATTACACTCCAGAAATAAGTACTAAAGTTACAATTATCAATTTCACCATTACTCAAAGTGGGTTAGAGGATTAATTACTAGAAATATGTGTTAGCAAAGAGTAACCAAATTTAGAAGAGGAGAAGAATAGGTAGATTTTATAGTAACACAAAAATAAATAAGAGTTGTAAAAAATAGAAGATCAAATTCTTAGAGTTTTAAATAAGGCTGAGAATATTTTGAATGATGAGGAAGCTATTTAGATTTTGTAGACTTCTAAAGAAAAATCAAAAGATATTGAGGAGAAATAAGAGACATCAGAATACACAGAGAGAAAGATTGATGAAGCCAGAGTGTAATATAAACCAATTGCTATTCATGGGGCTTTGCTCTTCTTTGCAGTCATATCTCTAGCCTAATTAGATTCTATGTATTAATACTCTTTATCTTGGTTATTAAATTTGTATTAGGAAGCATTCATCAAAAGTGAATCAAGTTAACGTATTCAATAAAGAATAACCAACATTAATAATATGACACTCAACTTAATATATAATTAAGTTTGTAGGGGATTATTCGAGAAGGATAAATTGCTTTATAGTTTCATTATTTTGATCAAAATTCTTGAATAGAAGAAATAAATAGATTTTGAAGAATTCTCCTTCATTATTAGATAAATAACTATTCCCACTGAAGTACCAGAAAATCCTTTCAAAGAATGGTTACCAAACTAAGCATGGGCAAGAGTATAAGTCTTAATAAAAGTGAACAAGAAATTATCATAAATTGTAGATAGTATGCGTAATTTCCCTGAAGTTTGGATGGAATTACTAGACTCTCCAGATGGCCATTAGATTAGATTCCCTGAACCATTTGTCATCATCACTCCTATATAGAGAATGTGTATAATAAAGGCTTTAAGACCCGGTAAACTGCCTAGAGTGATTCAAGAATTTGTGGCTTCTGAATTGGGAGATAAATATATTTAACCTCCATCATTTTCACTCCATCAGTCATTTCAAGGTAGCAATCCCAAATCCCCATTGTTATTTGTGTTGCCTGGTACTGATCCTATGAACGCTTTACTTAATTTTGCTAAATAGAAGGATATCTAACTAAGATCTGTTTCATTGGGTTAAGGGTAAGGAGTGATTGCAGAAAAGGAAATTGAAGATGCAAAATAATCAGGAACATGGGTGATATTGTAAAATTGTCATTTATATCCATCATGGATGCCAAAGTTAGAAAAGATTATAGAGGATATATAAACTTAGAAAATGCACAATCATTTCAGACTCTGGTTAACCAGTTATCCCAGTGAGGATCTACCCGCATCTATTGTTTAGAGCAGTGTGAAGATGACAAATGAACCACCAACTGGTATCAAATCGAATCTATAGGTCAGTTATTCTAGTGCTCTTTATTAACAATTAGATTATTCAAATAAGAAACTATCAAAACTATTTTATGCATTATCATTTTTCCATGCTATATTGCAAGAACGTAGAAATTATGGACCTATAGGTTTTAATATCTATTATGATTTTAATCAATCCGATCTATTTATATCAATTAGACAACTTTAATAAATGGCTGCCGATGTCTCCATACCATTCCATGCATTACATTACCTAATTGGAGAATGCAATTACGGAGGTAGAGTAACTGATGAAAGAGATAGGAGAGTGGTGAGAGCTCTTTTGGATGAATATTTAACTGAGAAAGTCACCTTTGACACCTTCTAAATTCAAGATTTCCCAATTATTGAAGGGTTATCGTATGAAGAATATATGAATCAATTGAATAATCTACCACTAGTCCAGCCAACTCATCTTTTTGGATTCCATCCTAATGCTGAAATTATGAAGGATCAACAATACACAGATGAGATCCTTAGAAAATTGTAATAGACACTTGGATCCTCTTACACCGATGGTTAATAAAATGATGAATCTAAAAAAGCAGATAATGTCCTTAAACAATTATGTGAAGAGTACCTTGCCAATTTCCCTAGAAAATTTGATATCGAAATTGCAAATGCTAAGTATCCTCATGATTATAAGAACTCTTTTAATACTGTTTTCTAATAAGAAATATCAAGATTCAATAAGTTGTTCTCAGTTATTCAATAATCATTTATTGATACACTGAATGCTATCAAGGGATTAACAGCTATGTCTGACCAATTGGAAAAAATTACTCAATCATTTCTAATAGGAGCAGTACCAGAATAATGGAAAAAGTATAGTTATCCTTCATTGAAGCCACTTGCTTCGTATTTATAGGATTTCCTAAGAAGAATCAGGTATTTCCAGAATTGGCTAGATAAACAAATTCCCTATGTCCATTGGATCTCTGGTTTCTTCTTTACTCAATCCTTCCTTACTGCTGTCTTATAAAATCACGCCAGAAAATACTCAATAGCAATAGACAAATTAGATTTTGAATTCTAGTTTCTTGAAGAGCCGTAACTTAATTTTGAAGTCAATCAACTACCTCGACAAGTTAATGGTAATTTATTAATGATTATATCTTAGATGGCACTCTTATATTTGGACTCTTCTTGGAGGGATGCAGATGGGATTATGGTCGAGAAATGATTGTGGAATCTAATCCGAAGGTACTGACAACTCTAGCTCCTATCATATGGCTCAAGCCTATACAGGGAGAGTCAGAAACAAAGAACCAATACGTTTGCCCAGTTTACAAGACAGCAGAAAGAAGGGGAGTCCTCTCTACTACTGGGCATTCTACTAATTTTATCATGAATGTCAATTTGCCAACTGAACAATCACAACATCATTGGGTGAAGAGAGGTGTAGCTATGCTTTGTTAACTCTCAGATTGACTGAAAAAACTGATCTAATTCAATATATATAAATAAAATTTCATTTTATTTAACTTATCTAATAAATCTTTTTCTTAAAAAATATAATTCTTTATAAAGATGCTTACTCTTGCGTATTAAATTTACATTCATCATGCATCATAAATCAAATTGTCAGCTCAATTAATGTCATATTTAATTATTATAATATAATCTAAAAATTTAAATTATCATGTCAGCTCATTCATTTAAGCAAAGCCAAGCTTAAATAAATCATCAACCGCCACTCAAACCATTTTGCTATATTCCAGATAGTCCAACTGCTAAACCTGAGTAAAATGGGGAGCAAGATTTTATCAAATTAAGCATAAACAAATAAAGTAGCACCAAATCGGATGTAGATAACAGTGCGAATTCCAATTTAATCACCAACGAAAAAAATAATCTCCCACTAGCACTTCACAATAAATTCCCCATGGTTTCAAATTTTACTATCAATCACAATGAAGAAAAATATGAATATGAAAAACCAATCAAAACTCAATAACCAACCAAGATTTATTGTAAGTTTTGCAATACCAGGAAACCAACTTAGATTTAACTCAAAAATGGATCCAATACATACATCCTAGCATGTATTTTATTCGTTCTATGTCTCCCTTTGTTTTGGGTTCCTCTGATATCCAAAAAATGCAAGGATTAAGTCGAAATCTGTGTTGTTTGTAATCGCCAAACAAGCTCTACTCCATTTAGATTGTTTTGAATATAGATTATTTGTATTATTGATTATTCTAAAACTTAAATTACTATTGGAGAATTATAAATAAAGATCAAATTATTCACACACACGCATGTACGAATTGATTATTTTAAAGAAAAACAAATATCTCAGTAGTACTTTGAGATCCTAAGTTTAAGATTCTCAATTCTAAATGTAATATTATTTATGCAGGACGGTATTTCACACCAAAAAAGATTCAGTAGAACCCATATCCTTTGAGACGAGCAAAACTTTTATTTTTATGGCTAACAATAGAGGATTTAAAATATATGACAATTAAAAATCTTTCTTTAAAATTTTACAATCAAAAGATAATTAATTATCATAATAATTAAAAATAAAATTTAATAACAAAATTCCTATAAGTGCCAAAAATTATTCTAATAATTTGAATTTTTAAAATGTTATTATTAATGAAAGTAAATTAAATTTATACATTCATAGATGAGATAAATAATATTTTCAGTTATTTTCTTTTTAATCTATTACATTTATGTAGGTAGTTCCATATAGATTTATTGTCGTCACTTAAGGATCTACAAGACGTGATTTTTTGTGAATACTCAAATTAGATAGATCCTTAGATAATTCTCTTGAATCATCCTTTGATATAGAATCTACATTATACTAATTTTTACTTAGATTCCTATAGATTGAATTATGCTTTAAAGGAGATCTAATAGGGGAAGTCCCAAAAATGCTGCTCGTAGGAGACCTCTCTCTTGGTGATAATCTCTACTTAATGTGAGAAATGTTGGCAAATCTATGTCGATCTTCTGCCGGTTATTATGTAATGGATGCCTTCTTTTTTATTTAAGAGTTATTCGTAGAAGATGAAAATGAAATGGGGTAGGACTGATCAGAGTCTCCGCTTGTCGTATATTACGATTAATTTTTAGATAATTTATTGGATTCTATTATTGCTTTCTATTAGGCAATGACTAAATCCTTTTAAACTAATTCTTATTGTGATTTCTCTTGATCAGATTTCATATCTAATATTTATTTTGAAAGATCTGCAAACCTCTGTTTCCAATAATTTATTGTAGATTACTATTCTTCTGTAATCTAAAGAAGCAAAGATTTAAGTATTTATTTTTATTAAAGATTTGTCTTTAGAGCAATCTACAATTGTTTTTCTATGATTTGATTTTCTTTTTATGCTGCCAATAACTTCATGTATGTTTCATCCTCTTATTTAGTTTCTTGAGTTTCTTCAATTTTTTAAGAATTTGCTTGAATTTAAGATTAGATCTCTATAATTGAATTATTAATCTCAAAATATTCTTCAACATTTGAGTAGATATCATTGTAAATTTTAGTTAAATAGATAGATTTAGAAGAAGAATCCCCTAATTGTTATGACTCATTAGTGGGAGACAGATCCTCTGATTTCTGATTTTGCTGAACGGAAGTAACTTCTTTGTGAACCTGCTTCTTAATTTAAGTAGCTCTTTAAGAATATGTCAGAGTATTCAAAATTTCGTCGTATGATTGCTTATTTTATTATACACAAGCTATCATAATTGTTTTAGTGTTTCCACCCAAAGAGTCTTATAAGAGTCTGGTCAACTTGGAATTTCTGTATGGAATATGCTGATTTTTCTTTGTTTTATCTGATAACATCGTTAGACAATGACTCAAGGCCAATAAGGATTTGTTTATATTAGAGCCCTCTTGCTAATTTTTTGACTTCTATTCCAAATAGACTTTTTCAGAGCCTGCCAAATCTACAATAAATAACTTGGGAGTTAGAATTTAACTAATGATAATTATAATATTAATACTTATCAATCTTATAGGATAAGTTTACCTGAATTACAGCATGGGATCTAGAAGATGAAACATTATAAATAGTTTGAGCTAGACTTCTGTTTTGATTCCCAAGATTCAAGATTTCTTTCACTTCTTCACTATTCTTACAAACCATTTGCTATACTCCTGATATACATTATCCTTTTTAACTATCCTACATAATTACTAATGATTTTTAATTAGTATTTAATAGATCTCTTATTGTTTCATTGTAAATCTCAATAAAACTCACTTCTACTAATGCATTAGGGTAAGCACTAAATAACACATCCAAAATACCTTGTTTTTTCAACTAAATAATTTAAACATTGGAATGCAAGTCCCTCGTCCTTCTCATTACCGAAAATAGTGTGCGTCTTCCCAGATCCTGTTATTCCATAGGCCAAAATAGTAGTGTTGTAGCCTTCAAGAAAATAATTTATATTGTGCTATCACTTTAGATAAACCAAAAGTACTTAGAGAATCTCAGAAAAGATTTAAGCATTGTGTTCGTTATTAAATATACGATCGAAATGAAACTCTTTGTTATTTCTACCCTATTTGGTAATTACAATTCTCTTTTCATCCAAGTCTTATATAAGAGTGTCTTGACTAGCGATTATACAATTATTACCTATTATCTAACAAGGGCTTCACTCTAAGATATACTTAAAAGGGTGTATTATTAGACATTTAATTAGCAGTTAAATATTAAATTTATTTTAATACATTATATAACTAGCATTTAAAGTAGTTATATTCATGCAGAACTGAGTACCTTCCAAAACAACTCAACAGTTGGGTATGATCAACTTGTAAGAAGTTGCCAGCAAAATTAAATACACTAAAGTTTATTCTAATTGATTAATATAATATTAATTATAAAATTTAAATTATCAACAATTATCAAAAAAATCAGATCTTAAAAAATTGAATAAATAAATAAATTAAAAACTTGCATATTTGAAGTTAATTTTCTTTGTTTTATTCAAAAAGAATTTAAGATTTGTAAAAAAGTAAAACCTGTTGTGTCATGTCAATAAACTTCATTCTTAATTTAGTTAATAGATTTCTCAAAGAAATGGTGAGTTATTGCTATTTTCGAGTTGCTTGATGTAATCTTCCTTATTTTTTAAAATATTTCAATGTTATTAATTTCTAAATTTATATTTGTATGCCTATCTATTTTTTAATGCTACTAAAATATAGATTATCTATTAATGTTGTTGCAGCTATTATTGTTAGAATTTAAGAATGTTATATTCTAACATATATGAATGAATCATTCAATTTATAAATTCGCCAAATACATAGTAATTCAATTCAAGATTTACAAATATTATTATAAAGCAAATAACTGAAAACAAACGTAAAAGGATTAGATAAAATCATACAAGAGTGCTTTATTTGGATATGTATAAAAAAATTCGAGTAAAATTCATCTAAATTCTAGCTCAAATAGATCTTTTATATGAGACTTCTCTTTAATATCACTAAAGTAAGTAACTAAAGTTTTATTTATGGTATTCTTAAATATTTGAAACTTAATAATTTTGAGATATCTTTTCCAGTTTTTTTAATAGGATCTTATTAAAAGTGTATGACATTGATTTTCTCATGCTTACATCTATTCTTCACTACTGGAATTAAATTTCTTTTTCACTGCTTTAATATCAAAATTTTAATGTAGATGTAAACAAAGGTCAATATTTATTATCTAATACTTCTCCATCTTTAATAGGAAGCATTTCTTGATGCTGGGAATTTTATCACAAAACTTGTCAATAAATAAGTATATAAATAAATGAACTTTTGTTATTTAATAGGTTCTTAAAATAACTTGAATTGCTAAATAGAGAACGTTATTTGAGTCTGGTAAAGGAATAAAATTCTTGTGTAAATAAATGAAAATAATATGAATTACCCTATGTAAATATTTTTCTTTAATTTTTAACAGAAATGCTTTGCTCTTTTGAATATTCAATTAAGCCTTATATCTACAATTCTAATTTATGCTCTTTTTTAGTAAAAACTTTAATTTCAGGGGCTGGTACCACAACTTTTGATAATCAGAGAATTTAGTTTCTTCTTAATCTATTATTTTAGAGGAGCGTAATATTTGTTATTTAGGATAGTGATTTATCCTACGAATTACTTTGGATCGTAAAGAACTTTCTTAAATTACTAATTATTATTTCATATAATGATTAATTAAAAGCTGATCAACAATACATATACCATCAAAAAGAGAATATCCTCTGGTTCTTTTGGAGTTGTTTATTTAGGACAAGAAATAAACACTCGAAATTTTGTGGCTATAAAAGTGGATAAGGAAAAAAAAGAGGAGTCTAGTCTTTAAAGAGAAGTAGGAATCTAATTTTATATTTATGTTAGGCAGAGATTCTGAAGAGACTATAGCATTTGAAACACATTCCAAAATTATATTGGTCAGGGAAGGACGGAGATTCAACCTATCTAGTGATTCAATACCTAGGAAGAGATTTGACTCATTACATAAGAAATTACAGAAAATTTTCCTTAAAATGCGTTCTTAATATAGCAGAACAAATGATTATCATCTTAGAAAGTTTACATAAACAGTATTAGTTTTTGTTTAATTTAAAGCAATGTGATTCATAGAGATATAAAACCAGAAAATATCTTGGTTGGAAAGGAGGATGACGAAAATCAACTTTTCATTGTAGATTTTGGAATCAGTAAATTCTATAAAGAGTAAAACGAGTCGCATATGTAAGATATCTCTTACTAATATTTAGATCTTTTAAAGAGAAGTAACCCTTTATCGGAACCACTCGATATGCAAGCAGCAATGCTCACAAAAGACTATCACTGAGTCGAAGAGATGACATGGAATCGTTATGTTATATGCTGATCTATTTACTAAAAGGTATTGATTGATGAAGAAGAATTAAAGGTTAATTGCCATGGTAAAATCTTCAATTTACGTCAGAGGAGGATAAGATAAATTAAGTTGGCCAAATGAAAATGAGACTGGATTCAAATGAATTGTGCTAAGGATTACCCATAGAATTTGCTATTTATTTAGATTACGTGAAAGGATTGCATTTTAAGTTAGAGCCTAATTATAAATATTGTCTATCGTTATTCAGAAAGGTTTCAAAAGAACACAATTTTTCAACGAGAGATCTTATTTTTGATTGGGTAATCTCTTAGAAATCTGAGAGAGATGGATAATCATCTGAGAGGGATGGGTAATTAGCTGAGAGCAATCCTTTTAATAGCAAGCCTTCTTTGTAATTATTAAAATTAAATACTTAGATTTAAAAAATCCAAAGATGATCCTTTAGGTTCATAATTAAATTAATCAATTGAATAAGAAAATAACTAATTAAGAAAAATGCCTGATAAAAAGAGATGCACTCTGACACCCGAGATCAATAGAAAAAAAAATAGACTATTGTCTGTTAACAGTAATAATGATACTGTTTCAGATAATGACTTCAATAATAGTATTATGATTGGAATACAACCAAGTATTCTAAGTAGACTAAGCAAGATTTCTTTTAATTCAAACTCAAAATTCTAAAATAGTATATCTAATAATTCAGTAAATCCAAATGTCAATCAGTTCAATCATCTTCTTTCAATTTCTCCGGATTCTGATTTAGAGAATATTCTTAATGAATATCAACGAAAATCTCAAACAATTCAACCATATAATCAAATTCTAAATGATGATGATACTACCATTGAATTCCAGATGATGAATGAAGGAGATGAAGGAATAGAGCGGAAATATATAGAGCTTAAACTTCGTTTTATTAGAGCGTATGTAAATTTCATATTTTATTTAGTCGTTTTAAACCTAGACTAAACAATAGCCTAAAATGATCATTATGAAATTACAAATTCTCTGCTTTATAGCATTAATTATATTATCAAATAAAATGAGTTTTTTTTAATTATGAGTTTACTGGAAAACGAAATAATAAACTCAAGCTTTATTTTTACATTTCTTAAAAAAAATGAAAACGAGAATGTAAATTTTTCTTAATTTCCTAAAAATTGAATATAAGCACAATCTAATTAGAAAAATTTCAGATTAACATCCCTATGTTATTGTTTGTATTTCTCATGAACTATAATATGATTAGATCTGAAATTCATAGTTTTCAAAAGGACGATGCTTCTAGATAAATATTTAGAGGAGTGTCCAATCTTATTTTTATTCATTTTAATAAATATTTTAGCAAATAGTTTAGGTATAATAAGCTAAATAAAAGGGTAATAATTCAATTTGGTTGTAGTGAGAATGAGTATTCTTATAGGATTTAAATTAATAATAAGTTAAAGCAAAGCAATAGATAATCTATTATAAGAATTTTAACTTATACTTACCCTGAATCATTTGATAGCGACAAGAATCGCAATAAAATCAACCGAGCCGGTTTAGCTCAGTGGTTAGAGCTTTTGCCTTGTAAGCAAAGGGTCGAGAGTTCAATTCTCTCAATCGGCTGTTATTTTTATTATTTAATTTTTATAACTGAATAATATTTCATCATTCTAGATATTTGATGAATTCCTTAACATCAATAGATCCATCCTCATCTCTGTCTAATGCTTTGAATATAAGTTCAACATCATCTTTATCAAGGTTTCTAATTCTCATCTTTGAGAATACTTCGTCTAATTCAGCTTTATTAATTTTTCCATTTGAATCTTTATCGAAGGCTGCAAATAGTTGTTGAGGAGTATACTTATTTTTAACAGCTCTTGAGATTCTATTGAAAACCTAAATTATCTTGTTATAAAATACTTCTTTAGCTTTGCCTATGGCTCTCTCCTATTCTATTTGACTTAAAGAACCAAACCCTGATCTACTCGTTTAGCCAAATACGTCAGATTGTTAAGGACCTCCTCTTAGCTTTCCGAGATCCAAGAATTAATTATAATTTATCATTCCATTTTCGGGTAAGATCACATAGAGCTAAAAGTTTAATATTGAAAGAAATTACCGTCAAATCGTCAATTTCATTGGGAGTGAATCCAACTTTCTAGTCTCTAAGAATTTATTTGAACTATGTCTCAGTTAAATAGCCTGGTTTTTGGGCTTTAGCTTAGAAGGCTAATTGAAGGACTCGAGCATTTTTGAAACATACTTCTTCAGCTTTACGAGCTATCTTTTCTTTCTCTATCCCTTATTAATTAAATGATGGCTCATTTTTATCCTGATCAAGTGCTGGTTTTACAATTTGCAAAAACTCTGATATGCTAATATGTCCATCTCTATTTTTATCGAATTCCATGAATAGCTCATTTAATTCAAATTCATCAACAGGCACCAACTAATAAAGAAAATATAATAATATTATACAATTTTATTTTTAAATATGTTCTTGAGCTCTACCTTTGATAAGTAACCATTACCATCTTAGTCGATATCATTGAACAATTCTGGTACAGTTTTCCTATACTTCCTCATATAAGAAATTTAAGATAACCAACTACATAATTTTGAATATTTTATTGAGTAGGTTATGCTTTGATAATCTACAGTCTGTTATTGTACATATTCAATGTATCTGCAAATTCAGAAATTGAAATTCTTCCATCATGATTAACATCAAAGAATGCCACAATCTATCTAATGTCATCATCACCATTTTGTAAATTTTTGTGAACCCCAAATTATATTAGGAACTTCTTCATTTCACCAGATTCAATATAACTATTCCTGTTCTCATCCATGAATTCTCTAACCTACATTAAAGTCCATTGTCTTGCTTGACCATAATTAAGAATTGCAGTGATAGCTATATCAATTGGTGATTGCTATAGTTAAGTGTCTTATATGCTTGGGAAGTTAGACTGCATTCTTTATTAGTTACCCATTTATTGAAATGAAGATTGTGAATACATCTATTACTATTAAGAAGTGGGAATCAATTTAAAGTAGTTGGTAAATTCTCTAAAATTGATCAATTGATCATTGTTAATATCCATATAAAATTTGAGAAACTCTCGTAGTTGAGCAATTGGGATCAGTAAACTATTTTATTAGAAATACCTTTGTAATTCATCAATATTCAATTGTCCGTCAGGTTTGACAGAGTCTATCTCCATAAATAACTCTTACACTGATTTACCATAAGACAATTTTCGCTTTAATAAATCATATATAGAATTATGGATCTATTCCAATTAGGTTCTTTGCAATTGCATAGTGTTTTATTACATTAGTTGATTTATTGATGACAATTCCTGAGTTTGATATTGTGATTTAAACCCTGCTTCATACTATATGCTTTCATTAGATTGCAAGCGGAAAAATTCCTAGAATTTCTATTGATTCAAAGGTTGAGGCAATTTAGAATAATAAACTTGCATTTCTTAAGGATTCATTTTGATATTTAACACATTCTTTAAACCATTGGCAAAATCTTCATAAGTGATAATCTAATCTTGATCCCTGTCGAACACTCTGAAGGCAGTAATACCCAATAACCCTCTGGATCTCATTTCTGAACTTATTTTATGGGTAATATTCTCCTCCCAAGACTCTGCAATCATAGATCTCTATTAGTTTAATGTGTCCTCATCTTTGATGTCATACCAGAAGATTTTAACGTAAACTGATGCAACTTTGTCTCCATCATCATTCTTAACCTCTGCTGCTAAGTCAACCATTTGATTCTTTACTAAAGGAGCCAAATCAATCAAACAATATCCCACCTTGTCATTTGATCCTTCTACCAAAAGGTTGATTATCATCAATGATGTATAATTCTAAGGGCATTCTATTGAATTGATTGACAACCAATTCATTGTATACAATGTCATGAACCATTCTATAGTCCCATTTTGGATTAGATCCCATCTAAGTATTAGTATGAAAATCTTTAGTATCAAAATTATAATAGATGAAACAATTAGATTTTTGAGGAAGAGATGTTCCTTTTTCAATGCATATAACAAGTTTTCTTTTCCTAACTGCAACTATTTCTTCAGCTTCATCCAAATCTTACATCTGTAATTAGTTTCTTTCCTTTAACAAACGAATGAAATTCGAAATTGGATATCTCATTCTTGCTTTAAATTCCACTATTCCTATCATCTAATTGTTGATTCCATGAAAAGTAAGAGATCCACTAATAACTTTACTGATAGTATCATTCTTATTCTCATAAACTAAGTCCTTCAATTAAATCAATCCTGATCCAATCTTTGTAGGTTCACTACCTTGACTAACATAAAGTTCTAGTTTCAAATAGTTGCTTTCAAGGTATTGAATGAAGTTAGCATCAGCATCAACTTTAAAACTTATTTACAAATTATAAAAGCAAGATGTTCCTTCTGATACACTTGTATGTTGTGTTTCATGATCATAGAAATCAATTGTAACAAATGTCAATAGACTTCCGAGATCCAAATTTAATTGTGTGGAAGTCTTATATGAAGACACTAATTCAGCAGGTTGATACTCTCCTTTGCCAACCCATAAATCAAAGAAATTCTCTCCTGGAGACAACATTTCATCTTTGTCAACTGAGAACACTGATATAGAATCATCATATTTGATTCCCTCTGCTTCATACAAAGTCTATTGTTATCTTGCCTGAGTTTTCAGATCAGCTATCTTCGCATATTCATATGCTTTCTCATTGGCCACCTTCAATTCCAATTTTAATTATTCTATTTAAGTTTAATGCATTTTGTCTTTTTCCATCTAGATATCCTATTGATTCTTGAGTAATGTTTATGTTTTTTCTAAATGTGCAGCTAATTCTCCCTTCTCAAGTTTCAAGTGTTCAATCTCCTTTCTCAAATAAACAGGATCATCAGAATCTAAATAAGTACGATCTATAAATTCAATTTTTCTCCAAGCAGGATCTTCTCCCGTCCATTTCAAATTACCCAACACTTTTAAGAATTAATCATTATCCCAATAATTTAAATCTTTAAATGGAAGTAATTGCTAATCTTTTTCAGCCAATTTGATATTCAATTCTTAATTTCTTTCTTATAATATCTTGAACTCTTTTTTAAGATTCTCAATATCCTCTCTTTTCAATCTATTTTCGGTTTCTAATTTTGCATTGGTTTCTCTCAAATTTTTTAAATCTGTAGCATTCCTTATTTACTCCTGTTCCATAGCTTTCATTTTGGCTTGTATAGTAGCTCTTTCATTGTATTCCTTAAAAAATGGGGATTCCATTAGAATTGCTAATCTCTCTTCGATCTCCTTCTTTTATCTTCTTGCTTCTTGTAAGTCTGCTTGTAAATCAACAACACTCTTCTATGCCAACTCCATTGATCTAACTTATCCTTCCAATAAATGATTCTTCTCTTTTTCTTCTCTTAGGAGCATCATAATTTCACTCTGTCTTTTACGTTCATCATCCAATTATGATCTCATACCACTTAAATTCGATTCTAATTTATTGCATCTCTCCTGTAGAGTTACAAATTAAGCATTTTTCTAACTTAACTCCTATTGATTGACAATCTTAGAGTTCATCATTGCCTACAATTATCTGAATTAGGCTTCCTATTCAAGTAATCGTTTCTTTAATTTATCATTTAAATCTAACAATTATTTTATTTGATTTTATTAATCCACAAACTAACCTCCTCTTATTCCAGTCTATTCCATTTCTGGTCTATCTGCTTATACTAATTTCTTTTTTTTCATCGGCTAATGAGCCACAACAACTCTTTAGGCCTAGGATATAGCTTATATCTTTTATTTTAACTTTTCATTTTCAGTCTCCAAATTGTTGACTTTTGATGCCAATTAATTGTTTTATTCATTGGATTCTCCAGCACCAACAGTTTTGTTCCCCATGAATTTTTGCATTTATTATAATTTAACTTCCATTGTCCCATACATTTTTTCAAATTTCACTTAATTTTCTTTTAGCTTAATATTTTCATCATAAACATCTAAGAATAGCTTCTCTTTCTCTCCCTCATTCAACTTATTGAATTAATAAGGCTTCTTCTTCGGCATTGAAGCAGTTCTTTTATTTGAAGATTCAGGTCTTTTTGGCTAAGCTGATGGCGGTTATGGTTTAGGCTTTTGATCTTGAGCAGCTAATCAAAAGTTAACCTTTTATCTTTACTTTTTATAACATTGAGAATAGCATCATCGCCATCAAAATCATCATTATAAACATTGCTCTCAGATTAATGATCGGGAATACTAGCTTGTTGTTTCTGTTGCTAACGAATCTCATTCTGCCGCTCTTTTTTTATAGAAAATCAATGTGATACTTAAATTCCCAAGAGCATTAGTCATCGCTTACTAATCCATTGTTTATAAATATAAATAATATAAATCACATTTATTTCAAATTCTTCTGTAACTTAATCATATATTTATGAATCATTTGGTGCTATAAAATTGGTTGAAATCGCATTTATCTTTATTCTCTAAATCTACTTATTTTATTAAAACTGAAATTTATCATTCATTCAATAAGTATTAAATAAAGTATTCATAAATAGAACATATATCTCAGACATCTTGTTATTTTTACTCCATGAACAACGATAAGAACCACCTTTAAATTTAGAAATAATTATGAAAGGTAATTTCAATCACATATCATTTTTATTCAAAATATTGTAATCAGATCAAGAAGACTATGTAAACAATATCGGAATCTTCCCTCTTTTTCTAAAGAACTTAAATCAATTATTATAAAATTTAGATGCTGATTTAGATACAAAATGGTTTTCCATCAAATTTTTGAGAAATTCTAATATTATTAGTTATAATTAATATAGACAAATTCATAATTTATTTTTCATTTTTGCAATAACATATGGAACTCCATAAATTTAGTAGGTGTGAGTTAAAGTAGAATTCAATATAATCATCCCAAGTAGAAACAAGAGCCATGATTGTGGCATTTCGTATTCTTATACTTTGAATGTAAGCTTGTTAAAATAAATATATTTGTAATACATTTAGATAGTCATCCTCTGTGTCATCCTTATAAGTGAACATAAGCAAATAGAGTTCGAGTATGAATAGGAAAATCAAATAAATAGTGAAAGGTCTATTTGAGTAAAATGGTTTTTTGAATCTAGGATCATATGATAATGATACTGATAACATAATATACTAGAAATTAGTGGCTAAAAATAAAGATGTTGCCTCGAATGATTGCATAAAACCTGCTTCTCCGTATTCTTGGCGTGATAATGTAACAGGATCCTTGTACCAATCTTAATAAATTAATATAAGGTAAATGAGTATTTAAAATGACATTTAAATAAAACACTATCCAAATATTATTGATAAAACTTCTACACTGACTAAACTTCTCTATGGAATTTCTGTAGTTAATTTCCTAAGATTATCTGTGTAAGTCATTAAAATGCTGAGTGGTAAAACCACAAATAAATCTAAAATAAGAAATTAGGAGTTGGTCATGTATGAATATTGGAAATATAAGATTGTGCAACTTAAAAATTGTACTAATGAACACATTGTCATATATTCAAAAGCTTGAAATGAAGTAGTCAACGCTCCTCTGCCTTCAATTAGAATGATGGGCACTGTACTCAAATCCTCCTATCCTGATGTAAATGGAGCAGCCAAAGACAATTTTGTGTTTGTTAAACTTATTCCAACATCGGCAGTACGCATAGCTTAAATATCAGCACCTCCATCACCACAAAAGACAATCTGCTTTTTCGTTTTCAAGTAATTAATCAATTCACCTTTATGTTCTCTTCTCATCTTAGCATATACCTTAGTCTTTGTTATTAATTAATCAATGTATTTATAATCTTTATTTTCTTTTGCTTATTTCATTAAATATGTGAATACTTTGCCTGTGATTGCAAGAGTAGCTGATTTTTGTAATTATTCTTGGACTTCATCATTGACGACTGCAATGTTATTGTCCAAATTATCACATGATTTTGCATCAAAGTTGAATTTACTAATTGAATTAGGTAATTTCTATTATAGAATTTCAGCACACAATGTTTTTGTGTCATTATGCATTTAATTCTCAATTTCTTTAAACTACTATTCCATATCCTTCCAATCTATTTACAATTCGTTATCATTCTCGACAAGTTCCCCATATACTAACTATTCACTTTCTTCTACTAGTCTAGTCTGTCTGGCTACTCTCATTGATGTTAATACATTATCCCCAGTAACTAAAATTGTATCTATTTTTGCACTTCTCAACTATAAAATTACTTATTCTGCATTATCCTTTACTCTATTTTCTAGAACTAAAAAACATAAGAAAGTGAGAGTTTATTCAGAATACTCCCTTGTCGGAATTACATCCTCTTGTAATAATTATTTATATGCACAGGCAATAACTTTGAATCCATGATGACTATAATATTTAAACACTGAAGTATAATCATCTGGAACACTATCACACATTAATTTAATCTTCTCAGGTGCTCCCTTAACCAATGAATATTTATTATGATTTTATTGATTATGTATAATACAACATATGCGTTGTAATTCTTATGTAAATTCAAAGGTCTTTACAATGTCATAATTTACTCCATCCAACATCACTGTCCTATAAAAAATCTTTGCAGAACTATTCTTGAATAATGCCAAATCTAAATGATCTCCATAAAGAATTTCTTCTTCATTTACAATATTGTTACAGCATGCCATAACCAATCTTATAACTTTATTTAAATTATCGAAATCCTTCAAAAGAGGATTCAACTACCCTTAACTATTCATTTCAATTACTCCATAGAGTCTCTGTTCTTCCTCTGTTAGTGTGCCTGTTTTATCAAAACAAACTTAATTGACCATTCCTGCCAAATTTATTTTACCTGGATTAAAACAATAGATCTTTTTCTTTTTGAATCTCTTTAACGCTAAGCTTAACCCTATCTATAAAGTGGTTGGTAGAGTCGGTGGTACACACACTGCTAAAAGATCCAAGATGTCAGTTATTAGATCAGTGGCTTCCAGAAAGGGATAGGTGATTAAGAAATATATCTTAAATGGCAAGGCGATTAAATAACCTACTATTGCCACAATGCTTAAATATTTTAAATATCTCATACTATCCTCATAGAAATCAAACGAATAATCAGGTGTTAACATCACCTCTCTTATTAACTCACCTTTCCTTGTATTGAACCCTGTTGAAACAACAAAAGCCAAACAATTCTCCTCTGCTCTCAAACAGAATGTTGACATATACAACATGTTTCCATCCTTTTACACAAAAGCTGAATCATCATTTGGTAGATTGCTTTTAGTAATTGGAGTTTATTCACCATTCAAAAATTACTCCTACACAATGCAAGTTCCTTATATAAGTACACAATCACAAGCAATAACCTAAAAAGGTTCAACGATTATAATATCTCCTGGTACTAACTCTCTTGAATGAGTTTTTATTTGTTATCCAAATCTTATGATAGTCACTTCGTGTTCCAATTTGGAATTCAGTCTAATCTCTCGATAACTCTCTCTATACTCAAATAAAGTATCTATCATCGAGATGATTGATGTCAACAACAAAATAATGGCATAACTTGTATACTCTTCATAAATCCATAGCAAAATTTAAAGAATCTACACAACAAATAAAGGATGCATTAATTCATCTATAAGGATTGACAGAATTGGTTTTCTGGGAATCTCTGTTGAATTAATTCCATAAAGTTCCTAATAATCTTTCAGCTATTCGTTAGACTTCAAATGATCTCTCTGATGAACATCTTTGTTATGCTAGAGTTGAAACTAAATTTTTTCAAATCTTCCCTCTCGATATATAAATCTTTTATATCTGTATGTAAAGCCCTAACAATGATATGCAATTCATACTATATAATCTAATCCTTTTTGTATATAATGATGACTAGGAACGATCTCTTGTGTACCATCTTTTGAGTCTATTCGAAAATACTCCGCTGCAAATATTTCACACTTTGACATTCTCAGTATTGCCCAAATCTTGTAATGCCAAGTAGCCACTACATAGACTAAACCTAACGATAGTATGCACAGTAGATAAAATAAGATTGCTTTTGCAATGTTTTATCGATAGGGTACTATCAATTAAATTTCCTGCATTTTATAAATTTTTATATAATATATTAAAACTTCTCTTATTAACATTATTGATCTGATATATTTGGGAATGCCTTTTACTAAAATCAAATCTCAAGATATTAATATTACTAAATAAGATGTATATTATTATATTTTTAACATAATGGATACATTCATAATCTTTTCTCGAATAATAAACAATTATCCGGTTCGACACATTATAGAAACTTAATTCCAAATTTTATCTATTTCACTTCAGGATTCAATATGATTTGATATTTTCTAACAATAAGGGCTATGATGACTTTTGCTTCCATCATTGCCATATGTTATCCTATGCAATTCCTTTATCCTGCTGAAAAAGGAATATAAATAAAGCCATTATCGTTTTTAATAATATTGGTTGTGTTCAACCATCTTTTGTAATTAAATTCAGTAGCATTTTCAAAATAATTCTCTTAAACGCTGCTCGCATTTAACATTTCTACAACAGCCCATCCTTTCTTAAGCTTGAGATCTTAGAGTTGCATATCATTTTTAACTATTCTAAAAATAGTAGCAAAGGCTGGATTCTTAAATCTTAGAACTTCTTAAACCAAAGCATTAATTTTAACAAGTTTATTTAAATGTTATTCTTTAATTTCATCTAATCCTGCAACCTCTTAGATTTCTTCTAATATTTCAGTTTAAATCTCTGGATATTGAGCTAAATAATACAAGCATGTTCCACAAGTAGTTGCTGTTGTATCAGTTCCAGCAAAAAATAGTGTGATGAATTGATGTAATATCTCATTAACATTTATTAATTATTGTTATTATTTCTATTATTTTATGTATTCAGTAACATATAAATCTAGGAATACCATTTTATCTTCATCTTATATTGGGTTTTCTTATAGTTATTCAATTCTCCTTGAGATGATCTCTTTCACTTTAGTTCTTACCTCATTTACTCTTCTTACTATATCTTTTTCTTACTTAGTTGGCAATACATCCCACATCCTTTCCTTAAATATCAAAGATTTAATTAAGACAAATGGATTCTCAAATTAAATTAAATTAATATCTGTTGTCAATTATATCAAGGCTACTTAGGCTTCTTTTCCTTCTAATCTTAAGCCTTCTGCTAATTCACCAAAGAAACTTTTGATAACTATCTCCCCAGTTATCTTGGACATGAATTCATTTAAATTCGTTTTAGGATCTTTATCAACAATTTCTTTAACAACTTAATTCATCATTTGAATTCTTGATTTCAACTTTTCAAATGTAAAGGCCTATCCTAAGAACATTCTTTATCTTTTCCATCTATCTCCTTCACTCAAAATTAACCCTGTTTATATGAATGAATCAATCATAAATGGGTTCATCTTTTCATAATGTTGATGTTCTGTCAATGCATCCTTCAAGTATTCTGATCCAGTAAGCATAATACAAGGCTTATGAAGGAGATTTGATAGTATGATCTTTGCCTTAGGATTCTTTCTAAGAGCTGCATTGACTGTTTCCATAGCATCATTCTTGGTTTTGATTGATTTCATAAACAATCCAATAAAACCAAAGAGTGGATAAAACATGAAGATCGCTTTATCTCCTAATTTGGCTTTTAATAGCAACAGAGGGATTAAAGGTCTTATGATAAAGATATAGGTTGCAATTATTAGCAAGCAGAGAAACACCAAAGCAATATTCCACATATAATTAATTAATTACACTACTATGTAAGATTGTGTGTTTTAAATGACGAAAATTCCAAATTAGAAAAATAAAAATTCTTAATTTTTACATTAGGGTTTATCAGAAATTATTAAAAATAATAATATATAAAAATTTTAATTATAACCAATTGTTTTTACTTTGCATATTAAAATTATAATATTACAATAAAAGGTTTGAAATAGTGTGTTGGCAAATGTAGGATAACTCTTAGATTTATAAATTTATATGTATAAATTTGTATAAAGCGAAGTCTTTAAGAGTTTCCTAATTTGAGAATTGTATTATTTTTAAATTTAATAAATTTATCATATTGATATCTTCTAAATTAAACTTGGAAAGTCGTTATAGTTTCTGTTGAACACTTAGATAACTTCTGTTAAGATATCGCTCTATTGGGTTCTGAAAATGATTTTATAATTATATACCTGATTTTAGTAGCTTCTACATAACCATTATGATAATCAACGCATGTTCTCTCCCAATCATCTTTTTATCTCCTCAATAAGGTTGATTTCTTGAAATTTCAATAGATTATTATTACTTCTGTGTTAAATCTAATGTCATTATTCAACTCTAAGATGGTTTAATTGATTATTAAGACTCTAGCCTTAAATGTTGCAATAGTTGCTTCTAATCTTCTATTTTGGATAACAATTCTTTCTTTTTAATTTTGATAATCTTATTCTCTTGCGTTGTCTGTGAGTAATTCTTATTTTAACAAATCGAAAACGCTTTCAATCAATTCATCAATAATTTCTTAAATCTTGGCAACTCCTTGTTAATTGGCTTGGATTCCTGGATCTCTAATAGATAATTTGGGATATGGTTTACTAAGATGTTTCCAACAACAATTCATAAAGTAAGCCAATTCCATTTGATTGTTTTTTCAATAATTTTTGATGTGCTTCCAATTCATTAAACATAAATTAAGAGAACTCAAGGAATGAGTAGGTTCCAGCAAGGGGATCCCATTTTTTGGTACTTAATTTACTAATGATTCTTTTTCCTTCTTGAAGAGCACCAACCATATTTGTCAATTCATCTCTTCTTGCTTCATATTGTTACTAATATTAAGCATTATAAATACTCTAGTGATGTCTCTTTCTTGAGTCAATTCAGCAATACGTTAATTATTTCTATTTTCAATTTCTTATTTATCCAACAATTATCTTTATTTGTTTTTTTATTCTTAAACGAACAATGGCAACGTTTATTAATCTTTAGCCAATTAATATTCGGAGGAATCAATAACAAACAATATTTCATCATATTTATCATCACAAAATTAAGTATGATCTCTTGACTTCTATCTTTCCTCATCTTATTCACCATTGATTCTATCTTTCATTTGAGTTAGAAGATCAATAATTTTATCAACACTGCTATTTCCTTATAATTCAACTTGAATAGTTTAAATTATTGTTTTTCCAAATTCAGTGCTTTGCAGAGATTGTAGGAGTGTCTCTCCTTCACTCATGCTGCTTGCAAATAGAACAAGTGAGCACAATATTATCACTTTATACATTATAATTAATAATTAAAACGGATTTGTGATCATTATGTATTTTATTCTTTTTATTTCATAAATCAATGATGATGATGTCCTCCATGTGCATCTTACAATTTTAGTGTTCCTGTCTTGCCTACGACAACCTGTAAATCGCCAAATTATCTTCCCACTATAGGCAGTCCTTCAGCCATCTCTTCGTTAATCTCGTCAATTATTTCTCTCAAATGACCTCTGTATAATGATTAGAAGAAGTAAGGGAATGCCAAAAACACCAAGAAGAAATTTCTTACCCATCTAAAGAAAATTCTATAGTCATTAAACTTAATAATATTAGGCTATCATACTTTAAAGTATTCGTAGTCGACTACGGCATTTTAATGCAAATAGGACCATTCTTTAAATGTCCTCTCTTCAGTAGACCAAACTCTGAAATATTAGGCATCCTCAGAAGTGATACGATGCTCTGTTTCAAATGGGTTTTGTTTCATATTGTGATATAATGGTCTGTGATATTAGCCAACACCCATCAGAGCGTTTCCTCTAACATACCCTTTGTTTGGTCTTGGCACGCCTTTGATGATCACACTATATTTTACCTCCTTTGTATCTGCCCAAATCATCCACATTAAAAACCTTTCTCTCCTGTTTTAAATATTCTTGCTTCTCTTTGGCATAATCTGATGCCACTTATCCTGGCCTTTTGTATGTACCGTCATCATTTCTTTAGAATGATTATTTGTATCTTTCCATTTCTGCACTATACAATAAGTCTGGTTATTCTTTATTCAAAAGATCGTAGGCATTTCTGCTTTGAATTTGTGATAGTACTGCAAAGGCTTCAGCCACATCCTAGAACTCCTATTGGGCTTATGTATCATTTATAGCCACTGATGTGGTTACATTTGGATAGAGTCTAATATTGTATTAATCTGTACTTTTGTGCTTTCTTTGTGTAGGCTTCTCTGATTTATTCTTAAGTAGCAGTCTTTGAGATTCCCAAAATCGTATAGTAATCCTTTCTTCTACCAAAATATTAGACTTGTTTTAGTGGCAACTTGAATAAGCCTCTTGATAATATCATTATTATTATATATATTTATTTATATATATTTATTTCTTATTCATCATTGGTGTTATTATTATTGAAGATTTGCAATTAGATTGTCCTTCTCCTCCAATTAACTTCTCAATCCTTCACATTCTGTAAATTACATTGTCAAGATCATCATACAATCTTAGACTCTTAAAAATATAAATCAATATTTCTTACTTTTTATTTAACTCATCTACAGTCTTTAATTGTTCCTAATATTTGTTGATGTCCTCTTTCTATCTTTCAACTATCTCTTGTGATTCTTAATACTTTGGTGACAGGACTTGGAACTAAGGATTAAATAATTTTTATACTTTCTCTTCAAAAGGAGTCAAATAGGCTATTCTTTCTTCCAATTTCTACATCAATTAACGTAAATCTTCTAATTCCTTCTATCTTTAATTTACAATTGCATTTAATCTGTCCAGATCAGCTGAATATTATTTATTCAGATTGTCCAACTGATCTGTTTGGGACTTCAAAACCTCATGCTCTCTCTTCATCTGTTCTAATTCAGCAATTCTAATATTCACATTAATTTATACCTTTTGTTTAAGTCATCAATAGTTTAGTTTGCTTGTTACAATTATAAGTCCAAAGCTCCAAACTATGAATTTAATTCATCAAATTAGTGAGTCTTTTCTCTCAATAGTTCATTTAATCTTTCAATATCTTTTAATTGCTAATTAAATTTGTTTTCAATATCTTTGTATCTGGCTTCATTCTATTTGAACTCTTAAATTTATCTTTCTAATTCTTGTAAATCTTGTCTCATGTCATGATTCTCGTTCTACAATTATTCGATATCCTTAAGGGCATTATTTAAATCACTCTATAAATTATTATTTTATGTTTGAGCTTAAGCCAATTTATCTAAGTTTTATTAGTGTTGAGCCAATAATTATTCATAATCCTGAGTTTTCTTCCTCTCCTCCTCATAATCATGAACTAAATTGTTCATTCTTTCATTCAAGGCTTCCAACGCATCATCCTTGACTTTCATTGTCATTTCCTATTGATTCAAATTCCATTTGTGAGTGTCTATGTCAATTTAATTTTATTGGATTATTTTATTCAATTTTTCAATATCATTCTAAAGTTATTAAACTCTCTATTCAGCTTACTTAAATCTCTCCTCTAAAACTCTGTATTAATCTTCTAAAGGTTATAATTATTAATATTTTAGTTTCCAATCATTTAAGTCTTATGTTCTTGAGTCCAACAATTATTTCAATTTGTTTAATTCATCTTATGCGTTCTACAGTTATTTCTCTAAATCAGCAACGTAATTCTCAAGGGATTTCAATTTATTGATTTCATTTTCCAATTATAAAATTTATTATTGCAATTAGTCATTCTCCTTCAATAAAGAAGTAATTTGATCATTTTGTCTTTGTATTTCTTTAGCCTAATTCTAAATGAGAATATCTTAATCTTAAAGTCTCTTCTCATTTGCTTATGCTTATAATAATTGCAAATCTTATTAAGCAACTCTTCTCTTCAAATCATCAATCAACTTTTGATATTCATTGATTTTTTCTTCTAATAATTTGCATTTCAATTCGACTCCCCTTAATTCACTGATGGTGTACTCTAACTCTGTACATTTCTTTTGCAAATCCATTAATTGTTACAATCTTTACTTATTCTATTAATTCAATCTACTGATATCATCATTCTTCTGTTAAAGTGCATTTTTCAAATCATTCAATTGCTACTCCAAAATCTATTTATCAGTTAACAACTGATCCAATTACTCTTTAATTTATTTAATAGTGAGTTCTCTCTCTTCTCTTTCTGAATTAGCAGCATGTAGATCTCCTTGTTATTATCCTGCTCTATCGTTTAATTCATTTATTTTATTATTCAATTATTCATTCTGACTTTTCAAACTCATAATTTCATCCCTATTATTCATGATATCATCATTTAATTTATTGATTTAATCCTCTAAATTGCGAATATTGTCATTGCATTTTTGAAGCTATTAATTCAAATAATTAATTTCATTTATTCTGCCATTCAAATCTCCTTATAATTTCTCAATCTCTCTATTTAATTACTTAATCATTTGATTCAATTGATTAATTTAATCTAGTAGGTTTTTGTTGTCTTACTCTGCTCTTGCCAACTTCTCCTTAAGAGAATTGTTTTAAGCATCTTTGTCTCTCAACAATCCATTTAATCTATCAATTTCTCTAACTTGCTATTGTGATAATTAAGTTAATTAATTCAATTTCTATTCTGATCCGTTTTATTGATTTCCTAGATTGTTGTACTTATTCTCAAGTGTTGAATATTTGTTTCTCCAATCATTTAGATCTCGATCCCTTTACTGCAATTAGTTACTTAAATCATTAATTTTACTTTCATATTGAGATTTCATAGAAGTGAACTATTACTGCAAAGTATTATATTTATTCTTCCAATCATCACATTCAAGTAACTTATTTTTTAAATCATTTTTTAACTTATCATTTTCAGCATTTCTTTCATTTAACAATTTAGTCAATCTGTCTATCTCTGATTGTAATGTATTAAATTTGTTTTCATAATCCCTAATTCTAACTTCATAATCTCTAATTTATTTTTATAATCCATCCAAATTCCTTCCTGAGTTGTTTTTCAAATCATCCAATTCTCTCTACCTTTAAGAAAGTAAATCTTGTAGTCTCTTCATTTCTGAATCCCATGATGACTTATCTGTTGAATATTTACTCTTCCATTAATTTATGTCTCTTTCATAATCTGTGATCTTTCGTTCAGCATCCTTTAATCTCTAAGCAAGTGAATTATCAACCTACCCTAATCGTGACTTGTAATCAGCGATCTCTGTCTCCAACTACTTAATTCTTATTAAATGTTTGTCAATATCAGATTTGTATTGCGTTATATCTCTATTTGCTTAATCTAATTTTGCTTGCAATTCCCTTACTCTAACATCTCCTCCCTCACTCTAACTTTCCAACTCCTTTATTCTTTTGATGAGAGCATCATTTTCTCTCATTACACGATCATTTTCCAAAGCTAAAAGGAAACAAACAACTTCTGGGTATTTTCCTAACCATTTTCTCTCCCCTGATGGTGGTGCCATTTGAACACTTCATATAAATAACTATTTACGCTGTAGCAGGTGGAGCTTTAATAGTACTTGATCTTCTTCCTTCCGATCTCTCAAATGTACTTGTAGTGTTCGTTTGTGGTACTGACAAATTTGATGATGTTGTAGTTGTTGTGACTTATGTTCGGTAGCTAGATGAAGTTGTAGCTGCTTGATTCTAATTTATGCCGCTCGAACCAAGAGTGGATGGTCTATATCTACTTGTGTAGGAAGACATTTATTTATTAAATAAAAAAATAAAATTCAATCATCCAAGATTTTTGCTATATTAAATTAATATAATTATAAATATATGCCATATTCTTTAAATCAAAATACGATTATAATCTCTCTTTATTCACAAGATAAACAATAATCCATAAATTTGCAAGGTAAATCTGTAATAAATCAATACATATTAAAGAAGATAATGAAAAAAGATATTTTTTACTGATAAACTCAACTAATACATCTTCTTAAGTATTAAGGTATTTTAATCAAATGTTAAAGAAAGTATTAACTTAAACATATGTCATTCTCACTTCTTGTATCCTAACTTCTAAAAAAACAGAGTTAAGCTGTTTGCTTTTACTAATTCAAATAAACTTTAAGATATATTTTAGAATTAATATGATATTATTAAAGGAGCAGCATTGATAGTGAGGAAAATTAGATTAAGATTATTTTATTTTCATATTACTTTTATTACTAATAAGAATTTTATCTTTTTTAACTTAACATCATCAACAATTTTGTTAACTTTGATAATTCATTGAGAAAAATTAACCTTTAAATGATAAAAATTTAGATTATTTGAATAATAAACCATTTTAACACAAAAATTTTATTCTTAAGTAAATCTAGAAGGGAATTAAGTAATCTAATCTAGTTATTTTGGATGAATGTGATCTCAATTCATAATTGATTTTTACAATTAATATAATAATGATTGATGTAAATTAATTACTCAAAGGATTCATATTAAGTTAATTTCAATTTTGTATATTAGAACGACTCCAAAGAAAAAATTACAAATATCATGTCTCCATTTCGAAGCATAACTATAGGAAACAAATTCAAAACAACAACTGAATTTGGGAAATTGATTTTAGAAAAATGATTTATTTGTTTTTATTTCATTAAAATTCATTTATTTTTGATAATTACCAATTATGAATAAAAAAAACAAAAACACAAAAAAGGAATCCACTCCATAAGTAGTAGATTAATAATCAAAAATCAAATTGTTAGCATCACTGGATGTTACAGAAAAATTAAAATTCTTAAGAAAAATATTATTGATTTGGTTGGCATGGCAAAGTGTTATTGTACTAAGTTGCTTTCTGATCTATTTAAAACTTCCTTTTTTGTTACCACTGTAGATGTTGCTTGATTCAGATTTATTATTGATGCTTTTTCTTTGTATAACAGTGATTTTACTTTATTTTGGATCTAGGAATATTAAATAAAAAGATGTATTATATTGATCCATAAATATTAGCAAAAAACAGCAAAATTGCAATTGATATTAATTATCATTTCTTAAACTTTGTTATATTCGATGATTACTAATAAATTGGTAGAAAACTCAATAAATTTCTTATTGATTCATTTTATGCAGCTTATCGTTATTGCCAATCTTTTCCTATATTTTAGAAATGCTATTGAAATTAACCATTTGATTTATTTCAAATAAATGTTTTGGTACTCTGGAATTTTAATTGCAGCAGAGTTCTTTTTCACAAAATCTACGTCAATAAACACACTACCAGGAATGATTATTATAGGAAGTATATTAGGATTTGGAACATTTGCATTAAGATCAATTGAAGCTATAATTGATGGCAAAGTAATAATTGATATTATTAATTAAGTTTAATCTGACCTAGGAGCAGACATCTTTGGGATCTCTTCTGGCTTATACAAATTTATTATTGCCGAATAGAAAAAGTGAGTGAATTATATTGTAAATAGAACATTAATTTAAATAAATAAAATTAGTTATATTGAACTTAATTCATATTATAAAGCCCAATTGAATTTCAATTAAAAAATCATTAATTAATATAATATGTAATAAACTAATCTGAAAATTTGTGATAAAATTTCATAATTGGTAAACAGACCAAAAAGAAGCGAATAGGTTAACAAAATCTGCAGACCTGTGAAAGTCTTGAGCAACCACTTCCCAGTATGATTAAAATCTAATATTTAGTTTGAATTCAAAGACAAATCAGCTGGTTTAAACATTTATGCTGTCAGCTTCTCAGAAGATGTTCCTTAAGATAGCAGAGAAGTCATTAGTCAACTTATCAATCTCTCTAAAGAGTAATTTAAAAAAGCAGGCCTTGAAAGATTCTCTGTATAAATTTTATAATATCCCATTTAGATTAGAGGTCTGAATATTTGGAGTCCTTAATACGTCAAAGAAAGAATCATTAGTGAAGTAACTCTAGATGGAAAAAAACATTGTGTTTATTTGAATTTCACAAAGGCAATCGATTTCTAATATCTTGAAGGGTAATAGATAATTTAATTTTTAGGGATAACCAAGATCCTGCTTTAATGTAACCACTTCAACAAGCTGTGAATGTCTAGGTTAAAAAGGCTCTCAAAGACATGGGATTAAGAGAACTCAATAGGTTATCCTAATTTTTCGATCCAAAATCAATTGATGCTAATCCAGTTAAGGGCTTCCCACTCAAAGTATGGCTAGGATATAAGACCTCTTTGAAATTAACTTCGACTAAACCTCAATTGCTAATTGATTATGCTTCAAGAGTCTTGAGTACCTAATCAGCATTGAATTTCATCAGATCTTTCAATTAGAATATTGGATAAATAAAGGATGAGCTTGAAGGAAAATCAGTGTTAGCTACCTATGGTAATTACAGACTATACAAAATTTCTGCCGTTGATTTTAAGAAAACACCAAAGTCAAGTTTTCAATTGGAAGATGGAAAATAAATCACTTATGCTCAATATTATTAGGATAGATATAAGATCAAAATTCAGGACATGAATTAACCTCTTTTAGAGAGTTTAGATAGAAGAAATCCAGATAAAAAATTTTACTTGATTCCAGAGTTAGTTTATATGACTGGTTTAACAGATGATCAAAGATCAGATTTTGGATTAATGAAGGAATTGGCCTATTATACAAAAAAAGAACCTGGAGAAAGGTTATAAATTATCCAATCCTTATTGTCTAAATTACAAAAGCAATTGAATGCCCAATAAATGACTTTAAAATCTGACTCTTCCACTCATGCTTATATTGTTCAATAACCATAATTAACGTTTGGTAATGGGAGAAGATTAGATGCAGATCCAACAGGATTTTTCATTTTGAAAGACCCAGTTTTTCAAAGTGCCTATATTAAAGATTGGGTTTTAATTTATTAATCCAGAGGAAGGTAAGACGATGAACTTGCAGATGATCTAGTTGCAGATCTTAATTAACAAGGAGGTAGATTGGGAATCAAATTCGACAAACCATTCTTTATAAATATGAAAGGCAATAAACCTTAAGAATGGATTAAAGAATTGTAAGCTGAATTTAAAAATGGTCTCCCATCACTTGTGGTCTCACTTACAGATAAAAACAGAGATACATCCCTTTACATAGGCTTAAAAGACTTCTTACTCTCATAAGGCGGTGCTGGAGTTATCCATTAAAATGTTACAACTAAGTCTTGTAAAAATAAAAATAAACAAAGTATTGCATCAAAAATTGCATAATAAATAAGTGTAAAATTAGGAAATCCACTTTGGGTTATTCCTAAAGTCAAAGGAATTTCAGAAAAAATCATGATTATTGGAATGGATATTTACCATAAGTTAGTTACTGGAAAATAATCTTGCATGGGATTTGTTGCTCATTTTGATTTAGAATGCAAAACAAGTTTTTCAAAAACAATTATTATGAAATCTGGATAAGAATTCAATTAAGCCGTAGGATAAACATTTAAAGAGGCTTTATAGGCATACTTTTTACATTATGGTAAAAAACAATTACCAGATACTATTTTGGTTTACAGAGATGGAGTCGGAGATTCATAAATCCAAACTTTAATGTAGACAGAATTAGAATAAATTAAAAAGGTCATTTCCACCTACACAGCTGGTTACAATCCTCAATTTGCCTATATTACTATCAATAAAAAGATTTCCGATAGATTCTTTATGAGTATAGATGATGCTCCTCCTTAAGCAAGAAAAAATAATAAAAGTCCATATATTAATCCAGTCTCTGGATTAGTTGTTGCTGATAGAGTAACATCCAAATACTTTGACTTTTTCTTAGCTGCTTAATATGTGACTTAAGGAACATGTACTCCAACACATTATTAAGTTTTGGATAATAATACTTAATTCACAGAAGAGATGTTTTGGTAGATTACATACTACTAATGTTTCAATTATTGGAATTGGACAGGAGCAGTCAAGGTCCCTGCATGTGTCCAATATGCCCACAAATTAGCTTTCTTAGTTGGAGATACCTTCTAAAAAGCTGTTCATTAAAACCTCTAAAAACAACATTTCTATTTATGATTTGTTTTATTTTGTTTCTTCTTATATATATATATAAATCAACAATATAATAATTTATTTCATTCTTAAAATTAATCCTGTATATTAATATTTAGAACCCTTGTCATAATTTCCAATGCTCCACGTAATTATGGATCTTTAGTTGGATCCTTTAATTTTTCAAGTGCTAATCTCTTTCTATTATCAACTAAATTATGTTTAATTTTTGAAGCTTTCTGACTGCTTTCTAAAAGCAAAACTTTTTCTTATTCTAGTTTGCTATTAATTTAATAATCATTTAATACTCTTAGTTTAAAATCAATTTGGATTCTCGAGTAACAATGGAACTTTTATTAAAATTGAATTTCTATTATAACAGTTCATTCAGTCTTTATGCTCGTTTTTTCTCTTAATAAATTATTGACAACATACTTAAACTTCAGATTCGGCCTAATCATCCATGTTGGATAATGTTTTCCCAATCAAATTTTTCTCTATATAATCAATTTTCTTTCTCTTCTCTTCGAGTTTCTTATCTTCAATCTTTTATTCTTCACTCTTCTTTTCTGGAGACAACTTTTCAATCCTTTTATCCCTGACTGTTTCAAATTTTTAAAGAGTCAACTTAATCAATTTTAAGTTCTCCTCAGAATTAGCATCTAAGACTCTGATGTCCTCACTTAATTACAATAAGTTGTAACGTAATGCCGTAACATCCTTCAAAAAACTCATGCATTATATATCATCCAATATCTTATGACCAGCCTACCTCATCATTAGCATATATAATTCAATTCGATCCCTCAGATATTGGAGCATCTCATTAAATAAATCCACATTTTTATCATATACTTTGTCCTCATAATGAGGATCTATATATTCCGGATTAGCCTCCTATAAATGCTTGATAGGGGACTACTTGAGTCCAATCTACTCAGGGTTCTTTTTGAATTCCTATAAAATGATAGAACCTATATAATCTATTAGCACTATAGTGTCTTCCAATCTTTAATTAAACATTCCCTTTTTTTTAGGTTGTTCCATTAAATCCATCAATAAAAAGATCTTTTTGAGTCTAAATTTGTCAAGCAGCAAGTTTTTCAGCTAGTTGCATTTCTCCATTATTATTTTTAATAAATCTCTAATGACAACATGTTACATAGTCCTATCTTGATAAATTTTGATAATTCTTACCTCTTCTTATAAATGCATCAAATTAAACATAAGGCAACCCTTCGAATAAATTTGCTCTGTCTATTTCAGTATGCTTAAATAGCCTATATCTCCCTAAAGGCACATTAGATTTTCTCAGTTATTAATTGCTTGTATATTTTTTCATTATAATTTACTTATTTTTAATATAAATGATTATGTAACTTAATCAAGTACTCTCTGCAGCTCTATATTTAATAATTGAAGAGGATGCATGAAATTTAATTTATAAAGATTAACTAAAATCATATTTCAATTTTCTATTAAAACAGTTTTTCAAATACACTTGCAGGTCCTTGGGAATCAAAAAATTAATTTAATTTTAATTTCTCTCTATTAATTTATTCATTAATTATTACCTATTATATTCTCTGACATCAGACACTCCGATCATTCCTGATAAATAGGTTTGCAAACCCCATAATTCTCTATCATCTTTATTATCGTAAAATGGGACAATAGGTATTCCATTATCCAATTGCCAAGCATAGCTATAAGCAGCATTATCAATCAACACTATTTAACTTAATTGCCTATCGAAAATTCTAAGATCCTTTGTGTACATTCCTCCTGTAGTCATGATACAATTATCTCTAAAAAGACGATGAGAAATCAATTTCTTTTCTGGATCCAAATAATCTAAGACTTGTTAAGCGTAGCATGAATGAGAAGCTGTAAATACTATGATTTCAAAATCATCAACTAAGGATTCCAACAATTCTATAGCTCCTGGGCGAATATTGACTCCTGCCTTAACTATTTCATTTGGACTGACCTAGATATTTAATACAATGTCAGATTTTTATAGTAATGATTCATTACAATGCACCAATGTTTCATCTAAATCAAAGATTAAGGAGATTTTATCTAATGTTAATACAATTACAAATACTCTTATATTTATCCTTCTATCTTAGTTAAACTGCCTTTTTCTTCACATCATTGGGGTCAACTGGTCTGAGATAAGAAGCAACATAAATTCCTTGATAAGTTTAAAAAAAATGCTCCCTATAGATACAACTAAAATAATCGTCTCTCAAGGGGCGAGTGAAAACTTACCTGATCTTCCCCAAATAATACTGAAATTGACTATTTTCTTTGTTCTCCTTATTAAACTTTGTGCTCTCAAAAAATTTTGATTCTCTATTTGATAATTATTATGATTATTGCAGCGATAATTATCTAGAGTGTTGAGGAGTGGTTTAATGTGATTAGGCTTTCTTTGGTTTCTACAACATGGCATTGTATAATTTTTTATAATTTTAATCTTTGGAACCTATTGATTGTTATCTTTTGTGCTGCACAGATGTTGGGGCTTTCAAATCAGAGGTTTTGGGTCTTACATCTGTAGCCATAGGAGATCGTTAAGTCTGTTTAAACATGTTCATTTCTAAGTTTGGAGTTACTTTTGTGACTAGTTGATTTAACAGCGATTGACTTTTTGAATAATTTCTAGTAGGTGTATCACGCTTATGTTGCAGCAATTAATTATACTTCTACATTGCTGCAACTAACTCCAGATTCGACATCTGCTTCTTCTTTTGTTGGTTCTCCCTGCAAAATTGTTGCTTTAAGAATTCCTTCCCAAATATATTGCCATTTGAACTCGACTTAGTTGACATGTTTCTAACAGAGTTTATGAGATCCAATTTCTATGTCTTCAGATTTTAACTTGCCTTCTACAAGATATCGAAGACATTATTGGTCTCAATTTGGGGCTTCGGCTTCATTATTTATATTATATAATAATTTACTAATATTATTTCAACCTTAAATATTATATATTCACTTTTTTAAATCACAACTTCAAATTGGATTTCAGTTCTATCAGAACTTTGGGAATATGAAAGGTATTAGATAAAAAAAAAATTATTTGTCCTTCAATATTATATTAAATTCAAAAAGAATGCTTATTTGATTTAACTTATTTGGGAAATAACTCTTTTATTGTTAGAGAGTTATTGAACCACATAATTTAATAAATTACTCTCTACATTACGTTGAAATAATAGAATTAACTTATTGATTATTAAAAATATTTATAGTTTCGGATAATTTTATAAAATTTTATTTAGATAATTAGAGAATTCTGGTCAAATAATTCTGAAGTTAAGAGAAGTTTAATCAATTCTTCCAACCTAAATATTTTCTAATAAATTGAGATCAATTACTGTGTAAGATAAATTTTTATAAATTCATATTGCTTAACAGATACTTTCCAAGATAATTCAAGACATTTTAATAGATACCATAATAAATATAATTTTATAGATTTTTAACCAGCATTTTAGGATTGATTCCTTAAACTTCAAAATGCTGAGACTTATTTTAAGAATTAGTTTCCATAATCAAATTAACAACAAAAGGAACTAAGATTTTAAATAATTATAATCAATGGTTAACAAATTCTTCAATTTTTCTCAGTTTATGATTTCAATTTAATAAGAACTTTACTAAGTATGAAGCATTATAAAATTAGTTTATACTCTAATTATTGAATATCAATTAAAAGATTAACTCTACCTTTTTTTTAAATAATCTCAAACAATATATATCTAAATTTCAAGGGTTATTGCCATTTAATATTAGAATAAATAAAATATACTAAGAAACAAATACATTAAAAATTAATTCATAAATTAATATGTTGATGAATCATTTAAGAAATTGTGGAAAATTTTCAACTCTTGTGTTTGCCGACCATTCAAGTGGAAAATTATCGAAGTCAACTCTTAAAATCTTAAATGCAGCAAAATTATTGAACCAATAGATCTCTTTATTAGTAGCTAGCAATGATGCAAGTTCTGTGGTTGATTAAATCAAATCATCAATACCCAGCAATGTTGTACACCAAGTATTAGTTGCACAACATGACTCATTTAAAGCTCCTTAGGCAGATTTATTGGGCAATTTGGTTAAATAGTTGATTGATTAACATGGATTCACTAATTTTGTCACTAGCACTTCTACTATAGCTAAAGACTTTTTACCTAGAGTGGCTGTTAAATATGCAGCCCAACCCATTACAGATGTTATAGCTATAAATAATGATGTATTTCTCAGACCTGTTTATGCAGGAAATGCAATTGCTTAAGTGAAATCAAATGACAAAGTTAAATTCATTTCCTTCAGACCTACAAATTTCGAAGAAGTATATGATCATTAATAATCAGATTTAATAAACTGGTGATAAAGTGTCAAATATTGTATAAGTTAAAGTGGAGAACACAAAATAATTGATCGAACACGTCTCAGATGAATTAGTGTAAAGCGATAAACCAGAATTGACTACTGCTAAATTTGTATACCTACATTTTTATAATAGATTGTATCAGGAGGAAGAGCTTTAGGAAGCAAAGAGAATTTCAAGATTTTGGATGAATTAGCAAATGCTCTGGGCAACACTGCTATTGGAGCTTCAAGAGCAGCAGTAGATGCAGGATATGCTGCAAATGATTAATAAGTTGGACAAACAGGCAAAGTAGTTGCTCCTGAATTATATATTGCTGTAGGAATATCAGGAGCTATTCAACATTTGGCAGGAATGAAAGATTCTAAGGTGATAGTAGCTATCAATAAGGGTATTTTCAAATAAAATTAACTTTATAGATCAAGAGGCTCCAATTGTAAGTGTTGCTGATTATACAATTGTTGATGATTTGTTTAAAGTAGTGCCAGAGTTAACAAAGAAAATAAAAGAAATTAAATAATGATAAAATGACGTAATTATATAAATAATAAAAATGAATAAATACATAATATTGTTGATACTTTGCAGTATAGGCTTTAGTTCTAGTTTAACATAGCAAGAGAAATTTTTTTGCAAATAATGCCATCATTTTGTTCATACAATTCAAAAAGTTGAACATTTTTGGGATAAGTCGATTGTCTGGTTTTTGGAACTTATTGCTGAAGGATATTGTGCTTATTCTAATATAGAAAAGTATTCTGTTTGCAAAGGAGCTATTCATGAAATGACACCTGTTATTTTTGAAGGAATTTAAACAAGATTTTTAGATGAAGATTTCATTTGTCCATTAATTAAATGGTGTCCTAAAGTGTATGAAGAATTGAAACTTGAAGATTACATTTCAAATATTCTAAAAGATAAACCAGAAAATACATAATGGCCAGAAATTGATGGAACTGATACTATTGAAATCATTCATGTAAGTGATATTCATACAGATTTACTCTATAAAGAAGGAACTTTGCCCAAATGTGATGAACCATTGTGCTGCAGAGAAGAATTTAAGGCGAAAGATACTGATCAAAAGGCAGGATATTGGGGAAGTGCAGCAGTTTGTGATTTACCAGAAAGAACCTTTGAATAATTTGTAAATTTCCTGAAAACTGACGTTATTAATCCAGATAAGAAAACATTTTTATTTTGGACAGGAGACAGCGTTCAACACGATATCTGGAAATAAGGAAGAGAATATAATATTAAGAATTCAAGAAGAATAACAGAAATATTCACTAAAGGCGATTTAGGTATAACATTCATTCCATAAATTGGAAATCATGAAGCATTTCCTGTAAATTAATATGATTATATGACTGATAAGGATAGTAATTTAAGAGTTGAGTTTTCTAATATGTGGAGAGAATGGTTAGGAGATGAAACTGCATAATTTTTCAAAGAAAATGGATTTTATGCTAAAGAGTTTGACAATCTTAAGGTTATTGCCTTTGATTCACAAATATGTAATCCAGACAATTGGTATCTTCTTAAAGACCCAACAGATCCAACTGGATTCTTAGATTGGGCTGAATAAGAGTTGAAGAAATCAGAATAAAAAGATTAAGCTGTCTATTTTACTGCTCATATATATACATCAAGCTGTCTTGTTCCTTGGGCTAGAAGATTTAACGCTTTGGTTGAAAGATATGCTTAAATTGTTCGAGGATAAATATATGGACATGCTCATGGAGAATTTTTCAATCTCTACAAGGATTAAAAAGGAGAACCTATGAACATCGCTTATATAAGTTCATCATTAACTACATACACCTATAAATTACCAAGTTTCAGAAAGTTTATTGTAGACGCAAAAACAATGATTCCAATAAACTATTATGAATATCGTCTAGATTTAGATAAATATAACTAAATTGGAAAGGATGCTGTTTTGAAATGGGATATAGCATTTGATTTTCTTTCTGAATATGGAGCCACAAAAATGTACCCAGCAGATTTGTTTGCCATTACCGAAAGATTATTCACAGAACCTGAATTAGTCAAGAAATTTGATTTCAATTCTAATTCTGGTACTGGTATCAGCGGAGATTCTGTAAAAATTATTAAATAAATTATAGGCTAAATATTTATATTGTAAACTAAATCACAGCATTAATGATGACTTACATCTGTGTTTAGGAGAAACATTAAAAAAAGATTGGACTGAATATATATCTCCTGGGTGGAGAAAAAGAATGGTTTAAATGTCAAAGAAAGAATCTAAGAAGCATAAAAAATAAAAGAAATAGAAATAATGATAAATAATAATATAAATATTTAAATATGCATGATATAAGTTTTGAATAGATTCAAAATATTTTATAATGCTCACTTTGTCTAAGTTATTTTTCAAAATAACAACTAATAAATTGAGATGTTTTCTATTATAAATACCCAATTTTCCTTAGAACCAAAGTAATGTGCTAATAATATTTATGATATCATATCAAGTTAGTAAAATGATGTTATATTAAGAAATTATAGAATCAATTATAATAACAAGAATGAGAATTAATATCCTAATTTTTCAAAGCAAATATTTATTATATTGCTCCAATTTTAGCGGTCGAATTGTGATTCATTTTCCTATGCTAATTTAGATTAAATTCATCTGAGATAAGCTTACTTCAAATATAACATAATAAGAATATAAGTTTTTTTATGTTATTTGAACTATATATTATATAATGCTTACTTTTCTGTATCTTAATATCATAATAAGTTCATATCTTAATTGTATGCTAAATGTTTTAATTTTCAGGTTACTTGATATAATATGTCATAAGATAAGTACGATGTTAATATATAAATAATGAATAAATACATAATATTGTTGATACTTTGCAGTATAGGCTTTAGTTCTAGTTTAACATAGCAAGAGAAATTTTTTTGCAAATAATGCCATCATTTTGTTCATACAATTCAAAAAGTTGAACATTTTTGGGATAAGTCGATTGTCTGGTTTTTGGAACTTATTGCTGAAGGATATTGTGCTTATTCTAATATAGAAAAGTATTCTGTTTGCAAAGGAGCTATTCATGAAATGACACCTGTTATTTTTGAAGGAATTTAAACAAGATTTTTAGATGAAGATTTCATTTGTCCATTAATTAAATGGTGTCCTAAAGTGTATGAAGAATTGAAACTTGAAGATTACATTTCAAATATTCTAAAAGATAAACCAGAAAATACATAATGGCCAGAAATTGATGGAACTGATACTATTGAAATCATTCATGTAAGTGATATACATACGGATTTATTTTATAAAGAAGGAAGTGCTTAAAATTGTGATGAACCATTATGTTGTAGAGAAGGCTTTAAACTTAAAGATTATAATCCTAAAAAAGCAGGATACTGGGGAAGTGCTGCAGTCTGTGATTTACCAGAAAGAACTTTTGAATAATTTGTAAATTTCTTAAAAACTGATGTAATAAACCCAGATAAGAAAACATTCTTATTTTGGACTGGAGATAATGTTCAGCATGATGTTTGGAAGTAAGGAAGAGAATATAATATTATTAATTCAAAAAGAATATTACAGAAATTTTTAAGAAAGCTAATTTAGGAATACCTATAATACCTTAAGTTGGAAACCACGAAATGTTTCCAGTTGATTAATATGATTATATGACTGATAAGGATAGTAATTTAAGGGTTGAATTTTCAAATATGTGGAGAGATTGGCTTGGGGATGAAACTGCATAATTTTTCAAAGAAAATGGATTTTATGCTAAAGAGTTTGACAATCTTAAGGTTATTGCCTTTGATTCACAAATATGTAATCCAGACAATTGGTATCTTCTTAAAGACCCAACAGATCCAACTGGATTCTTAGATTGGGCTGAATAAGAGTTGAAGAAATCAGAATAAAAAGATTAAGCTGTCTATTTTACTGCTCATATTTTCACATAAGAATGCATGGTGCCTTGGGCTAAAAGATTTAATGCTTTAGTTGAAAGATATGCCTACATAGTTAGAGGATAAATTTATGGGCATGCTCATGGAGAATTTTATAATTTGTACAAAGATCAAAATGGAAAACCAATGAATATTGCTTATATAAGTTCCTCATTAACTACATATAATAATAAATTACCCAGCTTTAGGAAGTTTATAGTCGATGCAAAAACAATGATACCAATAAACTATTATGAATATCGTTTAAATTTGGATAAATACAATTATATTGGCAAGGATGCTATTTTAAAATGGGACATTGCTTTCGATTTTCTTTCTGAATATGGAGTAACAACAATGTATCCATCTGATTTGCAAGCAATCACTGAGCGATTATTTACAGAACCTGAATTAGTCAAGAAATTTGATTTCAATTAGAATTCAGGAACTGGGCTTAGTGGTGATACTGTATTATTTCATTTATATTTAGCCTTAATACTTGTATTGTTTATTAAATAACAGCATTAAAGACAATTTGAAAGTTTGCAAAGGTGAGACTCTTACAAAAGATTGGACATAATACATTTCACCAGGATGGAGAAGGAGAATTGATACTTCTGATAAGAAAGTAGAGAAGAAATCTAAAAAATAAAAGAAATAGAAAAAATGATTTATATAATTATAATAATATTAAAATTATATTATGGATTTTGAAGATCAAGAGGAAGGATCTGCTGACGAAAACATATTTAATGTATAAAAAGATGACGATTTGAAAATCGAATATCATCAATTGCAATAGAATGACTATGAAAATAAGACAGGTTCTAAATTATTGCAAAAAAATAAAGAATATTAGAAATCACTCTTATAATTTAAATAATACCTTGAAAGAAAAATTGCAAAGAAATAATAGCAAATACTATAACTGGATCAAATATTGTAAACAATCCCAAAATAGGAAGAAGAAATCAATTTTAAAGAGAAATGCTCAGCCTATTTAACTTTGGAAATACTGCATGATTCAAAGCAAAGGAAGATATTTTCATATGCTGTTAACGATTTTGAGATGCTAAAGTAAGAGAATCCTCCTCATTATGTCAAATTAATTTAAGATTTAAAAAAGAAAGATTTAAAACTGAAGAAATTGGATTATACATCTCCAAGATTTAGGTAACAATGTAAAAAGAAATAAAAATAAAATATTTTGACACAAGCAATCTAACCAAAGAATACTTAAATAAGAGAATTAATTATAAAGGAAGTTGTAAATTGTTTGCCGAGCGAAGGGCATGAAATTTAATGGTCTCTCTTGCCAATACATGCAACTTAATTATTAAATATATATACAAGTGACTAGAATAGTATTGAAGCAATAGAAATTTATAGAGTTTGGCTTAAGAGATATCATTAATTGTACAACAATTAATTTACATTATAGGAAGATAATAAGCTTGTAGAATTAGTTTAGATGATAGGTGATAATTAGTGGGCTTATTTGGCCAAACTTATAACAACAAAGACCTCAATTCAATTGAGGGAAAGATGGTTCAAATTTTTAAATAAGAACATAAAAAGACAAAGATGGAAAATCTTAGAAGACCTAAAATTAATAATATTGGTCGACTATTTTGGAGTTGGATAATGGAATAAACTGCATTAGTTTTTCAAAAATAGAACGGAGGTATAAATACGAGAAAGGTGGTGTAATGTTTTGGATCCTGAGTTAGAAATAAGACCATGGACAGAAGAGGAAGATTAGGAATTATTGAGTTTGAATCAGAAATATGGAAATGCATGGAGTGTGGTCAGTTTAAAGCTAAAAAGAACAGACAATGAATGCAGGAGAAGATTTCAATAAATAAAAAAGTGATTCTGAGTTTATATACTTAATATATTGTATGATTGATAATCCATTTGAATTCGAAAGGGATCCCAAGAAGTTTACGAATTCTTTGGAACACAATAGAAATGAAGTCGATGAAGAGAATGATTAATAATAGTAGACAAGATTAACTTAACTTTATATGGGTAAATCTGCAGGTAGATATGGATTGTTGAGAAAATTAGAAGAGTAGAGTAAATTGATTTTATTTAGATTAAGCTGAGAAATTAGCAGTGGATAGACATCTTGTATTCTCTTAGGATTTGAAATCTAAAAGTTACAATTTGAAACCAGATCCAATTTCATGTCATTTGAAACAATTTAATCCAAGGATGCTTGAAAAAAATTACTAAGATTCCCTATAGAAAGGTTATAAAATAAGGAGCATATTGAACGAAAAAAAAGAAACTCTTTAGGATTTTGTTGAAAAGAAAAGAGAAATTTGCTTAACAAATCTAAATATTATAACAAAAAAGGAAGAAACCAACAGACTTGAGGATTTCATTAAAAATGAGCAGGAATCTCTGCAAGCGAGAAAACTATATTTTAAAAATGATTGCGAATTAGTCAAAAGGTTTATGAGTGAAGTTAAATCTTAAGCTGATCAAGCTGCAATTTTAGCTGATAAAGAAATGAGGAGGAAGGAGGAAGTCAAGGTTGAAGTTGCCAGGATATTAGCCTAAATTGATAGATTGAAATTATAGAAAAGCAAGCTCTAAGATGAATACGATAAATTAGATAAATACAGATAATTCTTAGAAAAAATCAAAGTAATCTTCACACTTCATATTATCTTAGTAACACTATAAAACCAAATTCTCAGAGATAGAGAGAGATATCGCCATGCCCTAATCTCTATCTAATTATAAAAAGACATTGTTCTTAACTGGAGTTAACGTTGTAGAATCTGAATCAAGATCAAAGGAATAATTGGAGTAATTGCAATTTGAATATAAGCAAAATAAAATGGCAGATATTGTGATAGAGATTTTGGATGCGATTGAGGAAGGGAATCTAAGAAATATGCAGAATCAAAGAGATGCAGAGGAAGAAATGGAATAAAGAAGGAGGGAGGTTGAACAATCGAGGGAGATCTTTCTAATTCATCAAAAGGAAAATGAATAACGGTTAAAATTATTGGAGAAACAATATGTTATGCATGAATAGTATCAACAGGAATTAAAAAAACAAGAAAAAGTTGATTAAAACAAATTAGAATTTGCAGAGGGTGAAACCCTGGACATGGATCAAATAGGAAAACGAATAATAGAAATTTACTCGGATGTCTCTAAAAAAGAGTAAGACCCTTTAATCAAAAAACTAGGCACTGATTCAAAGTTACTAAAATCTACTTTATATGTAATCGATATTTAATATTATTTTTGCTTAGTCACTCGAAAAAATAGTTTTAGAACTATCAGAGTACAAATTACAATTTCTCATGAAATCTAAGTAAGATTATCTGGATGCAGAGAAGAAAATTAATCAAAAAAAGAAGTATATTATTTAAATTGAAACTTAGAGAATAAAGATAAACGAATTAGAAAGATGAAGAGAAGAAGAAGTAAATAATTGAGAGAAGAAGAAAGAAGGAAGAACAAATGGCTAACTTTTATAGAGGAAGAAAGGATATGCGAAGAAATTATCCAGCAGAAAAAGTAGTTGTGGAATAGGTTGTAGAAGACAATGATGAAAACGATGATGAAAAATATTTGTAAGAGAATTATGAACTCGTCTATGTACCCTCTTAAAAAACTGATAATATTTCATCATCATAATAAGTATAATAATAATAATGAACTAATTTTTGGGAGTTGTTAACTCTAAGCATAGTATTCTACCATACTTCGAGGATAAAAACAGAATTCTAAAAATAATAGTAAAAAAATTCAAAAAAAGTATTTTTTGGCAACCTTTCAGCAAATCCTTTATTGATTCATTTTTTTAAATAATACCATCACTTTATATTCAAATTATTAATGGATAATGTATGCCTGGGATAATATAATATTCAGAAATTATTATAGATTTAGTAGACAAAAGATATTGAGATTGACCATTTTTTAATAAATGTATAATGAAATTAATTTTGTATCAAGTTGCCAAGCCTATTAACATATTAAATGAAATTTAGAACTAAAGAACATTGGAGCTATGGATAAGTGTTAAAATTATTTAGAATATAACGTTATATATATAAATTCGCTTTTAAATGCAGATGTTAAATTCTTTATAATGATGTAGAAATTAGAGTTTCTTGACGATAGTTCATAGAGAAATTAAATAGAATCAACTTATTTATTATTAATTACAAAATGATAAAATGGAGGGAAGCTAGAACATTACTTGAAATTCATTTCACAATCAGTTAATTGTTTGCATTTAGCAATAATAGATTCTTGAAGTTATAGAGTTATTTTGTGAATATAAGGAGAGTGTTTAAAATCTGATTTAATTAATTAATATAATTTTTATTTAATAAATGATGTCTATTGGGTAATTATGATTTTCCCTTGATTAGCAAACAATCTTGTCTCTGATAATTATTTATATATATATATTTATTCAAAAGTCATCATCGGTATCTTTAATAATATCAGTACGAGCACGTCCTCCTGAAACTATTTATTTATAGGGATTATTTTACATGTTTGGTATTTTATCTCATTGAGATTATCAAATGCAGCATCTCCAAATAATAAGATCTATGACTCTTCAACACTATGCTTAATGTAATCATTGAGAATGTTTTAGATGAGTTCCCAATCAGGGCAAAGTTGTTTGGATAAGTTTAAACAGCTTTTACACCTTTAATTAAATTATATTTCATTTGTGCATTTACAGAAATCCTTAAACTGAAGCTCTACTCTCAAATCAGCAGGAAATCTATCATCCTTTTGCAATTTGAAAGGATCCAACTCTTCAATCCTTAGAATCAATTTGCTATTTTAGAATATAATTTTACTTGTCCTCAATGAAGGCAGTATTAAAGGAAACTCGAAACATTGGTTCTACTTCAAAATGGCCTCATTATTGTATTTTATAATACCATTATGATTAAATTTAATCATTATGTCTCCAATAGCCAAAAAAGGCTTGCCTATATTAATTCTAATTAACTCAATATCTTTCAACATTAAATCTTTAGCCTTCTTTTAATCTTTGTACTACGCCTCAGATCAATATTACCTCCAGTTTATCAGTGTATTTCAAGGTCTTACAAGACTTTTCATAAGTGTAGATTTCTAAAAATGGTTTACATTATTTATCTTGGATATCTGGAATGCCATGGATAACTATGGAAGTCAAGTATTTGATAGGTGGGTAAATATTCCTTTAGAATAATATTCTAGTTATTAACTGATAAAACTAACTTTTCAAAGTACTTCACATATCTTAGTTATGAGGGCATAGTGATTCCACCGCCTTTCAAATGTTTCTATTTATCATAATAAAACAAGGCCTCTTCAGCATTGGAGAAGCGACCACTGTACAACAGATAACAACAAATTGCAGTTCCAGTTCTTCCAATTCCGTTAATGCAATGTACAACAATCACGTTTGATAGTTTGGCTTGGAATAGATTCTTAAAATACATGATAAAAAATCGTCAATGTGCTTACACAACATAAACAAGTATCCCAAATTAGGTGTAGACTTCTCTTCCCATGGCTAAAATAATAAGGGTCATCATATACAAAAGTGTAAATTTTTCCTTTGAATTTTGTATGATCGTATTGCAACCCACTCAAATTATAAATCTGATAATCATTATGATGACGTTATTGCAGATATTGAGCAACCTAATCACAATAGAGATTAATGCTACATCAACTATTTTGTTTTTGTGTTCTGAATTTCCATCATTAGGGAATGACATAGCCAGAATTCTCGGACAAATATATGTGATATCCAATAAATCAGAGGAGATGGTAGTGGAGGTAGACTTTTTGTTTTTTTAACTTGCCTTATTTGATTTTATTTTCATATTATTATAAATAAAAACTGTTAAGAGTATAATCAGTATTAACAATTGCAATGTCAAAGTGTTAATCTGACCTTTTAATAAACTTAAAATTATATAATATTTTAGAACAAAGTGAGTTAATTTGATTCTTTTTTTAGAGATTAATCAATTATAAATATTGTCTCTTAGTTTCATAAATTGATTGCAAGATATTTGTGATAAGGAATATAACTTAAATTTTGCATTGCAGACTCAACCAAAACATATGAATTTATGTCACAATTATTAAATATTTTTTATGCTTATTCTAATTTTCTTAAATTTTATAGTAGGCATCTATTGTGTGAATAGAAATGAAAGCAAAGTTATATTGACTGATTTGTAAAATAATGAATAAATGCTAGTTACAATAAAAATTCGCCAGTTTTTGTGATAGCTCCTTATTATGAATCATTTACAATCGACTTATTTGATTCGAAAGATGTCTTAGAAAACACAAGCTTTAGTAATGTAAACTCCACAAACTAGAATTTGACGTTTAAAATCACTCCTTTTATAGAAAATACATCCTAATCCATAGAGTAAGATGTTGATGGCATCTTAGGTCAGCATTTTGTCCAATTGATGAATGGGGACCTTTATACCAACCTGCTCGTTTCTATTTGAGTTTAACCACGATAGATCTCCTATTTTACAATCAAAGTAATGATAAAATAGTCCAGGTCTAAAACAGTTTGCACAAAGATTTGTAAGATTTGGATGAAAATTTTTTAAATATTTCTTGCTATTCCATATTCCAATTACGAAAAGATAACTAATTTGGATTGGATTGTAATCTAAATAATAACACCACAGTGCTTATTTTTGATTTAATATTTGACGAGCAAACATTAATTATAGAGAACTTCGCTTATAACACCTACTATTACTATTCATACGAAGATGAGGAAAACTAGAATTTCCTTACCAAATGTCAATTCAGAAAAACCATCAATGCAAATATCCTAGATGTTGCTAATGAGATAAAATTTGAATTTATATAATATTGTCCTAGTCTATTCAATCAAAAGGCAATTACAAACGAATTTTTAATTATTCATCATGAAATAGTATTTAGGGAAAACAGTACCTTGCATTTGCAGGCCTATTAAGCAACTACTGCAGATATATAATCTTGCAATTTGGATCCGAATATAATGATAGAACAGATATTTATAAATTCAATGATAAATGGATATGATAATTAAACCTGGAACGTTGGATTTTTGTTTCAGTTTTCTCCCAAAATTTGCAAATGCAACGTCAAGGAGATCTATGCATCTCATTATAATATACTTTGCAAGAGCACACTGATTGAGCGTATTGAATTCGATATTTTATAGTGTATTAGCCAAACCAAATCAGATAAGTGCAAAATCTCAATGACGAAGTAGTCCTTGTGACTGGAAACAATTTGGCTGTCCTCATCATCTATCTGGAAAGATCTTATCAATCCCAAAACTACTTTACTCTTAGTTATAAAGAGATTTTCGAGCCTGGCTATCTCTTAGTTGATGTGTCTATCACCAGTCAATATTTGGCTGTGATTATGACTGATTCTCCATTTGCTCAATAGATTTCTCCGTTCTATTAAAAACCTAACTTATAATGTTCAAAGTAAGCTCCTGGAGAAACCAAAAACATTTTGAAGATCTTTTACTTGAATTCAGAATACAAAACAGTTTATTATTAATCAAGCACTTTTAATTAGTTTCAGAATTTCTTTTAGAGTCTAAATTAAATAGAATTCGGAAATTTCATTCTATTGTATAATTACTTCGATCAGAAAATCAATGTCATTACGCTGTTTGAGAAGTACAATTATGCTATTGATATTTAGACAAATGAATGTATCTTATTAGTTGGGACAGGATAACTTAACTTAAACTTACAATCAGTAAATCAGTCCAATCATTGTAAGACACTTCAATTATTATTATCAAGATCTCCTTTAATATATCAGGTGGATACATGGCATTCAATCAATCCCAGAACACATACAAATATGCACTGATGACATTCTAAAGATTTATCATCCTATGCTTTATCAAATTGGGAGATAGCAATTTCCAACTGATTGCTTAAATACATAAGCTCGATGAGAAAGATTAGCAGAGTTTGACCTTGTGTCCAATAAGCAAAGACATTTACGTATTCCAAGAAATCATAAATTCGATCGACTTATTTGAAGGCGTAATTGCTTTATAGATTTTTCATAGATTATGGGTCCATTGTTAAATTTCAACTATGTTCCCAATTACAATGTGAGCAAATATTATCCCTATTATTAAAATCACAAGGCAATCATAAAAGAAAATCAACTCTATAAAAATAAGCATCAGACAAGATAAGTGTTCAATGTTTTGAGTGCTGTAAACAAAAACATATTTATTACTTCCAACATCTTTGGAATAGTCGAGATCCTATTGACCTACTCTAATAGTATAGACAATTAAATAAATAATGAAGCCATCATTATTAATAAAACTTGTATCATTAATGCTAAGCAATACGTATTACTTGTAAATGACTATTCTTTTAGGAAAGCTTCTCAAAGTAGTTCCCCATAAATATTGAAATTTAACAGTGCGTTGAAGAGAAGTATAAAGATCTCCAAAAATACTTGAGTCAAGTTGATTACTACAAATAGTTTTAATATTTTGACATAGCAGTACAATACAAAGATTCAATGTAAAAACCTCTTATTAATCTTATTAGTATAGTATTTTGCCAAAATAAAAATTCAATTATTAGATAGTAACGATGTCAGAGCATCACAGAAATGAAATCAAATGATAACATCGTGCAAATTTACATTCTTCAAGGACCTATTAAAAATGAGAGAATTAATTACTTTATCACTATTCTTTATAGTTCAAGTGTGACCAGGTTATACTTCTACGTTTTAGATCTTTTTGTAAATCATAATTGTAAATATTGTAGTTGCCCAGCTAAATCTATCCAGAGATCAAATATCACGACATATAATGTTACAATATCTTAGACACTCACAGTCCAATAGTCTCCTTTAGATACACTTATGTTAACTAATAAACCTTATTCATATTGTTCTATGATGCAAGAATTGTTGTTTATACACCTGGACCCATTAACTCAACCAAGGAAATTAAATTGTATAATTACACCTCTACACTAACCAACCTTGTACTTAACATCAAGGAATGTGAGAATAACAGTTTCTTAGGATTTGAAATTACTAAATATTTCTAGTCGAAATTGGCTAAGTAATATTTGATCGTTTGGTGCCAAGAAAATTAAAACGGCAACTTCACACCTATTTTACTACAATACATAATTACTAATATTAATTAGATTAATTTTTGGAGGAGACTCCCCAATTATGATACTATTTTAAGTAATTAATGCAAAATCCTGATATCTGGCTTAATATTGTATGTTCCCATCATTACGAAGAGCGTCTACAATGACTATTTTTAGAAATACTATATTTACAATTTGGAAGACTATACTGCCAGATCTCTGGTTGAGAAAATAGAAATTGAGAAGAAGAAGAAAGAATAAATTGTAAATAATTTAAGTTATACCCTAGATAACATATCCCATAAGCAACTTAATGGATTCATTACTAGCTGGATCCTCTATCAGTTTGACTCTTATTATCACAGAGAAGAAATTCGAAATTTATTATTTGAATTAAAAAGCAGAATTTATATTCCACCTCTAATAGCAGTTCATTCCTGAATACAACGATTCTCCATTTTTGTTGGTCATTGGTGTTTTTTAATCATAAAAGCCCAACGTTTTGTATAGGTAATACCTATGCATATTACTAGAAATTACACTTTGGTGTACAATTTCTCAAGCACCTAGATCTCCTTTGCGTATAATTGTTCATCAGAATACAAAGTAGAAGTAAATTACGATTAAATCAGCTAAGCTGGAGGATATTTTTAATTTCTCTTTTTAGTTAATGTATATATAGCTTAAAATCTTATAGTAATCTTTCTTCAATGGACCAATTGCTTCTTATGATTACTAGTCAAACCAAAAGAATTTGTCTATTATTCCATCTCCTTATTTATAAATGAATAAATACTTAGGTAGTTATATGGATGAAGTATCCTCCTTTGGACAAGTTTCTTAAATTATTGATATAGGGGATGAAATTTATATAGGTTTGTTCAACCAAGATATCGTGAATAGTAAGTCATTTTAATATTTCTAGTCTCTTAATATAAGGATTTAATAATCGTATTGACTGACTATTATGTGTTGTTTTATCAAAAGAATTCCATTCCAGATGTAAATAGATCTTGCATCTACTCTAATTACACTCAAGATGAAAAAAGAGGCAGTTCACCGTTATGCTCAATAAGACTGATCTATGTTCACGTATTAAAGCCATCTAATCCCTTCTTATTTTGTCAAATGCAATTAAACGGTGTAAATGTATTGATCATAGTATGCCAACTGAAATATTTTAATAAATCAAATGGTAAAATATCGTTTTAGGATCATGAAAACATCTAATAATATATTTATTTAGAGTATACTTACGTCAGACTTAACAATTCTATTTCAATTCCTGTGAATATTGTGAATGATAGGTAGTTTTGTTACTGCTTCTTCAATGATTTGTAGCCTTTCTTCTACAACAATTCAATTTACTAAATGATCAAGAGTGGATATCAAGAACTGAATTCCTATTTTGGGATTTATCAAATAGTAATTACAAATAATTAAACCATACAATTCATTCAGCAGAGCTCGTATCCCAACACAAACGATTCATAGCCTTTGTCATATGCAGAAGACTTTGGCTTGTCTGTGATTGAATACCAATAGATTCAATACTTGTACTTAATACTTTTGCAACCCAACAATATATTTGTGTTGGTGATTAATATGACAGATGGGTTTCCCACTAATGGGCCTGGCAGGAACCTGTTATTTTAAAAGAATGAAGATTACGTGAGATTCGAAAAGGCAGTATTTATTCAGACCCTCAACCATCATCAGCCTCACATTGTAAATGACTCATTTATGGAGTAAACTATTTCTGTTGGAAACAACAATCAAATCTATGAGATTACTTTTAACATCCTAACACTCGAAGCCAAACTGAGATATACTTTCTATTAATACTTGTTATGTCATCATAACTTTTTGTCTCGTCCACAAATTGAGATTTAGTTTCAAAATGATACTATATTCTATATGGTCACTTAATGCTTATCCAATCAATTTGAATACCAATCTATTTAAGTGGAAATGACGTATCTGCTTAATGAATTGAACACCAATATAGTTTACACCTCTCTCTTCATCAGTATAAATTGCAATCTTTAATTTAGGGAACTACAGTCAAAACTATTCAAGGCCAGTGGAAATCTTGGAACCGTATTTGGTCAACCCATAAGAGTTGCGTCTACAGAAAACCCAATTATATTAGGCTTTAGATACCCAAACCAACACATCGAAGTCACATGTTCTGATAACTAACAGCACCTATTTCTTGATTGATCTAATACTGTATACTGACAATGGGTATTACTTGTATTATCCCATTTAATCAGCAAATGATAATAGGGTATTAAAATAATTTGAATATTTATTAGAATCATTCAGTATCCTTGAATATTACTGCATACAACTCCTATTCGAGTTGTGAGGTCGAATTTAAATTGGGATGGGTTGAGTAGGATAGTTAGGTGAATAGTCTGGCTTGGTTCTGGGCGATATTATCTCTTTTGTTGTTGTTGATTTTGACTGTGATTATAATTGCTGTTTATGGTTTTTGTTAAAAACAGAGTCAGATTGGCAAATAGGACAAGGATTTCCCTCTTGAAAGGATTGGAGATGATTAAAGTGAATAAGGGTTGGAATTGCAGGGAGCTGCTTATAATCAATTGATGTTGGGGGATGTGTTCAAAGATCTGTTGCGAAATAACAGAACTAAGAAGCGGACAGTTTCATATGTGGATGAATTGTCAGATTGAATAATAATATATTATTTATTTAAATATATATATATTTATACATGGGTTGCGGATTGAAGAAGGAAAAGAAGGAGAGCAATAATGAGGTTGCTTCCTTGAAACCCTTAATCAAATTCAAGATCACATTTTCTAATGTCAAGATCAAAAACATACCTCTTTAGAAGACGAAAGTTCATTTTTCAATTGCAAATTAAGAGTGTTTCCAAACTTAAATCTCATTTAACAATCCTAACCCACATTGGAGATAAACATTTAGATCGTTTCATGAAAGTGATTAGGAAACCTTGAAGTCAGAATTCTTCAAAATTGTATTCTACTCTTATTTATTCAGAGTGTCTTCTGCGCTGAAAAAAATAAATGTTTTGCTTATGTTGTTTAAAATATGTGGGAAGTTGCAAACGGTCCCATTCATTATGATTTGTTTCTCGAATCCACCAAAGGCTAACTCATCCAGAATCACTTTTGACTTGCGAATGGTACAAATGACAAACGCCAAGATCCAAAGCAAACAAGTCATGTGCGAACTCAAAGACCAATTGATGGAACAAGCCTACAATTTTCAATTAAAAGTCAGAGTATCCTATTCATAATTATCATCAAGTCCCATCAAGTGGATTACTACAGTGATTTCTCTCCAAATTACCTGAATCACTACTTTTACCGTTAATCTACCATCAAATAATATGGCTACATCGATTCCAAAGAAAAACTAAGAAGTGAATCCGATGAGTTCCAATTGGTTAGAGACATCTTTGATTCATCAATTGAAGAAAACCTACAAACTGATCTCAAGAGTTGCTACTTGAAAAAGAACGGACTCAAGAATGATTAAGACTTGCTCTTAAAAAAGTCTAAATCAAACAACCAACTCAACTCCAAGATCCATCTCTCGACTAGTCAATCTTAAACAAACAAATCCAGAAGACCCTACTCAACTATGGGTCTGATAACAAAAAAGGATCTTCTGTGGGAATTTAAAGTATAAGAAAATAATCCAATCATCTCCTTTGACATTTACGTTGATGAATTTTCCAGTTCTTCATTTGAATTCATTCTCTGGGGAAGTTCAAAACCAAACGAAAAATCTGATAATGAAAGTGTTCGAAAAATTGGAAATTCCATTATCTCCCTCAACAAATTTTTCAGTTAAAATGTTAATGTTTTGGCCGAACTAGATAGGATCTCCCTCCAAGAAGTGATATTCACAGACAAGTTATGGATCCACGGTTAATGTGTTGGAAGAGTCAAAGCAGAATTCATTATAACCAAGGATACCTTCATTAGACAGATGCTTGGAGGGTTTAGAACGGAGGAAGGCATTCAAAGATCATCTTAACTGTATATCAAAAAGGATAAATACTCTGGTCCACAGAGTCCGAATATCTATCAAATCATCTAAATCAATAATGAAATAGATGAATTGGCTGGAAAACTCAATCAAAAGAGTCTTCAACATAGGGAGAGAGTCAAAATTAATAAGGCCATTAATCAAATTATTGAGAAGTTGAGTACTTTAATTAAAAACTAAGAACTTTACGAGAACCTAGAGGAGATGATAGCTGCTCAATTAGTGTTTGTAGATGTAACAAAGAATCTATTAGAAAGTGCTGATTTAATCGACGAAGATTTGAGAGATCAATACTATGATGTGCTTATTACTTTATTGAACAGAGACGAATTCTTCATCAGTTACTTGGGTTTCGATAAGGATCTTAAGGAGGCTTATAACTTAAGAAATGATCAGAATTACGTGTCTAAAAACAAGAATCTTATATAACAATTAAATCAGAAAATTAGAATAGGATTGCATTATTAGAATTTCTTACATCAAACTTTTGAGAAAGTTACATAGAAACTCAATTAACAGGGATAGAATGATAAGGAAGAACTATTTGTAAATACATTCTTAGTTATTGCTTTTTTCAGAATACCCTAATTCTAGAACTTAGTTATTAATATTCTAAAGGAAGATCAACGTTTATTAAATGAGGAATTCGAAAAAGATTTTGGAATATATTGCATTGATAACACATTTTCTACTGAATGGGATAAGAATTTTTATGATTATCTACAAGGTGATCCTCGTCATTAAGAACATAAGAAGCAATTCTAAGGTATTCTTAATTCTATTGATTGGAAGAACATCATACTTACAAGTAGAGTGTTTTTGAAGTGGTTTCAATTAATGTTGAACCATTACAAGAAAGCAAAGCATCCATATGATATGTGCTTAACATGGTCAGGGTTTTCCTGGCTATTTAATTTTAATTAAGTATTTGCTGTTGGAGATTAAATATTCAAATGAATATCCATATCCAGAAACGATTAAACATGCTTCATTGTGCTTTTTGGAGAATGAAAACATGCTTAATTATTTAGTAATTGTGATATTTCACAAAACTAAACTATACGATGGAATTGCAGTATTTTACACACTCGATATGATTAATGACTGGTTTGACATGATCAAAAAGTAGAATAAGAAGATTCCAACTGATTTCAACTATCAATTTCTGATGAAGGGTTTGTTTATGATTTTTGATGGTTAACATGCTTCCTCAATTAGTAAGGCACTCTAATTGATATTTAATATATTTCCTTAGATGCCCATTGAAATCCAAAAGGAAATCAGCGATCACATATTTGATAATTGCTTCTTCAAGTTTTTCATGTTTTGGAGTAAGTTAGTTAGATTCGTTTTTCAGCACCTTCTGATCTATAGAATATAGCATCGACTTAGAAATTATAGACAGGAAAGCATCAGAGACATTTACAAGGAATTCGAGTGCATAAAATTATAGAAGTAGAAATACACAGTTGAAGAGAAGGTTAAATTGTTGAATCATCTCATTTACATCAAATATTCATAAATGATTGAATTGGTATTGAAAATCAAGAGAAAGATTGCACAGCACAATCTGTAATAGGAAAGTTAATTTCAATTGTAATTGGAGGCCAAATCTCTAAAATTGAAATTGATGAAGAAGAAATAACAATAAAAAAAGTATCAATTAAAGAGAATGGAATCTCCAAGACATGATTAAATAGATATCTCATTTGAAAAGTAGTAAAGATCAAATATTAGTTTAACATTTAGTTTGAATGATCCCTTCTATAATTCCGATATCAGGGAAGATGAAAAGTCAATTGATCAATCTCATGATAATGCGAAGGAGAACAATGTGTCTAATTATGATTAAAATGAAATCTATCTTTTTGATAGGAGTATCAGTTCGATAATCAACCTGAATGATCTATTGGCTGACATTGAGTTAAGACAAAAAGACTAATGAGAAAAGAAAGTCAAGGCATTCGAATAGAAATAATTCGGTTGAATTGAATTCTGAAAAGAGTCAAAAGAGTAGAAGAGATGATAATGAAAACCCAAAGAAATTAAAAATCTATCATCGGATGAACAAACAAGAGAACATCAAGAAATCATTCACTAAAGAACTTTTATCATACTTGTTCCCAGCCATACAGGAATGGCAAGAGTAATAGGCTAATTATAAAAGATGGTTTTTGAAGACTCAAGCAATGATAAAGAAATAGTTTAAATAGGACCGGTAAGAACAATAATTGATGGATATTGACCCACCTGAAATCAACTTGTATGTACCCAAAGATGAAACAGAAAATGAAAATGTCTATACAGATCATTGATTAAATTTATTAAGCTAAATCTATTTTTGATAATATATATATCTATCTGTAAAAACTAAGGATTTTATGACATTTAAACATAATTTTATCTTTCATTTATGTATTTATATATAGAAATCCATATTATGATTTTAAAATGAATAAAACAGTCATTCAGATTATTTCGTTCAGTTTAAAAATGGCAGAAATTTAGATTTAATAATAATAATTAGCTTTATGAAGATTTGTATTTTTATTCTAAAGATGACAATATATTATTAAATTTATTATATAATCAATTTTTCTTTAATAACAAACTTTATATCATCCCCTTTTCCTACATATACTTATAGATTAATTATTTTAAAACACTTTTATCTACTATAGTAAATAATAATAATTCATTCTTCTTATCAAATGCTTAAGTAGCCATCAAAGTTTAAAACTTAGACGACTTTACTTTAATTTTTAAAACCCTCCATTTCCTTACATATAAATTCTTAATTTCTTTATAATAGTTATTTACAATTACACCTTATACCTTACTAACAATTTTATATATGAAAATACATGTCTAGATATGGTGATTTCACAATTTCCTCTTCAATATGATAGTTAATTATAGTCTTTTACATTTAGACTTTAATCTATTTTACTTCTAAAGTTAAGAAATAAACATGATAAATTACTTTCCTAATCTTCCTTTTTTATTTCCATATAAATTTGATTCCAATACTTATTCCAAAGCATGATAATCCTATTGGCATATGCTTAGACTTTCTTTCGATAATTTCTATACACTTCTATGATCTTCCTCATTCTTCTTTTGAATTGATAGGTTTTTTAAAATATTTCACCAATTTATCCATAACTCATCATAAAAGTATACACCATTCTTTTGGCTTTCTTTTTAGCCCCCTTTTCCTTAACTTTCGATAGCATTCTTAAAATTAAAAGACCTTGAAAGATTGTTCTTTGAAAAATATCTTTCCCTGACTTTTACAGCATTCTTTATAACCCTTACCGAACTCTGTATTGCCTTCTTTTTTTGATGGATTGTTTGAATTAAAAAATGATATTATCCTAAAGATAATAGGATGTATTTTACATAATATCTCTTTTTAATGATGGAAACCAATTAGATAAAGTAGAGATTCTGAAGCCATAATTTCTATTGGAATTTTAAAAAGTTATCGATATTATTTCTATATAGAATGATTTCTTTTAGTATCTTTTTTTTCTCTTAGAACTCGAACCGTTCTCTCAAGGTTTCTTTCTTTTCCTCGAATATTTATCTTTTTTTATGTAAAGTTTCTGATAGTTTTCTAGCCGATTGAACTCTTCTCAGGTTCTGCTAAAGTTTAATTTTATCAGGCTAATATTATTCAATATTCTTGTTAAGTGATATCAAATCTTTGGAGGGTTTCCTGGTGAAGAAGAATTAGGATGACCTAGTGAATTGATAGCCAGTGGATGGTCTTAATTTGGACTCAGTTTCCATTTTCTGCTGCTGTTGTGGTTTGATTCCGAAAGAAGCCTTGGCATATATAGTGGTAGCTTATTAAGAAAAGATTGCCAGATACAAACAACGTTATGTGAAGATTATGTGTTCACCCTATTCTGTATATCTCAGAATCTGTTTTCTTTCGAAAGATTCCTCATTGTTGAATCTGTTCGGAGTGATGGTATGACTTGAGATGTAAAATTTCATTTTGGCTTAATCGGTGAATTAGAAATCTACTATTTATCATGATATGTACAAATTACAAGAGGCTTTTTGTGACCAGTTAAAGGCACTTCAATGTAGTGGAATTGACAAAGATCAAGTTGAATGACATTAGTCAAACGCACATCCAAGATGGCTCTTTCTTTGTGAATATATTGAATATCCGTTTATTTACGCTAATTGTTCAGAAATGTTGGTGTAGACAAGGAGAGATTATCAGAAAATATTTGTTTAATCTTGCGTTCCTCAAGTTTTTGTATCATTTAGAAATTTTCATCATACTTCTCATAATTTTAGTTCATTAATATTAAAAAATAATAATAATAATAGGTAAATTATAGCATAGTCGTTTCAATTCTAATGAAGACTGGAGTGTTTTTTAATAATGGATTTGGCCTTATTATTGATTTGGTTTTTGTTCTAACAATTTTGTTAAGTATTTAGAGTAGTTGTGTTTTGTTGAATTTTGAGAACTTTATTAATAGAGTGAATAGACGAAGTCTTAGTCTTCTGAATGCTCTATCTATTATTATTGTATTAAGAATAATTGATATTCTTATTCACAATAGGCTATTGCTAATCTGGTTGGTTTGACTCTTAAGTGTGTTTCAGTAAAATCTTATCTCTGTGAGTATTCTCATCATCCCAATCATAAATGTATTCAATCCTTAAGTCATTTTCTTTCATCACAGAAATGAAGAGGTTCTTCATATACTAATAATCTGGTTTTTCATCAAACTTCAAATTCTTCGAATACTCAATATATTCATAGAATTGCTTTGGACTGTTCTTACACAAAGTTTCACTTGAAGTAGCCAATTTCTTCTCCATGATTCTATCATATTTCTCCTTTTGGTTGTTAGCCCTTAGATTTTGCCAAGGCAATGAACCTCTTAAAAAATAAAGTAGGACATATCCTAAGGATTCAAGATCATCTCTTCTTGATTACTCTATGCCTAAATGTGTATTGATGGATGCATATCTCGCTGTTCCTGTTAATGCTTTGTTGTCCTTGTAAGGGATGTGACTATCTTTTATCATATACTTCTTAGCAAGTCCATAATCAACCATATACACTCTATCCTTGTGAGCTTTGCCTAGTAAGAAATTATCAGGCTTAATGTCTCTATGCAGAAAATGCTTTGTGTGCAAGTATTCTACGCATTCAAGCATTTGGAGTGCTAATACTGTTACAGATTGAAGAGAAAGGAGACGATTATTATCTGTAAATATATCCTCAAGACTCTTGCCAAGTTATTCCATCACAAGGAAGTTGAAATTATCTTGTTAATAATAACCATAGTATTTCGGTATGCCTATTATGGGTTGATTGTTGAGGTACTAGTATAATTTTGACTCAAAAAGTAACTAAGGGTATTTAGTGTCTGAACGTTCTATTTTAATTGCATACTCTTATCCATTCGCAGTGGCTGAATAGATTTCACCAAATGCTCCTGCACCTAGTTTTTTTATTAGTTTGTATTGTCTACTGAATAGAGCTAGCTCTTTACTTATTTAATAGGAATCCACTCAAATCCTTTATAGTATATTCCATCAGTTAATTAATTAAATAATCACTAAATTTAGATTGAGAATGAGTGTTAGCCTACCAATATATTAGTTTCTAGCAAAGATGAGATGACTTACTCATTCTTGAGAAGTTTCTCATCATATATTGTTGCTAAGTGGATGTTAGTTCAAAACTTTAAGCAAATCACAAATTCTTCCTTGGTGTTTTGGGTTATACCAAATAAATTTGTATTTTCATTCAAGCTAATTTCTAATATATATTCTCAATTTTCAAAGAGATTCACATATTTGTTAAAATTGCCAATGAACCATACATAATTAATTTAAAGTCTACTAAAATTTAGTATAAGCGTGTTTATACATTTATAATCTAAAAATCAAATTATAGAATCTTAGATTGGATGGCAATTTCGTTTAAAATTCAATGTGTTAAAACAAGTAGATTTGCTTCAGAATTTTTATTGACTGAAATCAAAGGTTTTTCAAAAGGTCCTCATGTGTTATAGGTATATTAAATGAGGACCATAAAGCATTTGTTTAGCCTAATATTAAGTTAAAATAGATTAAATAAATTCATAATTAGATAAGATTGTAAGTTAAAATATAATACAAATATGAACATTCTTATGGCGAATCTGAAATAATTACAGAATTTTGGTTAAAACTAATAAATGTAACAAGATCTTTCCATTTTACGGTTAAAGTGGAATAAAAAAAGGGTATAAATCAATTTACCGATTTTTAAAAATTGTACATCCATAATCAGTACTTCAGGAAATCTTAATTTCACTGATACCTCAAATATACGAGACTCATAAATTGCGGAGGGAACTCTAGAACACTTAGAATGCAAGATTTGGGCTGAGTTGAGAGGGATACTTAGATTTGCATATTATTTGAATTATAGTTGAATAGATGCGTTGAAATTGTTTTGAAATCTATGATGAATGATAATTCAATTGTATATATCTATAGATTTTAATTTGATGGAGATAATAATAAAAAAATATTATTAATAAAATGAGATTTTTATATTGCGATGCAAATGTAACTCCTGAGATGAAAGAAAAAATATCAAAATTATTAATTGAGAACCTAGAGAAATTAAACCACTAAAATCCAGCTCTCTTTTTATAATAACTGCTGAATAAAAATTTTGAAAAAAAATGGTAAATGATTATTTAGTATTTCCTTTAGGTTTGTTTATATGGTATATAGTCCTGTGGAATTAGAATATTAGGTTATTTCAAACACTTCAATATGTACTTAATAATCTGATATTTGTAGCGATGGATATCGAAATTGAGAAAACTCGATTTATTTTGGCATAGTTTGAGGAAGTCAGCATAGGTACATTCTAAAAAGATAAGTTCAACAAAACATGTCAACAAATAGAAAGGTATATTCAATAGCAATCGCAAGACTTGGCATCTGATCTAAATGAATCATTGAAATCATTGGAAAATCATTTTGGACTTAGCTGTCATATGATACTAGTTAAATGTATTGAATAGGAAACCTAACTACAATATATTGCTCCAAATCTACATCAATACACCTTTAAAATCCCAATAAATGAGTTAGAATCAATTCAAGGAGGCATATTTTACATTCCATTGGGGGCAGAGGTAGATGATGGAATGTAAGGATAGCACCATTAGAATATGTCAGGAGAGGAGGAATTCGACAATAATCAAATAAGAGATGAAAATTACATTTAAGATGAATATGAAGAACCCATGGATTTGTAATTTTAAGTAATGTTGGAGGCCAAAGAGTTCAAACAATCGACTGATCAAGTCAAAGTTAGTTTTGATGAACTTGAAATCTAGCCATTGAAAGTACATTCATTTTCTATTCTGTTCTAAATTATCATATCACCCTTCCCTAAAGAAATAAGTATCAATATTCAATACTCAATTAGAGGATGACTTAAATGTATTGTCGACTGGCAGTTCTTTGATGTCCAAAAACATGACCTTTGGTATCAATAGAGATCAACTATTCTTCTTTAATTTTCAACTAATGACAGGGAAAATGGAGACACTCTATTCTTAGATGAAAATCAAAAGGAATCTTTTATATTAGATAGCCTTGATTTATACTGAAACAGAAACTTACAAGTAAAATTACTCATCCTATTATTTTATTAGAGAAGTGTCAATGTACATTAACGGAGCCATTGAAAATCAAATTAATTTATCATAGCATTTAGAACCTCCAAGGGGATTCTTTTGGATTGGATCCGAATAGGCTCTAAAACTATTCAAGGGAACCTTAAGGGATATCGTATTTGTGTCTTAGGCCTTACATCAAAAACACGTCAAATCAATTTATGCTGAACTATAGAGTGCATTAGCCCATAAATTCCAAAGATAAACTATTGAAATTGTTGATGAAATATTATAATAATTCAAAGAAGAAATACCAATTGATTAAGATGAATCAAAGTTTACTCAAACTTAGAGTATGTTAAAGCAGTAGTCTAAGACTCTAACCAAAGCAAGTAATAAGAAATTGTAGATACCTCCACATCTCCAAAGGAGTTATCATGTATTTGAAGAAATTGATAAAAAGAAAACTCAATAGCAGGAGCAACCACATTAAAAAACAATTCAAGAATTTGCAAGTACATTTCTATACTAATTTTTAAGATAGATTAAAAGAAGTGTTTTAGTAGAACGAGATAATTTATCACAAATGCCATGAATTGAGTTTGATTTTCTATTGGGTGTTTACTACTGTATAATAATTGGCACCACCATTAGAGGAAAATGCAGGTGCCAAACTGCCATTTGAGTATATTCATTAAGAACTCTGCAAAGAGAGGTAATTAATATGAGTATGAATCATCTTAGATTTGAAGTCTATCCATATTATGCTATTGAATTCGATAGGTTTTGCAAGGTTGTGTAATATAGTGGAATCTAGTTATCATATGATGATATTTATCAATTGGCTGAAATCACTGATTCTCTAAGGGAAAACAAGAGATTCGGCCTTTACATAATTTATGATCGATTGCTATTGTCTATTAGACAGGCTGCATTGAATGAGTAAGAAATAGAAGAAGTCAAGAGTCAATACAACACAGATGAAAAAGAAGCTGACTAAGATCTGATAATTTACACAAGAGGCATCTCAAGATCGAAATAAGCAATGGAACATAACTTCAGTTTCTTTGAATAACTTATAGTGCTGGTAGGATCTGAGAATGAAGCATTCAAGTACAATATCAAATATCTTTTGGCTTACTTTGTAAACAATGATGAATTTGTGTAGAAATTAACAGCAGTTTACATTCACAAAGAAACAGAATAAGAAGTAGAAATCGAAGGAATTGATCTATTTTCTTATGATCAAGATAAGATTTTCCAAATAGAGACTCAACCATTTCTGAGGAAACTTAACCCTAAGTACTTCAGAGTTCATTACAATGGTGAAAATATGGCTATGATATCATTCAAAACACATGAAGCTGAAGAGACATTTAGAATTGATAAAACATTTTCATACAGAGAAGGATAGGATGCAAACTGGTTAATTGGAGACTTATGCTTTTGAGTAATTGAGGTTGGCTGGATTCAGAGGTAGAATAGTCAAGAAAGATGAGTATTCTCAAATCATCATGTTAGCTGCAGAATATTTATAAAAAGATCCAGAAGTAGAACAACAAAAAAGAAATCAACCAGAAACATTACCATAATTAGCAGAAAATTGGAATCAAGGGAAGTTCTAGATCATCATCAATAGATGTTCTGATTGCGATAAGCATAAGACAACCACTTGGCATAATGAGGCTGATTTCGCCAATAAATTTAATGAAATTGGATAAATATTAAAAGATTTGTTCCCTAATATAGAAGTAATAGGAAATTGGGATAAAACATAACAATTAGAGCATTTTGATGTTTATATTAGAGGAATAGGTCAATCAAGCTAGATGGACAAAGAAGGAAGAGTGTTTTTGTTTAAAAAGAATGAAAAGTTGGTTAAATTCTTGGATTGCTTCTTGAAGAGAATGCTTAAGGTCTATGATGAAATAGTATTAACTGCATAAGCCTATGGGGATACAAACAGTATGGCTATTAAATAGGAGCAATTCTTAAGAACCAACAATTATTCACAAAGATCTAAGATAGCTCATGATCATCCGTGCAATGTACCTGAAAAACAAGAGAAATCAGAAAAGGGAGAAGCTTAATATGCTGGTTCTGATTTCATTTGTAAGAATTGGGGTTGTGGATAACCATATAAATTTGATGCAACTCCGAATGGTATTAAAACATGTAAACATCATCCTGGAAGATATGAATTTGGATCTAAACATGGATTATGGCCAGAATGTTGGACATGTTGTGGTAAAAAGTGGGAAGCTGAAGGCTGTAAATTGGAGTATCACAAGGGAGTTCCTGAAAAAGACTTTTATAATATTTGTATCAATGTAGGTCCCCTGGATCCAAGAACTGGTTTTCCTGAAGGCACTTGTGGTATGAAATTCTAAGATGGGGATTCTTCAGAATGTAAATATAACTCAGGAACTCATCAAGCTGCTAAATGGCCTGATCCTGCAGCCAAAGTCTATTTTGTACAAAAATTACACATTGTAATTATAATCTGTTAATATATATATATAGAATCCTGCTTAGAAAGAAAAGGAGACTCAGCCAAATAAAAACATTCAGGTTAGACCTGATGTATTCAGAGAGACTAAACCTTATTATGAATTTATTAACAAGGATAGATAGAGATAAATGAAATTGATTGAGACAGAGAAGGAATTGAGAATATGTACGAATTGGGCATGTGGAAAACAATACAGAGAGATTGAAAATAGAAAAAAGAATATGTGTAGATCTCATCCAGGAGTGTTTGATTTTGGACATACTGCTACTAAAATTTAAGAAGCTATTGAAGAGTATAAATAAGAAAAGGGGTCCAAGATTTTATGGAAGCCTCAGTAAATAAGTTCTCTATTTAAATTAGTTGGACTTGTTGCCGTAAATCTTGGAATGAACCAGGATGTCTTTTATCAAAACACTCAGGACCTTTAGTTATTGAATATAAACCTAATAAATACTTGTGGCCAGATCCAAAAGCATAAATATATTTCAAAAAGAAGGTATCAGAAAATTGGACAAAAATGCTTGAGTAAAGTCACAGTCTTACACCAGAAACAGCAAGTTTGAAATACGATCTTTTATGCAAGACTTTGGGGTCTGGAGGAGTAAAAATAATTAATATGCTCTTAGCAAATTTCTGTTTATAAATTGCCTGAGTTATGTGATAAATTTGAACTCAACTTGTGGGTTTGTAGTGAAGACTTGGCATTTTAATTTAAATTTACAGACATTATGGAGGGTAGGGCCTAAGAATACTTGGCTGATACAAGTGGGAATATTGATAAACATAAATTCTTGGATTGGTGGTTTGCAGATGTCAATAGAATGTTAGAAATTTCATCAAAATGATATATTATACATATAAATAAGAAATATATATTGTATCCGATTTTATCATTTTTAACAAAAATACATTTCAATCTTCCTTTACAAATTCAACTATTAAATTTAATTTTGATAAATATGAGTTCTAAACTTTAGTGCTTAATTATAGGATTTTCATTTGGAGTGTTATCCACTACATATTATTTAGGAAATTAAAGCAAAGAGAAACTTGTACTTAAAGCAAAAGAGTTAAAACAAAAGGGAATAGAATAGGTAATTTAGAATTCAATTAGATTCATGATATCAAAAGTGATTTGAATGAAATAAATGCTAAAGAGTTTTTGTAAGAGAAGAAGGAACAAATTTTAGAAAAAGGTAAAGACAGGTATATTTATTCTATGAATAACGAAGTTAAGAATTTGCTTAAAAAAAATGGAAAGATATTGAATAGAAGGCTAAAAAAACTAAATAACAGATGGGAAAGGAGATTGAAAAAATAAAAGAGAAATTCAAATAAGATTGATAGTATTATTATAAAAAGTATGTATTACAATTTAAGCTCTTTATGGGCATTATAATCACAGTATATAAATTTAATAATTATAATCGTTAAAAAATGCATAACGCTGTGATTACTATTCCTTAACATGGAAATGGCAGACTCTATAAAACTTCAATTTGCAGACATTTTGAATTGGGCAACTGCTCAATTGGAGATAAATGCCAATTTGCTCATGGATAAAAAGAATTAAGAAACCCCAATGGTATTATCAAGATTATACTCTAGATCCAATTTTGGGTAAGATACCAACAATCGATTCAAATATAGTTATCACAAATTACAAGAGTATCAATTAATTATAATTATTGCAGCTGTGTTATGCAAATATGATTAACAAGGATTTTGTAAGAATGGAGTAAATTGTCCATATGCACATGGAACTAATGAAAAGAAATAAGCTAGATTGGCCCCTGTGTAATTGAAGCAATTGTAAGAAAACAAAGAAAATGGTGATGATGAAAATGTTGTTAAATTTCTGAATTAATTGACTGATAAATTAATGAAAAATGATGCATTCAAAAATGACAAGGTATTACAATTACAAATTATGTAAAAAGCAAGTCTTAGTTTAACTTAAATCAACTCAAGCTATGATTGAAGAAAAGCATCATAGAGATGCAGCTGAATAGTTATCACTAGTTTTATCTTCTCCATCCAGATCCTCAAAATAGTAAAAGGCTTACGAAACAGTCTATAAGTCTTTAACTTTGAATTGAAATTATAAATAACATAATTATATAATCATCCAAATACTCTACATTCGATTAATTATGTTGAAATTAAAATACAAAAAAGTTAAAATTTGAAAATTAACCTAAAATACATTGAAATATAATATATATATAATATTAACAACATCTTCAAAGAGACAAAAAATCTTTATTCTAGAGTAACTTTTCTACATCATCCATCTGTTTTGCATCACCTTTAATCATTATCAAATTTAAAATATCTGCTATCCTTTGTTTTTAAGACATGATCTGTTCTTGAGCCTTCATCAGTTCTTAATCAGTAAATTCAGCTATGTTCTAGAAATAAAGAATTCAAGTACTTTCTAAAACTCCTTTTCCTTTGTCAAAGTTTCTATTCTTATTTTATCTTTATTTTACTCAATTTCTAAATAAATCATTACAATACAATACTTAATAAGGCATTTTCTTATTTTAAGGCTTCACATTCATTATCCCCATCATCCCCTCTAAAACTTGATCCCTTGAAATTATTTTCCTATTAATTCATTTAATTCTTATTTTATTATCTACTTTAGATAAGATTTCTTACTAAGATGCTGATTGCTATTAATTTTAAGTTGAAGATAGGATTTGTCTTAAATATTAATTGTCATTCTAAAGTTTCTCCATTTCATCTTAAAGATCTTTCAATTTTTAATTATATTTTTATTCTATCTCTTACTTCTAATCTAATTCAGATGGCGACTCATTTTCTAAAACTTACATTTATTTTTTCATTTATTTTATGCTTTCTTCCAAATCCAAAATTTCTTATTCTTTCTTTTTAATTACCTGTTTATAACCATCAATAATGTCTCCTATATTATCCTTATTACTCAAAGCTTACATTCTGATGACATCTTATTTTTTTTCTTCAAGTTGTTCCTTCAATTAAGTGATTTCATCTTCCAAAGATTGCATCATTTAATTTAAATTGCCAACTTATTTTTTATAATTTTAATTTTCTTTTTCTATTTATGAATATTCCATTTTCAGTTATTCTAATTCTACTTTCAACTGATTATCTGAGTTTTCTTATGATGTTTTCAATTAATTAATGGGGAGAGCTTCTGATTTCTAATTTATTTTAGCATAACTGCTTTATGGTTGTTCAACTTAATTATTTTATTTCATTTCTATTTTCATTTATTATGCTTCTTCTTGGAGTTTTTCTATTTCTGAATTGATCATCATTAAATTATTCTTTAAATTATAGATTTCGTTTTAATTCTTTTCTTTCTCTTTTTGCAATTAAGTCACGTTGTATTGACTCTGCTCTAAATGAGATTTAAGCATGTTGTTGTCTCTTTATAGAAATTCAAGTTCTTTTTTGATTATTTCTTCATTAAAGGTGGATTGAGAGATTTAATCACTATTCCCATTAATTAATTGCTATTATTACAAATATACAATTTATTATTATTACTACTTATTCTGTTAAACCACTTACGTATATTGATCATTTAATGAAGAATAAGTTTAGGATAATAGAGAAAACTCATTACAGGAATTTTCATACTTATCCTTTAAATCCAAATATTTTTTCATCAACTCATCATACTTATCAGATTTATTAAATTAAGTACTATTTTATAAATCCTCTTATTGTTAAGTTTTACTTCTTGAGGATAATTATTATTGTAATTCTTTTGGTTTTGGAGCACTCTTGGGGACATCCAGATTGATAGAATTTGATTTTAATCCTTGTTTTGGATCATGTAGAGATTTAGTCAATTAATCAGAGGCTTAATACTATTGAGTTGGTGCTTAGATTTGACTATTGTACATGAATTAATAATCCCTCGAGTCTTTTTGATCCACAAAGTATTGAAAATTGAGGGATTTTTATTTGGTTCCCTTTTCGGATTGACTAATAGTTTGATCTTCATTATAGCCATTTTTAAAATCATCTAATTAACGCGATTTTAATTTTTAATTTAATTTGGATGAATATTTTTTTTTCTCTTCTTCTTTATTTTCATTATTCATTTATTGCAATTACTTGTCTACTTTACTTAATTTTTCATTAATCATTCTTAATTCATACTCCTACTATCTTTACTGATTTAGGTTATTCACAGGGCTTTGAAACTTCTTGTTTACCTTTGTAGGAGTGCCAAATCTTTTTGGAGGTGAAGCAACTCTTACTTATGCATCTGGTTTTCTTAAGTTATCAGTCCAATTATAATTGTAATCGTCAACCATTATCACCTTTTGTGGCTGCTTTGGTTCTTTTAGTTTTCGTTCCTATTGGTTTTTTAAGTATTCTTTATGGTCCTTCCACTAGGAATACGTTACATGAGTAGTTCTCTTCTCATTTTCTTCTCCAATTCTTTTGGATTAAACCAATCGTTTTGGACTCTACCCTCCATTTCGTTGTGTATTGGGAGGACTATTGGCTGAAAGATAGGGATTAAGTATTTTAGGGTTGATTTCAGAAGGCTTTTCGATGAATTGCCATTCGAACATGAATGTTAATTGTGCTTCCTCATTTTGCTCACTCTGAATGGATAGTTTATCAGATAATTATTAGAATTTGTTCTCAACATAAAAGTCCAAATCGAAGACTGCCTCTCCGAATTTGCTCTAATTTTCAAAAAAGATCAATTTGAGCTTGGATAATGAGGGGAGACATACTTTTTTTTTATTTTTTGGATCATACTGGGTTCTGATTTCAGCCTTCTCATAAATGTCTTATTGTTCATAGCATTTGCATTTAAGTTAACTATTGAGCATGACTGCAGTAACAGCTAGATTTCAATCAAACATATTACAATCGTTTAGTTGCATGTGGCAATAGGTGATGGGTGAATCTATATAAAAATAAACAGTTTGCACCTCTATATTAATTTATAGCATGCTTACTATATTTTTTATTTATTATAATAAATGTTTTTCGTTATTTTTAATTTATTAGATTAAACTATTTGTGTATTCAGATAAAAATATTAACAAATCAATAAAGTCATTCAAGCAAGTCTAATTAATGTTTCATTTCGTCACGAAGGATGTCAATTTCTTTTTATTGATAGTAATTCCAAGTCCTCAAAGAGTAAGGACCGATTCCATACAAGTTCTTACATTAATAGTCCAAAAGAATCTTTTAAACATTAAAACCAGGAATTATTAATTCATCACAATATTTTAACTTTGAAGAAAAATTATTGTAAATTGTAATGATGGAATCATTTTAATCTTAATGCAAAAACAGAACCTCTTTTGGTTCTTGAGCAACAGTCATATCCGAAGGATTACTCTCGAGTTTTTTATGAAATAGCACTTAGTTTTTTTATACATTCCATAGTAAACACCTGTTGGAATTCTACTTGGCATATATGATATTGTTAGGATTTCCAGGAGTAAACATGGCCTTCAGAGCTTACGACCCATTTTCTCGAAAGCTATATTAGGCCACTGTTGGATTCCTCATATCCAAATGAATAAATCCATCTGTCATAGTGGCCACAACATTGTAATCATGAACATCAATGTATTTGATATATTGGGATTCCAACGAACTTTGATCTTCAAATTAGTTGAAACTGGGGAATTGCTCTATCAAGTCATCCTTAATTGAGTCCAATTCTTCGTCTAATTTGAAACTTGTTAAATGCAATAGGTTTAGGTCAGGAGGATTGAATTGAGGACTTTCAAGTATTATGGATCCAAATCTAGGTAACAAGGGCGATAATAGTTAGTTTGCTTGAAATGGATTTAGTTTCTGCTTGTTGATGGTTAACAACAAACATTTCCTTTCGTTCATTCTTTCGTCGAGTACTAACAGTTCCTAAAATCAATAAATAAAATCACTTACATTGTTTTTTGTTCCTACAAATATATTATTTAATTTTTATGTTATAAATGTTGGAATCGAGTGCTGCTACAAGCTGCAATTGTATTGTTTATTCAATCCATAATAACGATAGGCTTGATTTTTGAACAAGTTCCAACCCATAATATTACCTTGATCTGAACCAGTAATTAACATATCATTAGAGATATTGCTATCACTCATGCAAAATGAAATGTATCTCGAGTCATCATTATGAATATTGCATACTTTCTCCCTATTGAATGTGTCATTTATCAATTCTAGCCTTGTTAAATGAGTTCCATTATTTATTATTAGGCCATTTTATTATTTTAATGATATAAAGTTATTTTGCATTTATTTACTCTAAGCATAAGTCCCATCAAATGCTGTAAAATATTGGATGTTCTATTAAATATAATGTGCATTTACTTTTCTGATTATCCTCAATTCATTCATGAGTTTATCGAACTTTCTATTTATTTTGTGATCCAATTTATTTCTTAATCCTTATGCTGTTGTTCCTAAACCCTATATGCGAAAGGGAGGCGTTGATTTATATGGTGAATCTTCAGAAGATAATATACTAATAGATTTCTAGTGCTTTTGTTTTGTCTTCTCCAAAAACTTCTCGATTTTAGAAATTTTCTTTAAACTTTCATCAGTATATTTTGACTATTATATTAATGCTTGAGAAAATGAAGCTGGTTCCATATACCCTTCATTTTGCTAGTTGGTTTCATTGAAGAGTTACTTGTTGATTGTTGATTTGGAAAGAACTTCATCCTTCTCCTAAAAACAAATTATTTAAATGCTTTACAATTTCTGTAAATGGAACCGCCAAACATCTGGGGGTGTTAAACATTATGTTCTCTTAGTTATAAACTGAACTTCTGTTGAGTTTTGCTGAAATTGTTTATGCATGAGTGAAGCTTGAAAATTAAGAGGAATTTGGAAGTGGAGATTCATCTAAAGAAAATTCTGAAATTGCAGAGGTTGTTGAGGATTTTGGCACATTGTGCTTAAATTTGGCAGAATTTTTTATCATTTTAAATTATCTTTTATCAAAACTAAACCTCAACCTCACTTTATATTGTAGTGAAAAACATTCAAGTTTTTTTTCACTAAAAAATGATTAAATAAAAATTATAATTAATCGTACTCAATTTCTCATTAAAAAAGGAAAAAAGCCACTCTCAATCTCAATATTAATTCAAATGAGGTTGAATAGGAATGACCAATCATAACGAACCCTTATCTCCAGATTTCACATTAAATTTAATTATATATATAAATCCAATTTGAATTCAATACACAAAGCCATTTAGTCGAATGATTATACAATTATACATTGCTTTGTACTATTTAAATGACCAATATCCACTCCTTCGATTGGATTTGTACAATATAATCATTTTTTAAATAAATAAATTTTAATATGTTGCTTAGATTTATAACCACAACCCATCAATTAAATTGGGCTTCACTCTATTATTTCACAAAACACACCAGACCCAAGGCATAACCTCACAGAGAAAAGACTAGAGCTAAAGCAATAAGTGATGATAAATCAGGAAAGATCGCCAAATCAGATCAAGAACAAGAACAAAAGCAATAACAAGAAAATCTCAAGAAGAAAATAGAATTAGAAAAATTAAGGGCATTACAACCAAAAATGCATACCTGGAGCTCATTTTATGAAACGCATATTCCTTAAACAAATAAAATACCGAAAACAATTTACCTCTCCTTAGATCAACAACCTGAAGGAAGGAGAAAGCATTATAAAAAGTTTGTTTAACCTCCAGTTGACATTACTGAAGAGAACAATTAAAATTTTCAAATCAAATAGCACACTTATGAGGATCCCTTTGCACAACCAAAAAGAGCGGGGCTAATTGCTGTTAAAGTTGGAATGACTGCATAATGGGACAAGTGGGGTTACAGACATGCATTAACAGTCTTATAACTAGACAATAATTAAGTTGTTTAAGTGGTGAAGAACGATACATACACTGGCTTGTAGGTTGGAGCTGGAGCTGTCAATATCAAAACTCTAAAGAAACCCTAGATAGGACATTTCCTTAAAGCGAACGTAATACTTAAATGTAAATGATAGATTCCTCCCAAAAAATATATAAAGGAATTCCCCATCACTCCTGAAAACGTATTACCTGTAGGCTTTATGTTGACTGCAAGACACTTTACTCCAGGCCAGTACATTGATATTTAAGGTATTTCAACAGGAAAAGGTAAGAATGAAGTTCTGATATATTCCGTTAGGATTTGGAGGTACTGTCAAAAGACACAATTTCAAAACACAACCAGCAACTCACGGTAACTCTCTATGTCATAGACAATTGGGAAGTACAGGTTAAAGACAAGATCCAGGAAGAGTCTTTAAGGGAAAAAAGATGCCTGGTCATTTAGGTAATGATAAAGTTACATGTGAGGCGATCCAAGTAATTTCAATATCATTTTAACTAGATTTACAGAATAGATGCAGTTAGACAATTAATATACATAAAAGGTTCAGTTCCAGGAAAACCTGGTTCAATTGTATATTTAAGAGATTCTTGGAAGGCTTAAAAGAAAAACAAAGAACTTCTTAACTTTCCAACTTTGGCTGTTGAGAATGGAAAAGAGTATGCTAAGGAAATAGTAATGGAAGCCCCATTGGAAGATCCTGAAATGGAGGAAACTCATGAGAACGATTTCCCAAAGGCTGGAGAGGATGCAGAAGATTGAAATAAATAAAAAGAGTATCACAATATTAAATCAAAAATATAAATAATAAGATCATTTTTTATTCTTTAATTTTATACACAGCTTCTTTTTTTGTTATTCTATTTTTGAACTTTGATTATCATCATCAATATTCTTTTTTAATTCTGTTTATTAGATGTGAGAGTGATCTAAATTCGAAAAATTAGAATTTTGACAACTAAAGAATTCAGATTATATTTTTGAGTTAGAATTTGACTGTGATTTTGTTTAAGGCTGAGGATTTATCTAATCATTTTGTTGATTTATGCTCTCTTCCTACTTTTACTGTTCACCCAATGATCTCATCCTTTCATAGGTGTCTTCTTTTAGCTTTTCGAATTCTGTTTTATTTTGCAATCCAAAAAATTAAAGCTTTCTTTTTTTGACTTCCTGTTCCAAAAAAGGCTTTTTTTCAATTCGCTCTTGTTCTTTATTAGAAGCTGTCCTGTTGAAAAATTCCTTAGTTTGCTTAATCACATCGTCATCATTGATCCAAGGTTAGATGGCAGGTTATGCCCATTTTGATAATCCTTGTCTAATTTCCTTTTATTCAAATCTTTTATCACATAAATAAACAATCCTATAAAGTATTAACATAGTATTTATACCCATAATCATTGATATGTCTAATAACTCTTCCCATAGCTTGATTTGTGGCACGAATAGCTTATTGAGTGTACCATTCTGAACTTTTTATTCGTTATTAATGATTGAATTCTAGATCGTTGTAGATTCTATCCAAGTAGTTCATTTTTTCTAGAAGATGATTATCTTTTTTAGGTGGATAGGGTACACCTACTAAGAAGATGGCCCTGCACAATTCATCAGAAAAGTCTATTCCTTCAGCAACCTTGCCTCTATGAACTGCAAACATTATCGCGCCTTTCTTTGATTTCTCTTTATAGGTGTCAAAAACATTTTGCATCTGATTACTTTGTTAAGGTTCCCATAAGCACACTTTGAGTTCACTCAATCTAGGTATTAATTTATTTTATGTCCATTTGCTTCTGAATTTAAACATTAGACTATAGGATGAAAAAATAACTAAAATTCCATTCGGAATAGTCTAACATAAACTTAATAAAGTAACACCAAATCCACAAATATACTCTTCATTGTCTCTTTAATTATATGAAAAGTCATAAGTCTTATGTTAAAATATTCTAAGATTTTTGTCCAGATCAATGATATGCTCATTGGCTAATTGAACATCAAATGGAATTCTTAATTCACAAGACCACGATGGCATCGGTGAGAGTGTACCAGATGTTAACAAGATCGAATGAATACTTTTATTATACAGTCTGGAAAAGGCTAATGAGGGTTCAAGACACCACATGTGGATAGATAGTTAATTAGATTAGTCAAGAACAAAAGATAACTTATATTAGTTAAACTCGTTTTATAAAGAGCTTATTGATAATTATTATTTTTCTCTTTCCTCCTCAACTGTAATAAGATCATAGACATTTTTCATAAATTTAACCCAGGACTCAAAATGATATCCTGGAATTTAAGATAATTCCCCCATTACATCAATAAGAGTAGAGCAATGAATTAAATACTTAGAAAAATTAGTCTTATTGACTCCTTTTGCATAATTAGTCAAAGAATTCTCTTACCATAATTTAAAAGTGTTTTCTTTATCTTAAGTGTATTAAAAAATCATGGCTGATATTTTTCGACCATCCAAAATTAAATATTTCTCTTCCTTATCAGAACTTATAAATTATTGATTAGTTTTAAATGACTCCAAATATTAAGCAAATACTTTTATTGTAATCATAATAGATTTAAATTCCTTCATTTCTGATGAGACTTTAGCTGCATTCAATTTAGTTTTCAATTAATCATAAAATGCTGCGACTGATTCGAGTTCATCAATCCACTTTTCAAGATCTTTTTCTGCTTCAACAATATTATTAAGAGTAATAAAAAATGATGAACCATCTTCAGCAGTAGATTACACATTATGTGCTTCATCAAATATTAAAATTGAATTCTCTATTTAAACAACATCCTAAAAGTCTTTCTCCAATAGATAATTGTAGGGTAGTAAAATGAGATCGGCTGAATCCAACCTCTGTCTCTCAAAATAATAAGGACACAATTTATTTTTAAGGCCAAACTATCTGGCTTCTTCCAAACTGCTAACTAATGTACTGTAACTTTGCGCCATAACAATAAGATGTTCTTTCTTATAAAATTAGCATTAATTAGCCTTTACTGATTTTCGACAACTTTGATTCAAGAGAGTTCCTTTGAGCATACTGAATTCCCCTCTGATGCAATATTGATCTCTTGAGCCAAGCATCGAAACATTGGGTTTATAGATGGTCTTCTTCAACTCCATAGCTACTTATTTTAATTGGGCATGAGTTCTTGATGAGTATATAATCTTAATATTCTTAGGCTGATCAGAACTCTATTGATCTTATCTGTTCTTCTTTAACCATGCTAAGGAGGCACAGAGCAAGGATAGGGTTTTTCCTGTTCCTGTTGGTGATTCCAATCTAATCCATAGTGATTTTTATAATTTACAATGCATTCTACTTCATATTTAATGCTTATATTACACTTTCCATATAAGCCTTTTAGACTTCATAGGGTTGATGAGGAAAATACACAGGAGTATTATCAATCATAAGTTGCACTTGTTTCTAGCACATTTTAGAATCGATTTCAATTTCCTTGATGATTATCCTATTTGCATGTTCAGACTCTTCATCCAACAATTAATGATGCTGGGCTGATTTCAGAGTGAAGTATTATTGCAGTCCTAATGGGGTTTTCATTTTTGCAATTTTTGTAATCCAAAATTTGGTTCTAAAAATTAATTATTATTGAAATAACAATTAGAAATTTAAATTATGAATTAAACAACCCCAAAGTCGTCAGGAATCAATTATGCAAGTAAGTGTTGCTGTTATTAAGAGTTAAGAAAGTAGAAATCAAAGGAAACTACCATTCCAAAATCAATGAGCAACAATCTGAAGTTCGATATCCAATAAAATCATTAATATGGCATTCTTAAACATAGGAGTACTTCCCAACACAATATACATGAACATGTGCAATCACAACAATAAATTCAATTGTTCGAATAATATTTCAATCAGTCAAAACATTTATTGCCCTTCATAGAATTTGTTACTAAATAAATATAATATCATACTTAACCGATTCAAGTATTCTTCCCTTCCTATCATAGATCAATGCGAACATTTTTAAAAATGGTCAAAGAAGATGGGATGATGAAAAACGAAGGATCCTCAATGAATTGAATCAATGCAAGGAAGATAATTGTTTGTTACAAAGTGAAATTCACGAATTGAAAAGACAGAAGAATACTATTTCCAAACAATGTGAAAACCTATAGGTAATCATTGTGCAGGAGAGACTGGGCAAATAATAAAAACATCATCACTTCTACAAATTCCAAGAATTGACCAAGAATATTCATGTTCCCACCCAAGAAACCATCTCATCATTAACTGACGAAAGGGTAACTATTTATAAATATTTGAGTTCGAAAGCAATGAAACATCTTTGGATTCTTCCTTATCAAATGATGATCATCATCATCCCAATTAGCTGTTTGAATTATTGAAGACTGGAAAACATAGATACCAGTTTTCTAAGAAACTTAATTGATTATTAATATACATAATCTATATTAAATGACTAATTTGAAATTATTTTAGCTTACTGCCTATCAGAATGCCATAATAGTATCAAATATCCCTATCAATAGGTTAAATCAGATTTACCCTATTTAACCACCCAGCTAAAATTTCACAGAACTTCTTAAATTATAGAAGAATCTCCTAAACATCATGAGCAGGAAGGCAAGATCAAAGGTGACAGAAGATGCTCCTACATTTTGGGAGTCTTCAAGACATATAATAAATCATTCATAGTGCTTGTTGAAGAGTGCACAAAAGTTGCGACAATCCAGGAACAAATTATTTATCACATCGATTAAGTATCCTACGTTGCAATCGAAGTAAAAAACTCATTTAATTAGAGGATAATAATCCTAATAACAATAAGGATATCATGGAAAGTTTGGGCAATCAAAAGAAACTACTCTAATCAGGATTCTATTTCTCACTCCATGGAGATATCACTCTTGCAAGGCATTTCTAAAAGTATGAGAATAGTTTTGTCTGGAATAACAAGCTTCTTAGCTCTTTAAGAGAAAATAAGATCTCTTCCGGTTGGCAATTACCTATGATATAAGGATATGTCGAATAAATAGATTCCTTCATAGATAATAAACCAATTACAGTGACCTTAATTTCCAGAAGAAGTAGATTTATGGGAGGGACTCGCTATTACTCAAGAGGAATCAACGATGATGGACATGTGGCTAATTTCGTTGAAACAGAACAAATACTCATCCAAGGCTAAATCTTAATAAGTTTTGTTGCCATACGAGGGTCAGTGCCATTGTTTTGGAATTAAGATAGTGTGTCTAATGTAAAACTAACTAGATCAAAAGAATTGACATAAGCTGCTTTTGTTAAACATTTTAATCTACTCAGAAGATATGGCAAGATATTTTGCATTAATTTAATGTAAAATAGTAGATAAATAGAGTAACTCTTAACAGATAATTTTTATTATCAGTTTCAGTAGGCTCAATTAGATCATGTTAATTATCAATACCTTGATTTCCATTCCTTAGTCAAAAATGGTAAGTCTACTGGAGTCAATTCCTACATTTACTAATACGAATAAACTTTAGATAAATTTTAATGTTATATTGAAAAAGACAAAAACATGATAACAAAATAAAATGGAGTTTTTAGAATAAATTGCTTAGATTGTTTGGACAGAACTAATTTATTTATGAGTAAACTCTGTCTTTATAGCTTGGACAGATCTTTAAAAATTTTAAATCTTTAATTATCAAGTAATCCTGATATCCTCAATTATTTTGATGAAAATAATAAAAAATTATTACATGATCTAATCATCAAATATAAGATTATGTGGGCTAATAATGGGGACATGTTGAGTTTCATATACTCGGGATCAGGTAGTACTGTCTCAGAGATGGCAAGAGAAGGAAAGCGAGGATTTATGGGAATGCTCAAAGATGGATACAATAATATTGAGAGATTTTATAATCGTTAATTTGAGGATGATACCAAATAAAACACAATCAATTAATTATTGCACGGTTTAACATCTAAAACCCATTTCGATAATTGGATTACTGAGTAAGAAAAGCATTTTTGCACCCAAAGTGAAGCCTCAATATTATTAACGACTTGGAATGTTGGCGGTAATAATCCTGTGACAAATAACTTTTCTTAAAATATATTAAATTTTTAGGAACAACCTAATCCAGATATAATTGTTTTTGGCTTGTAAGAGATTGTTGATTTGAATCCATAAAACATAGTCATTATGAGCAATGAAAAAACACTTTAGCTTTGGGATTAATTGTTTCAATCCAACCTATCAAAAATTGAACCTTATACAAAAATAGGAGAATCTGATTTAGTTGGTTTATATATGGCCGTCTTTGTAAAAACATCCTAAATTTCAAGAGTAACATAAATTGATACAGATGTGGTTAAAACAGGGTTAGGAGGGACTTTGGGAAATAAAGGAGGTGTTTCAGTGAAATTTAAATTTGATGATTCTCAAGTAACTTTTATTCATATAATTATTTTAGTTAGGATTTACTTGTTGTCATCTAACATCTGGGAATAAATAATGCCAATAAAGATTATCAGACGTTGATGAGATTCATTAGAGAGCATTCCAAAATTCAAAGTCTAAAACTACTTTAAACGATCTAGATTATTCATTTTTTTTTGGTGATATGAATTTTAGAATAGACTTGCCATATCAAGAAGTTATTGAATAAATCAGACATTATCAATAGCTGATTTCATAAGATCAGAATAATCCAAATGCAAAAGCAAAGTTAGCATATTTATTGAATTAAGATCAATTAGGAAAGAATAAAAATAGGAACTAATATCTACAAAACTATTAGGAGGGTAGCATTTTCTTTTTACCGACTTACAAATATGATAAAAATTGTTAAGTCTATGATACTTCTAAAAAACAAAGAACCCCTTCTTGGTGTGATCGAATTTTAGTGAGCTGTAAGGAGGAATTGATTTGTTAGTAACGATTTTATAAAAGAAATGAATGCTTAGATAGTGATCATAGACCCGTATCTGGTTATTACGTTATAGAAATCAAGAAGATAGATAAAGAAAAGCTTGACTTAGTTAAAGCTTAATATTGTTTGTCAAAAATGTAGAATTTTAAACACCATTAACCTAACTAAGATGTTCCAAAATAACATTCTTCAATCGTTTAATTTTAAAGATAACAATAACCATTATAATCTGATGACTATTAAGACTTCTTTAAAGATAATTAAAATGTATAATACTAAAATTAAAAATCGTAATCCAGTATAAGTATTACATAATCGCAATCATAAATTTCATTATAATAATCATTATAAACTTAATAGCAATACTAATAATAAACACAATAATCTTAATAGTAATACTAATAATAATTGTAATATTCTTAGTAGTAATAATAATTAGCTTAATAGTAATACTAATAATAATAATAATTGTAACAATCATAATAGTAATACTATTAATAATAATAATCATAATAATCATAATAGTAATAATAATTATAATAACAATAAAGATAACCTATTTAATATATGTAATAAAATATATAATAAATTTAATAAACTTAAACTTAACCATTAGATTTAATAAATATGGATGATAAATAATAATAATATTATTAACAACCTTAAGTGTTACAATAATATGCTGTATAATAGATGTAATAGCAATAAAGATCAGAAATTTCTACACAATCATAATAAAAACCAAATTAATATCCAAAACAACCTGATTTATTATGAAAATATATATTAGTATGAACACGTAAATTATATCAATCTTCATAATTTGGTATTTGAATAGGCGATTAAGATTAAATTTATTCGATATTTATCTTTTCAATCTCTTTAAGAATTTCATCCACGTTTTTGACTTTATTATTTTTTGGATAAGTTTATGAATTATAAAAATCAATAATTTACTTTTTCTTCTCTAGTTTCAGTTAGTTCAAATCTAACATTAATTTACTGAATAACGAAGTTAAATGAGATATTAAACCATTTCCTTTGATATTTGACAAAGATTTTTCATCAAAAGCCTGCGATTTTTTCAAAGACATTTAGGCTAATTGTGTAATTTCTTCTAATGGTTTAATTTCTCGAACTAAAAAGAAAACCACTAAAATGATATAAATAAGAGGAGCCGCAATGCAGGCAGCTAAATATCTTTCGTTAAATTCCTTATCATAAGTGTAAAACTCTTCCTCCTAGTCTTGCAATTATTTTTCTAGCAAAGTATATGGATATACACTAATATGATAATACAGCTTACATAATAATTATAAAGTTTAGTCTAATGATCGATATAGAATGGATGGTATCATTTATCATTCCTTTATAGATTTTATAAGGATTTTCGGAATTTCCATCCTATTCCAATTTAAAATCATGAACTTTTATAGAGTCAGAATTTTCGATTAAATCTTTTATGATGTTTATTGTGAAATTAGAAGTCTGTAAACTTTAGTATACAATGCTTCCATCATTGTTTGATATAATAATTGTATAATTGAGCAAATCACTCGTGGCAAATAACATAAATAAATCCTTAAAGTTTTATGGTAGTCTTTCAATAAATACATTACCAATAGTTTAATTGATAGAATTCTTTATTGGATAAATAGATCTTTGGACAAAGTTTTATAGAACATCATCAAAAACAAATTCTGAAGTTTCTTTATGTAGAAGATCTATATTTTTCCTATAATTTCTGAATTGTTGAATATCTGTAACATTAATTCCTGGGTATTGAACCATCAAGCCATTTTGGAAAATCCAGAAAAATGAGCAGGTTAAAGTTACGTAATTGTATTTCATTAAGTAATTCGTACTTAGATAATATGAAAGTTCACTGTAAGATAAAATTGTCTAATTTAAAAACATGTAAGTTGAATAACTCTATGTTGCATAATCAATAATTGAAGCATATTAATAGAATTTAGCATATTCGTCCAAATCTTACTCCATTGAAATAAGTTGATCTTCATTCCATTAAATTACTCTTTATTAAAAAACTTCATTCATGACTTAAGCAAATTAAATTTCATTCATCAAAGTAACTTAGCAAAGAGTAATGAACTGTTCAGAAACTTATTGAATTTGTTCTTATTACAATTTAGCAAAATTATTCTTCGACCAATCTTAAATAATATTTTTAAATATATCTTAGCCGAGAAATCTAATACCAAAAAATACTCCAAGTGAGACTGTTGCTATAATTAATTATGTTATGATGACTTGCATTTTAAAAGTCCATTTGCTTGAAATTGGAATAAAAAACACATAACCTATTTTTTAGCTAGTTAAAAAATTTCCAAACCCAATATATCCCTTAAGTTTCTCTAAGCATGTTTCTTTGATTTCCTTCTTTTTATGCTCATCTTTCAACAAAGGCTACTGTTCTTAAAATGAAGGATTTTCAGGTTCAATTTTATCATTTTCATTCTCCTCATCCAGTTAATTCTCAGATTCATTCGCTTCGGAAGAGGAATCGCTTTGGAATAATTCTTATTCATTTCTTTCTGATAACATTGCTTCATCCTAATTATTAGAAGATAACATTTAATTAAATATATACAAATTAATTTGATAATTTATTATGTTATTTAATAATTCATTTATTCTTAATCTTAGTTTTTTATTCCTTACTAAATTTATAGTGATTTCAATTTTTAACATCTAAATGAATCAAAGATTTTAATACAAAATTTTTAAAATAATGTATTTTCCAGACGTTTTGAAATAGAAAAAGTTTAAAAAGAGAATATCTTTATAATATGCATTGTTTCCAATAATTAATTAATCATTCCTATAGAAATATTTAGAGCCTGAAATCATAATTTAAGTTTTGAGTGATAAAATTGTTGATGATCACTTAAACAAAATTCTTAGTAATATTTTTCTTCTATTAGAATTTCTAAAACTCCTGTTAGTTTTTATAAAGAATCTAAATACTATTATTATGTTATCTTTGCATTCAACAATTAAACTATACTTGCTAGATTTTTGTAAGACTAATAATTTAATGGGTGAACAAGATGATTATTTACTTCATTCATTAATAAATCCTTTTTCAATTGATTATTGGATTTTTAAAAGATAAATTCAGTATTTAGAATTGCTTATGATGATATTTATAATCTATTTCTTAGTAATTAATTTAATATATTTAACAATATAAAATCTGGATGACTTAGGTTACCTAAGACCCACGTTAATAATATTTGGGTATCTCTAAAAATTGATTAATTTAAGACAAAGCTTAAGATATAAATTAAGAGCAAATCTAATAGCAGAGACAACTAATCACAATAATAAGTGTTAATGATAAAGATGCCAGAGACATAATTTACTATTTGTAGGATCGATAGAGCATTGATTTATCAAAAGTTTCTAATTGGAAAAAATTCAAAAACTTTTTATGGGGTTTACCTAAAGTTTCTAACCCGAATTCATCTTTTCGAATATTTTGGGAATTGATAAGTATGATTTTCATATTCATACAAATGATCCAAATACCTTTAGTTTTAACATATTCAGTAGAACTAAGCGAAGGATTTTTAGCTTTTAATTAATTTATGGATGTATTCTTTTATATTGATATGATATTGAATTTTAAATTAGCATATTATCATAGGTATCTTAATTTTGATTCTATAACTATGTTAGAGGAGAAATCATTTTTGATAGGAAACTGATTGCAATTAATTATTTGAAATTATGGTTTTGGTTAGATTTCTTAGCCGTCCTGCCATACGATTAAATGTTTAGTGTAGAGGATTCTCAAACTTAATTATTTAAAATAGTAAGATTGTTCAAATTCATAAAAATAATAAGACTATTAAGAGTTTTAAAAATCAGTAAAATATTGCAAAAGCTGGAAGGTAACTTTTATAATAATTATTCCATAGAGTCATTTACATTAGCATAAACCTTTCAGGCAATGATTTAATTTTTAAAGATTGCATGTATGATTTTGAGTATAGCTCATTGGATAGCTTGCATTTGGAATATCATAGAATATACAGACGAGTAAGTTAGTATTACATGGATGTAAAAATACGGGATAGCAGATGCAGATTGGGGAATCAAATACATCTCAGCATTCTATTTTAGTGTAACAACAATGATTACAGTTGGATATGGAGATATCAATGCAAATACACAAACAGAAATGATATTTGCAGTTTTCGCTATGGTTTTGGCTTCAGCTATTTTCGGTTACAGTATGTCCAGTTTCATGCAAATTATAGAGGGGGAAGATGAGAAGATTTAATAATAGCGAATTTAGAATTCTAAGATTGTGAGGTTTCATTTTATATAATCCAACTAGATATATCAGATAAAAAAGTATACCAAAAGAATTGTAGAGTAGAGTAAAAAACTATTTGGAATGGCTGGCTGGTTCTGCTTAAATTGCAAGAAATTATGAGTAATATGTATTAAAGAGTTTATCTGCAAATCTTAAAACTGAAATTGTTTGTTTATTGAATGGAAGAATACTACATAAAGTTTAATTATTTAGCAAAGAGTTTACTCCGTAATTAATCAATAAACTTGTTTACGTTTTAAACGAATAAATCTTGGGACCAGAAGAATATGTTTTTAAAGAGAATTCCTTAGATAACGACAAAGTATATTTTATTCAAAATGGATAAATTAATATTTGTCTTACTTAAAGGGAAACCCTTGTTAAAACACTATAGAAAGGAGAATATTTTGGGGAAATTGGATTCTTTGGTAGAAAGCCAAGAAATGCTTCTGCAAAAACTGTAGATTTTGTAAATGTTATGAGCTTAAAAAGATCAGATTTATGGGAAGCTGCTAAACCTCTTGAAAGTGATTTATTAAAATTATACTTTATGAAGGACTGCTTAGAAGTTGAGAATAATTTTAAACCATTAAAGCTGAGATGTTACATATGTGATCGACCTCATCACATAGCAAGAAATTGCACTGTTTTTCATTACAGAGCCAGTCGAAAAAATATTATATTTGAATACTTCAGTCATTAAAATAGTAGAATGAGATTATTTTAAAGAAAGTCTAAACGAGAAAAAATAAATATCAATTAAATTTAAGAGTAAATTCAAAAATATTAAATCAATCAAAATCGAAATGAAAAATAATAAAAAAACATAACAAATAATTATATTATCGAAGATGTTAAAATTGCTTGTGATATTGATCATTTGAAAGAATACTCTGATTTTTATAACGAATTCAATATAACTAATGTTGCATAAAATATCAACTTTTATGCAAATTTTATACTACTCTAAATGGAGGAAGAAAAAAAAAAATTAAAAGCATAATTGAGATAAAACTAAAAAAGATTAAAAAATCAAACCTTAGCTCCAAGATAATCAAAAATTACTTTAGGAAATCTTGAAAATCTCATAAATTTATAAGATAACTACTTATCTTTATCATCTAAAAGCTCAATGAATTGTATTGAAAGATCAAAAAATAAATCAAAAAGACTCCTCGATTTGCAATCTCAAAAGCAGTAATGGATTTATTTATTTTAGTATGACAAGAAGATCTTTCACAAATAGCATCCCAAAATATTTTGAACAATTCTATAAATAACCTTCATTTATTGAAAGGTCTAATATAACCAAACATAAAAGAATCTCATCTCTCTCCAGATTTGATTCAAATTAAAAGGCTGAACTCAATATTTTTAGAAAAGAAACTTTTATGAAAAAGTTAATTCCAGAACTTCTGCAGAATTTTAATTTAAAGCAGCTATAATTTTAATATTGACTGATTTACTATGATTTGTGCTCTCTTTATTTAATATCTCATTTTGAGGAAATATTATAAATATAAAATATCATAAATAATTTTCTGAATATATGAAATTTAGAATGATCTATCTTTTATAAAGACTATATTATATCAACATTCTATTATTATCAATTTACATTGAAAATTGCTTTGATTTTGAGAATCAATTGAATGAATAAAAATATTAATTATTCAATAAAATTTTTTAATGGAAAATAAGAAAAAAATCCTATGTTTACATGGAAATGGCGCCAACAAAGAGTTTCACTCTTATTAATTAAGATAATTTGAGAAAGAATTTAATAATTACGAGTTTGTCACTTTAGATGGTCCAATATCAATAACAAGAAATGTTCATGTTTCATAAGTTGTAGTCCCCTAAAATTTTGCTAAAATGATTGAAAATAAACCACTATTTACATGGGGAAACTTTTTAAAGTTGGATAGTTAAAATATTGATGGAGGTATATTAACATATGATGAATCTTAGTTTTTTAGGAATCATTAGATTACGTAATTAAAATACTCAAAGAATAAGGTCCCTTTTATGGGGTTCTAGGATTTTCTTAAGGAACTGCAGTAGCAGCTAGATTGGCTACATTATTGGAGCATAAATAAATTGATTTAGGCTATGAATTAAATTGTTTTATTTTTTGTTCTGGGTCGATGGTGAACCTGCCAGATAACAGATTGATTTTCTGCAAAATTCCTTCTATTCATTTTATTGGAATTAATGATTTCCTATATGATAGGTAAAGAGTGCATAATATATTAAGATCGTTAGGATTATCAACTCAGTTTTTAAACCCTTTAGTGATTTTTCATGATCAAGGGCACAAAGTTCCGTTTTTAAGTAGGCAACAAATCCAATTATTAAAACAATTTTTTAACAAAGAAAAAAAAGATTGGCAATTATAAGTATTTGTTCCAAAATTATGATTAATCTAAGAATTTTAATATTGCTTATAATGTATTGTATAAATCTTCATTTGTAATGGTTTGTCCATGCAAATCTTTGAGTAGATTCATCAATTGTTCCTTATTTGATTCTCATTGAAAACACGTGCTTTGGTTTGCCAGTTAGGTAGATTTTTGCCTATTGTTTAGAATTTAAATAAGCATTTGGTAACCAATCTATGTTCTAAACAGTTTACTATTATAATTTACATCAAAAATAGCAGGTTTTAAGGGTATTTCAAGATACTAATTATGATAATACAAAACAGGTGTTTAGTATTAGAAGAATAAATCAAATAGCTATGATTATGATTTATAAATACAGAAATATATTTTTAGGCCTTAACCAAATTTTCCACATTAATAGGTTTTCTTCTAATTTGGAAGTACACATAACCATAAAATCTAAAGAAAATGCCTGGTGGAGTGTATGTTCCTGTCTTTTCGATTTCAGATAGTACATCATTTACATTTACAAAAATACTTTGCAATATTCTAGACTATTGATGTATTTGAGTACCTTTCAGCTTCAAAGGCATGAGTGATTCTTTCATTTATCAATGCTTTTTTAATTGGGTGTTTAATTATTTCATTCTCATCTTTCATAATCATATCTTCTTCTGGCTTCTCCCATTCTTCAGGATCAACTTCAAACCATTTCAAATCCCCATAAATTGTAAAATCAGCCTATAATTAGGGTAAGGTAAAATAAATACAAGCATCTTCTCACTTGTTGGATCTCCTCTATACCTAAGCATTCTGTCATTAACATCCGAAAACATGGTTATGATTTCTTCCTTTTTTTATTCTTCATTTTCTATTGATTTTTATCTCAAATTGTCAATAGTTTCATTGGATATGGTAGTCTATTTTGATTTTGCCTCTAAATGTTTTGTTTTTTGAGAATTTTAATAGGCAACATATCCACCAGTACCCAAACCAACTATGCCGAAAAATGCTGCAAAAATTTTCACAAGCTCAGTGTTTGAAGAACCTTGCTAAGGTACCTAACTAAAATAGCTTCTAGATGTTTTATTCAGTGAGTTTGTGAGTACTAAAATTATTCAATTAGATAATTTATACCTTGTTAACTCACTTTAGATATTCTACCATAAGACATTAACCTATGAATCATTTATTACCACCTAAATTATCACAATTAAAAAAAATATTAATAATAAGATTTGAAGGCTTTTAAGATTTATATCCCTAAAATTACAATTTTATTTTATGATAACAAAATTTTTTATTTTTCGTATTATGTATAATTATTATAGTATTTAGTTAATAATTTCTATATTTATCAAAAGCACTTATTGAAAAAGCAAAATCCACCACTTTTCTCCTTCTTATCACTTTCTTTGATTGGTTTCTATGTGGAAAAATAAAAATAATATTATTACTTTTCCTTTGTTTAATCCATTCGTATATGATACTCTAGACTTGATTGACATGTCTTATTATTCTTATTAAGAACACATGGTTGTAGTCACTGAGGTTTAAGCTTATAATTAATTATCAGAATTTTATAGATTATTTTTACACACTAAAGTGAATGTTTGACTTCCAGTTTCAAATAAGATTTATTCATAATCCAAACCTAAGTGACATTTATATCTAGCTAATACTTGGCAGATCATCTTTGGGTTACCCAGACTTTTTTGAAATTTTTAAGGCGTAATCACTTGCCTTTTTCGCCTTGAAGTTTACTTCTAAGGATTATTTAATTTAAAAATTACCTAATTCCTTTTAGAATTATTACAAAGTGAATGTTATAGCATCCTCAACTGTGAAAATATTGGGTAATTCACAGACAATTTATACATATTTTTCGTTTTACAATGTAAAAAATGCATATTTTTTATTATATAGCATTTATTATTCCTAAGCTTTCAAGTTGAAAATTACTTATTGCATTTAGGGATCATTTTTTGCAAGCTTCATATTATTTAAATGATCTAATTTAGATATTTAATTACTTATATTTTCTATATAAATATATAATTCATATCACTAATGCTGAAATATTTAATATTAATTATATTATCTATTTCAGTTTCATGGCTGATCAATAAAAATAACAATAATGGACAGGTCGTAAAATAATTACGTCAGATAATGTTACTAAAGGTATATATAATGTGCTATAGAACATCAGGCATTGTGAAGAAATTAAATGAGAAAACCGGATAATATGAAACCATGAAGGTTGAAATCCCCAAGTTAACTGTAGCCTAGCAAATTGAGAATACTAAGATGGAAATTAATCAAGGTATATCATTTTATATATTTTAAAGCAAATGAGATCTCAAAAAAATTATATTAATAATACAACACACTGAAAGAATAAGTAACAGGTTTAAGGCAACTTGTCGATGAAAAAGCTTAGCAATATAAAAAGGAATAAGAAGAAAGAGAAAAAAATTTAAGGAAAATGATAAAAACTAAGGATTTAGAAATCAATATCGCTTAAATGACCGAAGATTAAGTTAATAATAGACTAAGTGAACTTGAATAAGAACTAAAAAGTGCTTCAAAGTTCAATGAAATTTTGGCAAAAGAGAAGGAAGTAGCCAAAAAAGAAAATGAGGCAATTGAAATGACCAAAAATATTGAATTGTTACAAACTAAATTAGAAGATAAGAGAAAAGAATTAAAAATGATAAAAAAGGAAAATATACAACATCAACGACAAAGCCAAAGCAATTAGAAAAAACTAGAAAAAATTGAAAATGGAACAGACGAAGCTGCATAGATTAATTAATTAAATAAAGAGTTATGTATGCTTAGAGAAAAAGAAAATAAAATAAATGACAAGAAAAGTAAGTTCTAAAAAAACATTGATTTAATCTAATAATCCATCGAATTCTATTCAGAAAAAATTGAGGAACTCTAAGATGACAAAATTAAGGGTTTACAAGATCTTTATAAGAAAGCAAAAGCTAATTGGGATGAAAAGGATTAATAGCTAAATGATGAAAAATTAAAATCAAATAAGGAACTAGTTAAGGAAATAAAAGAAAAGAAAGATAAAGATAAAAAAGAAAAAGAAAAAGCTAAGGAGAAAAAAGAAAAAGGTGATGAAGAAGATAAATCCAGTAAGTTTAAGAGAATTAGTGATTATATTAAAGAAAAAAAAGATGTTAGCAGCTTAAAAGCTGATGAACAAAATTTCATTTAATTATTTTAATTAAAAGCAGATTTGTAGAAGTAAAGACATAAAAAGTAGAAAAAATTTGAATAGGAGAAAGATTAATTAGAGAGTTCAATAAATAATTTAAAATTAGAGAGAGTTAATATTTAGAATGCTATAAAAGAAAGAGAAAGAGAAAAGGAAATGGCAGAGACTAAAATGGTTGAGGAGGAGGAAAAATTAGGTTAGTTAAAATTAAAGAAGAAAAATGAAATTGAAAAAAAGGAGAAAGAGAAATTAGAAAAACTAAAAAGTAACTAACGATCTTAATTATCCCCACTTAGAGCCAAACAATAAAAGGATGTTATCACAAAAGATAAAGTGAGAAAAGAAAAGGATGAGTAATTAAAATAATTCAAAGAAAAATATTCAAAGTTACCTAAAGAAAAACAATAATAGTTTTTGTAAGAACCATTTAAACTTTCTTATCAAGAATTAGAAGAGAAAAAAAAGCGATAATAGTAAAAATAAGGTGAAAAAGAGGAGAAAGATAAAGTAGAAGTTAAAGCATTGAGTATTATTGAAACTGTTTGCAGAACCAAGCATAGAGGATCTAAGAGGGACTGGTTTGGATATGAACCAAATGAATAAACTGTTTAATGTGATGATGTTCACATTTTAGGATAGTTTTCCATCAACCATAGAATTAAGAAAATAATTATATATCATAATCCAAATGAAGGATTAATTTATTTATTGTGGACAGAATACAGAAAGGAGGATGGTACTCTAATAAGCGGAACTTGGAATGTAAAATATGTTAATTAGTTTTTAGATCAACTAAGAATTATTAGAAAAAAACAAGGATATAAAAAGAGATGAATTAGACTTGCAAGACAAAGATAAAATAAAATAAATAATTGTTAGAAGGGATAACAATTTTGTATCCTTTATATAATTTAATACTAAATAAGGATAGCAGTTCAAAGTTGGAAAGGAAGTGATGTAAGTATATTGAAATATTTTAAGTGAAAAATAGGAAGGAGAGAAACCAAAAGAAAAAAGTGATGAGTAGTAAGATAAAAAAGATGGTGAGGGATAAGAGAAAAAGGAAGATCCTGACAAAAGAGATCTTAAGATTGATAATTTCTCTGTTCTCTTTACTTTATTTAGTGGATATTCTTAGAGAAATGAGAAAGAATTAGCAATGAGTTACTTTGGTTATGAAATAGGAAGAAAACTAACAGCAGAAGAATATAATTAGTATTTACACGAGAAACAAAAGAGATTAGAGGAAAAAGAGAAAAGATAGAGATTGAGAAAATTAGAGGAGAGTATGGCTAGTGATTTAAATAGAAGCTAAATCAGAAAGAAATGAAAATCATCATTATATTAAAAATATATAAATAATATCACATATATTTTATATATAAATGCATGTAAATTTGAAATGAAAATTAAATCTTTTTTATAAAATATAGAGAAAAATGGCAAATTAGGTTGAATTCAAACAGCTCGGATACTTGAAAGGTCACGGTGATTGGGTTACCACTATCATTACCAATTAAGACCCAACTTTGGCTGATTTAGTCATCTCAGGTTCAAGAGACAAATCCATTCTTGTTTGGAAATTATTCAAACAACCCGATGGTGATTTGGCTGGTCAACCAAGAAAACAATTGAAGGGACACTCCCATTTCGTAAGTGACTTAGTGTTGTCAAATGATAATAAATATTTGTTATCAGCCTCTTGGGACAAGGAATTAAGATTCTGGGATTTGGTTAATGGAACATGCACAAACAGATTTGTTGGAAACAAAAAGGAAATCTTCACATGTGCCATGAGTCCAGACAACAGATAAATTCTTTGTGGTGGAGCTGAAAGAAAATTCAAATTGTACAATGTTAAGGCTGAAGAAAAGCTCACCTAAACAAACCATTTCCACTCTGATTGGATCAGTTCTGTTAGATATTCACCAATCATCAAAAACATTCAACCATATTTTGTTACAGTTGGTTGGGACGGTTGGCTCAAAGTCTGGAATTAAAACTTCACAATCAGATTCTAATTCAAGGCTCATGATTCCTAAATCAACAGTGTTGCAATCAACCCATCTGGTGAATACATTGCAACAGGAGGTAAGGATAAGAAATTGTACATTTGGAACATTACAGATTTGAAGAAACCAGCCTTTGAATATGATGCAGGAGGTATCATTAACTAAGTAAATAATTTATCAAATTATTAGCTCGCTTTCCATCCATAATAAAATTGGATTGTTGCTGCCACAGAAAATGGTATCAAAGTTTGGTAAATTTCATAAGAAGAAAAGGCTGAAACCAAGACACCAATTGTTACATTAGATCACCACACTGAAAGTACTTATTGTACTTTAATCATTTAGCTTCGGTTGCTGGAGGAGTGAAAAAGATTTAAAAGCACGGAGCAGTGTCTGTTGCCCTTGATGCCAATGGTGCCAAACTCTATGGAGGATTCACTGATGGATCAATCTTAGTTTGGGAAGTATCAACCAAAAATTGAAAAAATTATGTACATTACATCAATTCCAATAATCATACACTATAGGCATAACAGTGAAAAAAGTTAAAAGCTTTTTTAATACGACTGCCTATTAAATTAGGAGGAAGGCGTGCTTAGTGAAGTGAGTGTTGGAATTTCAATATAAACATCAATATATATTGTTTTTCCCTTGAATCGATTTTTGAACTCTTTTATTGAGTTAAAAAAAGAGATCAGATCACCCAAATTCCTTTTAATTCAATCCAGAAATCAAAAAAGAAAAAGACTTCGAAAAACTTATGCTAATAATTTACTAAGATTTATAATTTTTATATATGATTATATCTCTAAATTTATCAAATACTATCTCAGATTTCATGTCTTAATTTTGATTAATCAAATTTTAGTCTAGGAGCAATATTCATTGAAATTAATTCCTAAATTAATGTCTTTGCTGCATATGGCATTAAGACTTAATAAATTTAATTTTGTTGATTTGTATTCTTACAAATGTTACAATAAAACTCTTGATTTTCTAAATTAGCAACTGCAAATAATCCACATTTTGAACAAACATGAACTCTGAATGCATCTGATACATCATAAGTTCTCTCTTTTAAAAATTTGGCAGTTCCTAAAGAATATTTAAATAGTGTACCATGTGAAATAATGCAATCTCTTTCCATTTCACCGAATCTCAAACCTCCCTTTCGACTTCTACCATGAGTAGGTTGTCTTGTAATTCCTGTAACAGGTCCTCTAGAACGAGCATACATTTTATCATCCACTAAATGTCTCAATCTTTAATAGTATGTTGGACCAACAAATATTGGAATTTAAAACATATTGCCAGAATAAGGGTTAGTCATTACTTCATTGCCCCATTTCTACCATCCGACTTCATGTAATTTATTTGCTATATCATTAACTGAAATCTATGCAAATGGAGTGGCATCATTAAATTGTCCTTTTATTGAAGCTAATTTGGATGATAAACATTCAATTAGATGCCCTAATTTGATAGAAAATTAAAATTATACCTATAGTCATTCTAGACGGAATACAATGTGGATTAATGGTTAAATCCGGAGATATACCCACAAGTGTGAATGGTAAATCTTCTTATCTATAGGTCATTCCACACGTTCCTTTTTATCCATGCCTACTGCAAAACTTATCTCCAATTTATGGGATTCTCAATGATCTTACTTTTACTTTCACTAACTTATATCCTTTTTAATTTTCACTGATTAAAACTGAGTCTACTACTCCTCTTTCTGCTCTTCTTGTTAATAATGAGCATTCTTTGGTATTTTTCTGTCCATTAGCTGTATTCAACATGATATTATCAATAATTAATTCTTTTCCAATAATGGGCTCTTCCTCATCCACCTTGGTTCCTGGTGGCACAATTCCATCGCTGTCCAACTTAATAAATAGTTTGCCCGCATAATTGTCTCCAAGTGGTTTTGTAATTTTTGTCTCTGTGAAATTGTCAGGGTCTTTGTCTTCAGATTCTTTATAAGTTCTATAAAAGACTGATCTAAAGAATCCTCTATCTATAGCATATTAATTTATAATAATAGAGTCTTCTTAATTATATCCTGTAAAACATGCAATTGATGTTACACAATTAATTCCTATAGGTACTTCATTTACTGTGATGAAATCCACAGCCTTTGAGGATGCTAATGGCTTTTAAGGATAATGCAGAATATGAACCAAAGTGTCAAATCTAATATTAAAATTAGTTGAGTTTAACCCCATAGCCTGTTTACCCATGGCACTTTGTAAAGTATTTCTAGGTCCTTGATTATGATTGGCAAATGGAATAACAGAGGCACAAACTCCAAACATCATACATGGATGAATTTCACAATGTGTATATCTCTTAAAATTTTAAGTTCCTCTTGTCATTATGTTAAGATCCATTGCAATCAAAGATCCTTCCTCTTCCTCAACATCGAGTAATTCAACACATTTATTTTACAGCAATTATTCCCAATCTGTAAATGAGTTAAGCTAATTTTTCTTTAATTTTAATTTATTATCTTAAACGATAAATAATGGTCTCATACATCTTCCAGCGTCTGTATAGATTCTGATTTCTTTATTCACATAATCGAAATTGATTGATACTTCAATAGGGATAAAACTTTCTTCTGCTGATCTTAAATTTTTAAATTCTTAAATAAACTATTCTGGGTTTCTTGTAAATCCAATCCAATTACCATCCACTAATACTTTGGTCATTTTAGGAATATCTTAAGCCTAAAAGTCTCCTTACAATAATTGAAAATCAAAAACATCTTATTTCAAAACCATAATTAATTTCAATAATGTTTCTTTATCTTTTTGCTATAAATCATTTGAAACAGCTGTCATTAATGATAAGTTTTTGACAATACCAATTTTTTATCCTTCAGGTGTTTCAGCTGGACAAATAAAACCAAAATGAGTATTATGAAGTTATCTTGGTTTACTCAATTTCATTTATGGATTTATTGGAGCATTCATTCTTCTTAAATGGCTTAGGGTTGCAAATAAAGAGGTTTCTCTTTTTAAAGTCTAAGCAACACCTGTTTTCACTACTTATCCTTCTTTGCTTCTACCCCAATTACCGGTGGCTAGAGCATTATCTATATCTTTTGATATTTGCTCCCCATCAAAAAATGATTTGATATCATCTGGTTGCCTCATATTCTCTATTCTTGTTTGTTGACCTTTGCCTCTCCTACCTCCATTGATGTACTTTTCTAAGGCTTTTTTAGCATTTTATTTAAATGATTCGAAAGAAGTCTTAAAAACACCCATCATCATAGCACCAGCCATGTCTAATCTCTTTTTACCATAATGATCTCTATCATCTTGATCTGTTTTTCCTAATGAAGCATTCAATAATCGATGTACTATATATCCAATGAAATATGCCTTTCTGTCTCTACTCTCTGATGACACACCAATATGAGGTAAAATATTTTTATTTATTAATTTCTTAGCTTCTTATATTAAAGTTTCAGGATCTTGATTCTCAGCCTTCTTTATTTTATTTCCTATCCATCTCAAACATAATTCCTCGTCTTCATATTCACCTCCTTCTTATAATGATCCATATAGCATTTCTAACATAGGCCCCATTTATTCATCTTCTAAATTATACACTATTCTTTCTAAAATCTCTTAATCACTACTAATTCCCAAAGCTCTAAAAAGAGTGAACAAAGGTATTCCTTATGTGGAATTAAATTATTTCACGCTACATCTTATAACAGGAGTATTTTAGATGTATCTCAGTTCAACTTTAAAGTTATTGGGATTTGACCATAAATCTGGCTGAGATCTTATTTCTGCCACCCATGGCTTATTTACTATTTTACTTTTAAAAACCAAAACCACATTATTAGCTATTCTCTCCTAAGCCACAATAACCTTCTCTGATCCTCGTAATATAAAGTATCCACCTTAATCAAATCCGCATTCACCACTTTGAATTCTTTATTAAATTTATTCCGGGTCCTTAGGATCCTTTGGCAAAGAACAAAATCGACTTCGAACCATAATTGGGAGTTTAAAGAATGGCAATCCTTTAAATGTTTATTTGCTCTTTTCTTCTATCGAACCATCACGTTTATTTCTCTACTACATAGTAACTTCCAAGTCAATTTTTAGTTATCTTGAATAGGTCAAATCTCTTAATCTTGCAATCATTGGAAATATTTCCTCCTCGAATTTGTCAATGTGGATATTCTTCTTTCCCATAAAGCATCTTTATATCTAGAATTAATATAAGTATTCAGTTTATGCTAAAAATAATTATTTTTAATACCATCCATTCTTTCCTCTTCTTTATATTAAGGCTTCACTCTTACCACAAAAGTTCCTTCATGGCCTCTTACATACTTAATGATATTTTCTACAAAGCTTTCATACGAATTAATTTGCTAAGACACTAATCCGTGAGTTTAAAAGAACATATGAAGTACTTTCCAAATATCATCATTATCCAATTTTTAATTTTCATCTTCATCTTCTTCTTAGATTGAGTCGTCAGAAAACAGCCTTTGATCTTCTTCCTCAACTTAAGACATTTGAGGTAATTTTTTAGTTAAAAAAATTAGATAAAAAAATAAAGTTCAAGTATTAAATAAAAATAACAATTTGAATTGCCTTAAATCTTGAATAAAATTTTAAATCATTAAGAATTCTTAATCATGATTAAAGTTATTTTTTACGGTTGAATTGTGAAAGGATTATAAGTAGTGAAATCATATTCTTAAAATAAAATGGCTAATTAATTTAAGATATCAAATCCTTCGGTCCCATAGCACTTGTACTTTTCTAAGAAATCTTTATATTGAGAAAAAGCCCTTAATCGAATACTGTATGACTATGGGAAATTGATCCTAAAATGAAAAATGTTTCATATCTATTCAGGTTTAGAAATTTGAATTTGCCAACCATGACTTTAGGAAACCAGAGACATTAAAGAAGTCTAATTTTATCTAGCAGTTAAAAGTAATGGCACTTCATTTAATCCTATTTTTCATCTTTTCAATATATCGGAACCAACTAGTATAATAGATGAGATAGTTGTTAAATATGTAAAATAAAATTGAAGCTGATTTAAAAAAAAATACTCTGAAATGCAATTTTTTATAATTAAGTTTTTAATTGTAAGAAGATCTATACTGAGTATCTGTTTTCTCATAATTAATTTTCACTAGCTTTTACACCATTGAGTAGATTACTATAAATTCTTCTATTTTAAAGATTCATACTCCATTTAAAAAACCAGGACTCTCCAATACAGAAAGGCTTCATAAAAATAGAAAAATTAAACTAGTTATATGATTCAGTAATAAAAATCTCTTGTGAGTTAATGGGATAATCATAGTAAGAATAATAAATGATTTTAGTTTTACCTATTTCTTTTTGGAAAAAAAATGGACTTTTAATACAATTGTTAGTTGCATTTACAAATCAAAAATGTTTTAATAGATGTGAGTAGCTAAAATAAAGGATTATTTGTAAAATAATATCTATATGTAAAAAATATGAGATTTAATTTGTGCATATGTTATAGGCGAACTTTTTATATTCATTAATAAAAAGTATAACAATGTTAGTTGAAAATCTTTTTTATGCTGGCGATGATTTATAATTTTATATTTTTATTTAAAATGTTAGGCCTATTGAATGAAGTAACATCCACATTAGATAATGATAGCCATATAATGGCTTTTTTTTTTAGAGGAAAATATTTACAACTTATCAAGAATAAATAAAAGGTTATGAAATCATACAACTTAATAATTGATGGAATCTAAAAAATTATTGAAAAGTTGTTTAATCTACATTAGAACGGATTCATTTTAATGTTTATTTATCTTAAGGATAACAGCATCTGTATGCAAAGTGATATTTAGTTTCCATATGAGAAAAGAGTAAAGGTTTATGAACTATGATACTTAGAAGTAATTTTTAGATATTTGTGATAAAATTAGATTAGAAATGGAAATAGAGAAAAATGATTTAATTTAAATATAATTGGAACTCTACCTTTTTCTAACATAAACTTCTTATCAAATGGCCCCAAATAATGGTAAAAAAAGGGATGTTATTTTAAAGGTTGTTAAATGGTATCATTAACTCAATAATTGATATGAAAAACTAGTGTTGATTTGTTAATATCATTGTATGAGGGAGTCGTTCTGCTATAAAATAATAATGCTGTTTAGAAAAATAGAAAATAATATGAAGATTATTTTTAAATAGATATGTTGCAATGGGAGATCATAAATAATTTGAAAAATGACAGATAGAATTTGAAAGAAATTCTATTGCAAATTGAAAAAATACATGAATATCCTGTGAAAAATTCAAGTAATTGGAAAATTCATTTTTTGTGGAATTAAATGATTGGAAAAATCATAACTTATCATCCTCTTTTCACAAAAAAAAAATTAAACCAGCTTACTAGACCCTTCAATTTTGAAGCCAAATCAAATTACATGTGGAAGGAATATCAGAATAAAGGGTTTTTAATGTAATTGAATCATAGCAGTGACTAAGCTTTGGTTTTGCTTAATAAATTTAAAAATAAAGAATTAACTTAAATTGATAAATTAATATTATAAGAAACTTTCATAGAATGGGAAAATCTAGTGTTGCTTAAAGACTTTTTAATGAATGAAAAAACTGATGATATCTATTTCACATTTTGTTCTTATTTAACAAAACCCTAAAAAAATGAATATATTTAGACAGTTTGCAACATTCAACCATTTCTTGATTTAATCATTTCTAATAAATTGCTAACTTTAATTCAGGAAAATTATGAGAATTATCAAAATTTTGTCAAATAAAATACTTATTTTAATACCACAATAGAAAAAGCCAAGCAAAATTCATAATTAAAAAAAATAAATCTCAACTTCTAAGAATTTTTCCAAAACTCACTAACCATCATTAAAATTATAAGGCTTAGTAAATAATAAAATTTTTAGTTAGAATAATTTGAATAGTAAAAGAAGAATGAATTTTAAATTTTTCAATAGCTTAAATACAATATGAAAAATTAAAAGAAATTTAAAAGCAATAGGTTTCATTTTAATTTCTACACTATTAAAGATTGAACATTTTAAAGCTTAGATTAAAATTAACTAATTTATATGGGTTTCTACTTGATGTATTATGTATTGTTAAAAAGAATTTGTTTAATTCTAATTTTTTGATAATCCAAATTACAAATTGTCTCTTGAAAATGTTCCTATGAATAACAATATTCAAATGACTTGTGGAATGATATGAATGATTTAGATAATCTTCAACTAATTGACATATGGATCATAAATAAATTAATATGGAATAAAAAATGCATATGAAAATCCTCATATTTAATTTGTTTTAAAATTTATTGATGGGTAATTCATTACTAAATCTTACCTAAAGTTGCTTGATACAATTTTGGAATACATGTGGAAAACCTAAATAGATATTCTTTGAAGATGATATTACATAAGATGTTAATAAATTTTTGATCTAATGAATGTGAGAAAAGCAAAAACCTTTTAGAAGGAAAAGCTTCAAAATTAAAATAATCCAAATTTTGTATATTTTGATAGATATCAATATAACTCATTGTAGAGGAGTACTGAATAAATTTGCTATTTTATATGCATAAAGTCAAATAGAATTCAACACTAATCATAAAATTGGAAAACGAAAATTTAAAAAACCTTAAATTTAACATATCTTAGTTTATATTTTAGGCTTTAGATTTAAATTATTATTTTATTTATATTTATTTATCAATTTAACACACTTACAAAAAAAATCATAATTCTTAAATTTCGCTTTAGAATTTCTTTAATTTTATCAATTAATTCTCCTAAAACGTTTCCTTTTTTTTTCTTTTTTTTCCTCTTTTCTCCAGTGTCGAATATTGTAGATCATGCATCCATTAAATTGATTCGCTTACTTGAAAACTAGAATGCTTATTTACAATATATATATATGCGAATTGACAATTGTGAAATTTGGCTTTTTATTATCCTGTCTTAACATCCCATAAACGGATAGAGTTATCTGAACTACCAGATGCTAATGTAATACCATCAGGAGAGAAATTGATTCAATCAATATATTTATTATTCTTACACCAAAACATTTATGCTCTATTTAGATTAATCCCATTTATGTTCAAATCAGTAAATTCAGGAAACTTAAATTACAATTAAGAATATTCCCTCCAATTAAGGAAGTATTTTAGATCCTAATTTTCTCAAAATTGTGACTAGTTAGATCAACTTTCATCTCAACTAATAAATTCAGCAAGTTTGATCTTCCCTATATAAATGTGGTATCAGAAGCTGTTAAATACACCAGAAACTCAATTATCTATTATTCTTATTTTAATTTTTATATTAAATACTTTCTAGGCTTTACATATGTTTCAGGAGGAATAATTCTCCTTAAAAAATTCATGTTTATTCAAGATTCTCAAAAGGTTTAGAGTTGACTCAATACTTTTTTTAAAAGCATCGACTTTCTATTGTCTATCAAAAACTTAAACATCAAATTTGATTAGATTCTCTTGATTCATTTAAATTAATAGATGTTCGAAACAATTTTTAAAACAATTATTCTTTATAGATAGCTATTCTAATATCCAATCGAATGTCTGCTTGTTAAGTTCTTTCGATACCACTAGTACAGAATATAAATCAGCTGCTATGTAGAACTCTTAAATTAAAAGTTCGTACCTTTTTATTAGACTAGCGAACAACTCCTTAAATCCTTTTTATAGGAACCAAATTAAAGATCATCATTATTAAAAAATTCATTTTACCATTTCTCCTCTTCTTTTTCTTCTGTATATAGAAACCCTTATTATATATATTAAACTTATGTCATTTATTTTGTGCTCATTACTTTAGCAAGTTTGGTTGAATATTTTTTTATATCATGTAAAAACCGATCAATCTGAATTTATTTTCCCAAATTTCTCTACTTGTCTATTTATTGATAATGATGTTAATTAATAAATTCATCATAAAAGTCAAAATTTGTAAGATTGAGTTCATATAATGCATTACAAACTACATCAATTATTCTTTCTTTCTGAATTATAATTTTTACAAATACATTATTGAAGAGTTTAAAGTGTTCAAATAAATTTTTTTTGTTGTTAAGATCACTTAATTCATTAGGGTTGAAAAATTGGATAGCAATTGAATCACTTCCATTTTATTCCAAACTTCAACAGCAATTTCAAAATAATTAATTTTATCCAAATTTTCCACATCAGTTTAGGTAACCTGTTGTTAATTTTCATTATTATCCTGTTATTCCTTTTCATTATTATACAATTATTCCTTTTCATTATTATCATTTTTATCCTGTTATTCATTTTCATTATTAACATTGTTATCCTATTATTTCTTTTCCTTATTATCATTATTATCCTGTTATTCCTTTTCATTATTATCCGATAATAACTCTTCATTATTATCAATGCGATCCTGTTATTCCTTTTCTTTACTATCCTATTATTCCTTTTCATGATTATCCTGTTATTCCTTTTCATTATTAACATTATTATCCTTATTGTCCAATTATTCCTTTTTATTTTGTTATTCTTTTTCATTTTTATCATGTTTTATATACTTTTTCTTTTGCCAATTATACATTTGAATCAGATAATTACTTTTGTAAAATTCATAAAGCATATTTGGAAAA